AAAATCAATTCAGACAAATGGAAATTCGCTTAGTCGGCAGGTTTGCTGGGGCAGGGGTATTTAAGTCAATAAAGATAAAGTTATTTCTAACTATGACAGATGAGTAAGTAGTATGGTAGACTGTGAAAATAAATGACTTTCTGGGGTAGCTACCGGTACTAAAATTTAATACTGTACCACTTCATCCCTCTCTTTGCCTGATACTTGCCATGCACTAGCCCAATCTTGATTTTAAAAAAAATAGGTGCTAACCATTTAACAAATAACTAGGTCCAAGCCTTTTTTTTTTTTGCAAATGTCCCATATTTCCAAAAAATTGTTAAATTTAAAATGTCCATGTTATTTCTATGGTCAATAAACTGTTGTAACTTGACTTTAAGGATATATTTTGATCAAATTTTGAAATTTTCTTAATTTTATACTACCTAAGCTATCGATCAACATTACATAAAAAAAAACACCTTATTACCCTGTAGAAGCAAACCTAAGAACTCAATAAAATTAATGTTACGGTATTCAAAATCTAAATATTTAATAGGCCAACATGAATTTTGTGATAATTGTTTTGAAGCTGCCATCCATCCAATGACCATGTTTAAGGTGTCATTGGATAGGTCGTGGCATTAAGAGGGTTCCCTACCCCCGCCTAAAAACGTTAGAAAACCGCTTCGCGCGGTATCATATAGCGATTCTAGTTTTAACATTTAAATTGTGAACCAAACACCATTTTGTACATAAAGAGTGGTTCTACTAAGTTTGCTTTTTAAAAAATGTCTATGCTTACGCAATCAAGGGCAACGACTTGTCAAAGTTAGTGAACTTAAACTGTAAAGTTCACTGACTTTGACAAGTCGTTGCCCTTGATTGCGTAAGCATAGAAATTTTTTAAAAAGCAAACTTAGTAGAACCACTCTTTATGAACAAAATGGTGTTTGGTTCACAATTTAAATGTTTAAACTAGAATCGCTATATGATACCGCGCGAAGCGGTTTTCTGACGTTTTTCGGTGGGGGTAGGGAACCCTCTTAAGATTTGTCATCAAGCAAAAAATGTTTGAAATTCCATCAGGGCTCTGCCCCAGTGGCCTTCAAAGTCCCCATGTTATTCTTAGGGAGAAAATTTAAATCATCTCATGTCAATGTCAATCATCTCAACAATGTCAATTATCAATTTTAACAGATGAATACATTGAAATCTATACCACAGAAAACATACTTATAAAATTGAGGTGGTGTCTGTATGTCTGTGTGGTTGCCTGACTAAAATACCAAACCAATATACCCAAAATCAAACACACCAATAGTCCACATTCACATATCTAGGAATGTCATAGGCCTGTTCACTTCCCTGAGTTCCTCTCGGATAATAATCATAATATCTGTTGTACACTACTTCTTAAAACTGGTCTAATAAGCTATTTTTAATATTTGCTTAACTTACAAGAAATGTTTAGTTGTAAAATGCAAAAAAAATATATAGCCTAATTTTGGCAAAATGAGTTACCATACCAGTATTTGAAGATCACACTTAAAATTTTTCTCTATAAAGTAACTTATGAGATGCATAAACTTACTTAGGCCTATCGCATAAGTTATTTCATTTACTTTTGTAGGTTTTGTATGGTAACTTATGCTTTAATTTGTGGAAAGTTACCCTAAAAATGTACTTACAATTGATTTTCTCTTGCTCCTTCTTAATATGCTGTTTTATTTTTAGAGTCAGATTTTCAATATAACGGTCTTTTTCAGATAAGAAGGATTTCATGTTTGCAATTTTATATTTGTACTGCATTACTTTTACGTTTGTTTGATAATCCCAAAATTGAATTGCTCTAACCATTGTGTTAAAAATTACCTCAGACGAATAACCAGCAAGCAAAAACTGCAAGGAATACAGATTTGAAATTAGTAGGCATAATCATTATAGTGAAAAAAATTGTGTTCCTAATAACAAAATACCCCTACCAACAGAGAAGTAATATTAAAATACTTACTTATAGGCCTAGTCCTAATATTTATATTTACTTCTCTGTACCAGTGCCCTACCACATAAAACCTGGGTAGCCTACAGTTCTGCAGAGAACCTGGTGAAATATTATTTCGATATATATATCGCTTTCATGCAATATAAGTTAGCCTATATCGATTATTTGTATTGAATATGAACATTTTAAGCCTTAGGGTCTTTTTCAAAAGAATCTGCTACACTTCTCTACAGCATTTAGCCTAGGTTAGTTTAGTTCAGTTTGGATTATGATTTAGTTTAGTTTAAATGATAGGCCCTAATTACAAATAAGGTTACTACGTTTTGATAAACAAGTTGATATGGTGTGTACCTAATGTCAAAGAGATAAATCTACAAAGACATAAATTGGTATTTGTGTCCTCTTTTTCATGAGCTTATATGAAAAGGTCAAATTTTGTAAATTATATTTTGTTTGTCATTATATCATAAACTAAACTGATCCAAGCTAACCTTCCTTTTTGTTGTGTCCAACATACAATACAAACAATAACCAAAACAAAAATTAATGATAAAAATATTAAGAAATGAACTAAAAAGTGGAAACTAGGGTGTAAAAAGCTTTGTTAATGTAAGTAATGTTATTGTATTTGAGTTATTTATATAAGTTAATATCGTTAAATTAAAATCATTGTGATATTAATATCAAACCAGATAAATATCCATACATTCTGATATTTATCGTTAGTTTATTCATCCGATACTTATATCGAAGGTTCTCTGCGGAGTGTACCCGTTCTTTTGGCAGCGTCATTAATAGGCCCTAATGTAAGTTTTTAAATACTTCTTAACTTAACTTATTGATCTGGGAATAAAGTTTAAGTTTAAAACCCATGTTTTAAACATTTTGAACATTTGAGTTAGAACCTTTTCAAAACAAGATGAAAATGGGAATCACATTTTTAGAAAAAATTGTTATCCAACCAAAATCCAAATCAGAATACTTAAACATAAAACATCCTAAGGCTGCACTTTAGTTTACGTCCTACACTCATTTGAATGAATATATCGAATGAGTGTAGGACGTAGGCCTAAACAAAGTGCAGTCAGACCTTACCAATTTTTCCTCTTCAGTTGGGTTAAGACTATCATGCCGTATGACATCAAAGTCCCCTTCTAAAACTGCCCCACATACATGACATCTTTTATTTGCACCCTCGCCTTGAATAAAATGGTTTATGCAAAATATGTGAGAACATCTTGTCACACAGGCAAAATCGATTAACAGTTCTTTACAGTTTCTATAATTGCACGTCAAACTTGACTCTGCCATTACCAATATATAAATTGATAAAAATTAATTTGTTACTTTCCCGTGTTGTCAACTTAATGGTGTTGATAATAGAACTATGAAAATGTTGCAACGGTTTTGTTTGTGTCTATCTCCAACATCTTTAACATTTCTTAATCTTAACTTAAAGCACGATTACTAGAAAAATACCGGTATGGATCATAAACATAAACAAATGACGTTTTTGGCCCGAAAATAAACATTATTTAACATTGCTTAAATGGAACTGCCAAATCATATGTTCAATGCTATATTAGTAGTATAGGATTCGGGCCAACAACGTCATTTTGTTTATGTTTATGATCCATACCGGTGACTTAAAGTAGTAAAGTGGAGTACCGGAAAAGGTCCCATTAATATTTACCTACAGTTTCCGACAGGTTAGCCAACATATAGTGTTTGAAATAGTTTTTATTCTTGTTATACTACATGCTTCTACGAAATTGTTTAGGATTTGCCATGTTCTCTAAAACGTGTCGTCAGATCAATTTTGGGAAATAGTTATTTGTGTAACTAGTGGTGAAAGTGGCACTTTGCTGCACACGAGAGCAATGTTTACGCACGAGCCGCAGGCGAGTGCGGAATGATCTCGAGTGCAGCAAAGGCCTTTTTCACTCGTGTTACACATTATATTTTTCCTACAGTCACTATAAAGTATATAAATAATTAATTAGTCTTTCAAACACTATACAACACGTTTTTAGGTTCAGCTGGCAACACAAATGGTGCCCTAGAGATTAGAGAAGTAGTACCCGCGGTCCGTATCGCTCCGCTATTTTTCCTCGGCAAGAAATGTGCTCCGTGTTTTGAGAATATAGTTCCGTATGTTTTTGTAATTTGAAGTGGTTTCCGCGCCTAAAAAAAATGCTTTAAAGGTATTTTCTTGTTTATTAAGATCGTAGGAATGTTTTAAAAACGTTTAAAAGAAAAGTCCAGAAAGTTCAGAAATACCGAAACGATAAATACGAAATGACAGGTTAAATCGTAGTTATAATAGTCAATCAGCTGCTCATAGTATTATTATCTTTAAGTGTTGCCAACCTATTTCCAAGCGTACACGGATTACGTGCATAATAGAACCACGCTGTTTTGTGTTGTTTCGTTGGAATCCTGATGTGCGGCAAAGTATAAACCGTACGGCAAAGTATAAACCGTACGGCAAAGTATAAATATGCAGCAATTAGCAGCTTTCTGTACTATAAACAGTACAAGGAAGCCAACTTTGTCGGGTGACTGTAGGAAATAGTTACTACGAACAGTTTTAATTACATCTAACTGTTGTGTACATCTTGAGTATTTCCATAATCTTTGAGTTTACTCTTATAAAGTTATCGGAAATTATTTTAAAATAACGCCTGTAATGCTTCGCAATTGCTCGAATTCGAGCAACAGGTACACTAGTTTTTCTTAATTTTATAATTAAGTAAAACTTATGACGTCATAGATCTACGGACCATCAATATGACGTCATGGATGGCTCCCGTAAGCCTGTCCGGAACGCGACCGGTAGGGCCATTCATTCTCGCTTGCTCGCTCGCAAGTCACAACCACTGTCACAACGCTATTCATTCCTGACCACCACTGTTCCACTGTTCCACTGTTCCTTTTGCCGTTGCCGGTTGCCGGGGTGACGACGGTGGCGTCGGCGTGATGTAAATAACAACAAGCAGTGCCAGTGCAGTGAGGAGACAGTAACACTAACAAATCGACTATATCTAAATGCAGTAGTGAAAATTAGTGATTATGATATGTTAAGAAAATTAACCTCAGAATTAATGAGAGTTTATTGATCAATCAGTTAAATCAGGAGTCTAATTTACATGCTGGCATAAGTTACAAAATAAAAATCTCCCAACGTAGGCCTAATTGTTTGGTAGCCTACCTAAGAAAAGAAAACCCCATCATCATGTTCATTTACCTCAGCAAAAAGGTAGGCATTTCTTAATTTTTCCCTTGTAGTAGGCCTAATTATTAGGGCTGCACTTTACTTTGGGTCCTACACTAATTCGAATGAAAATATCGATTATTCGATTGTTTCATTTGATATATCGTTTGGTTAGTTAGGTTTGGTTAACCTTACCTAACTAACCAAAGGATATAACTTATCGAATAATCAATATATCAATCGATATTTTCATTTGAATGAGTGTAGGACCTAAAGTAAAGTGCAGCCGCCGAACTGCACCCCAGCTGCCGAAGTGTGCCCCCTAGGCTGCACTTTGCTTTAGGTCCTACACTCATTAGAAGAGTAGGCCTACAGTTCCCTAGAGAACCTGCGATGCATTATCGGTTTGGATCAAATCAAAATAGAGTATATTTTATTTTGTATAAAATAGACAATATTTACAGAATATGATGTAGGCCTATACGATTTTAACCCTTTGCTATTGGCTGTAGCCTACTGGCCAAGTCCAAGGCCTTCACCCCCTCGGCATTTATCATAACGGCTCGCTCCCAATAGCTCGGAATTTTTTTCACTGAAAACCTGACCCGTTAGCACAGGGGATTTAAATTTTAACTAAACAATTGTAGTTTTATACTGACAATGAATCTGGTGCTGATAGGCGCACCAGTACCTATAGACATGTTTGCCTCCAGGGCCGGATTTACCACTAGGCCGTGGCCTAGAGTCGCAAGTAAAAGGGAGCTGCAAAGGATTGACGATAAACATTTTTTTTTATCAATTTGCTGTGATTGCAGGTGACAATGATGATGTCCCAGTGGTTGCGGTTCACGGGAGATGTTCTTGATTTTGCCTCAATGGCGTGTGTCAATGATAATGTCCTGGTGATTGCGGCCCACTGGAGATGGTGATGTCTCCGTGATTGCCTATGGGGGATGTTCATGATTTTTTTTCCTGCAATCGCCAGGAATATGGGGGCATATGGGTGGGGGCCGCTCGAGTAGACCTAATTTGGCCTAGGGCCGTAGGTACCCTGAACGGCACTGTTTGCCTCCTCAATGACTATTCAGCCTTCACACCATCCGTTCAAATTGAATTGGCATACCATAGTGACATGGACGTCTTCGAAAGGTCTTAAAAAATCAGTCGAGTCTCGACACACGTCTGGCGCGCCTCCACATCCTGCCCGTGCACGAGTAGCATAAAAGTATAAACTATGTTAAATAACGGCCGACCAGTGTTTATGTGTTTTTGTGTTGTGAACTTCTTATGCACCTCTTCAGGGAAGTTTAGTCACTAGTTCTAATACGGATCCAAGGATAGGGATCCCAGATGTCCCCATTTCCCCGGACACTTCCTCTTTATGGGTACCTACATAAAAAACGTCCGGGGGGATTTCCGGCAAAACCTTAAAATGACCGGGATTTAGACAAATAAATAAATGAATAAAATTATTCCTGAATGCATAGTAGGCCTAGTATTAGTAATTCGCTCTAATCATCAATCGCCTAGGATGAGAATGGAATTGGAAACTAACTTACCTATATTAAAATATTGTGACACTGTAATGATATCTTATATTTAGAAGTTTTGTTTCCTTTTTGGATCAAATTTGTGTTTAAAGCTTAAGACTGTTGGCAAAATTAACCAAGCTGTCTCTGTCTCAGCTCACCACCACCCAGACCACCAAGTTCCTAGGCCCTACTAATGCCGAGAAGAAAATGTGTATTTTCAGTCAAGTAAAAAAAGGATTAGTTGCGAAAAAGTTTACTTGTTATAAAAACAATCAACACAACTCCCAACCTGTAAACAGTTGCACTATCCTCTGAAATTGGCAGTTTTGTTCTTTAAACATGTTCTTTACCCCTATCCGAGGATGGCGCTCGCGCCGAAATGTACATAATCCTGTAATCCACTAGGACAATACTTTGGACCACAAGGTGACAATCAGGTATTTTAACCTTTTATTTATTTGTCTTAAAAATTCTTTTTCCTAAGTATTTAACCAGGCTTTCTTTCAGATTGCTATTCCAAACAACACAAAAATTAACTGTTTGGCCTGGAGTAGCGAGCAAGGATGGATTGGGGTTGGTGGTGATGATGGTTTACTCAAAGTCCTCAAACTAGATCCAGGTAAACTCGTTTAGCCACTGCCAATGGATACCTATTATAGTTTGATGAACAACAAATTAGTATCAAACTAGACAGTTAGTTGTAAATGGTAAATTCTTGGACCTTTTGTTTTTTTTGCTATGTTAAGAATATGCCAAAATGTCTATGTAACAATGAAATATATAATACTAAACTCGTACAGTATGCTGACGATTCTAATCAAATCTTATTGTATCTACTAAATGTCAGATTGAACTGGAAGTAGGCCTAGCAGATCATATAGAATTATCACAAATCCAAGAATTTTTACTTAACAACCGATTAATATTAAATTTACAAAAAACTAATTTTATTTCATTCAACACAAAACAGAAAAAAATAAGTGTAGCCCTCATATTTTCATTGACAACAAAAAAATAAATCAAATTAGCCTTATTGTAAACAATTTTTTGGCATCCATATTGATGAATGTGGAGATGATGGTGGGACCATCATGTGCAAAGCATTGTAGCCTACATTAGGTAAATTCCGGAATCTTCGCCTTAAAAAGAATGTTTTATTTAAGTTACCTATTAACATTAACAATAGTTTTTAATTCCTATATCCAATCACATATATCAAATGGAATAGCATTGTAGGGGGCACTTCCCTTACTGTTTTACAGAAAAAAGCAATAATATTGTTAAATCTAGATTATAATGAGTATGTAAAGCAACATTTTGTCAATTTGAAACTATTAACTGTGTCGTACATGTAAAAAATAACCAGGATAAATGTAAATTACATTGTGAAACCCATAAATACAACACTAGAAACAAAAATAATATAGTTCTACCAAAACACAACACCTAGAATTTTATAAAAATAAGCCCTCATATGCCGGTGTAATGTTTTTAAAGATTATACCAAAAGAATTAAAAGTTATAAATGATGATAAAAAAGTTTAGACGTGAACTCAACGAATCTTTGATAGAAAGACCCATCTACTCTATAGATGAACTGTTTATGAATGTATACAGCTATAGATAGTTTTATTTTCTATATTTTTTGTTTAGTTTAAGTATTTGTACATAGTAACTATAAGCTTTACACTATTTATTGTAAGTTTTGTACATGCTATAAATAAAGATAATTTGAATTGGCTCAACGTGGTTGGCCAACTCATAACTCAGATCTCAGCCAAACCCCTTTCATTTCTCGTCAAAACTCAAATTTTCAATGCAGACAATGTTTACTTTGGGGAACTAGGGTGATCATTCCATCCACTCTCAGGCAACAAGCTCTGAAGCTTCTACACATGGGACATGACGGCATTGTTTGAACCAAGGCGTTGGCCCGAAGCTATTTCTGGTGGCCAAAACTTGATCAAGACATAGAAAACTTGGTGAAGCATGTCAACAAAGTCGTCACAACCCTCCAAGAGCAACAGTTCTTCCCTGGGAGAAAACTAAACAACCCTGGTCTCGTCTCCACATAGATTTCGCTGGGCCCTTCCAAAACAAGTTGTTTTTGATTGTTGTTGATTCTTTCAGCAAATGGTTAGAAGTGGTTTTGGCGACTATAAAGGTTCTCAGAAGCTTTTAGCAGCACATGGTTTTCCAGACACAATGGTATCTGATAAGGAGTCGGCTTTCACTTCACAAGAATTTAGATCGTTTAATAAAAGCAATGGCATCCGCCACGTCGTAGTTGCACTATACCATCCATCATCTAATAGTTGGCTCAGTTCCTAATATCATCTCATGTAACGGCAAATTGTTCGACTAATATGTCACCATGTGAACTGCTGTTCGGTAGGCGTATTAGAAACATCTTAGGCAGAGTTCACCTTGATTATTCTTCAAATAACAAAGAAGAAAAAATCTTAGATAGAGTGCTTCACGATTACCAACAGTCACCTCCGAGGAAATTTAAAGAAAATGATTCCGTATTTGCAAAAAAGCTAAATCAGCGAGGACCAAAGTGGATTCCTGCCAAAGTCGCTAGTATAACCGGACCGCTGAACTACCATTTGATAACAAAAGAAGGCATTGAAATACGACGTCATGTTGACCAATTGAGACCCCGCTCAGAAATATCAAAAGCATCTCCTAACTCACCCTTGGATAATCCTGAATCTCCAGTTAACCCACCGTTCCACCCACTCCTCCAGAATCCTATTCTGATGAGAACACCAGACGTACAACCAATGTGACCATCAGTGCTGCAACAATCTTGCAATTCCTTTAGTGGTATAGACAAGGACCATCAATTAATTAACCCTCATCAAGAAAAGTTTCTGGTTTAGCTGGTCCCAACATTTCTGGTTTTATTCAAGACCCTGTGAGCATGAGTTCACAACCTGTTGGGAAACATGTCTTAAGATCAAACTCCCAAAACACCTCAATGAATCCTCGACCCGTTCGGATCTGTCGACCACCGGCTTATCTCAAGGACTACCTGACGGGGGAAGAGTGTTATGTATCAAGAAATAATCCCATATGTGTTTATTATAACATCTGTTAGATGACTGTTTATATTATTATGTTTTGTTTACTTTTTTAGTTGAGCCTGAATTATGAGTTCAATAAATCCGGTTTTGTTAATTATGTTTCGATTTACTAAAAAATCTGACTGAGATATGGAATTAGTGTATAAAGACCTTGCCCAGCTATGTTAAAATGTTACAGACTAGCTTCTCTGTCTATTCTTTAGGCAAAGATGGGAAAGTAAAGGGTTTGGCAGCACCAGCTAACCTCTCTATGAATCAGACTCTGGAGGGACACTCTGGAAAGGTTCAAGTGATAACATGGAATGAGAATCATCAGAAGTTGACAACAAGTGATCAGAGTGGGCTCATTATTGTTTGGATGTTGTATAAGGTTAGTGTTTTACAGATTTTGTTGGGGAATGAGGCTCCATAAATAATTAGGGTTCATTTAAAACTAAGAAATGTATGCTGTATATATGTAAAATTCATTAATCTAATACTGTATCCTTTTTACTTTCTCAATATATGGAGAGTTTTTTTTTACTTTTTTGAAATTTTGATTTTTAATGGGGATTTTCCCATAAAACCCCATAAAATAACGGAAAAATAGGATTTTCTCAAAAATGGCCCTTACGATTTTATTAAAAATTGAGTATGTTATAGTCCTTATCCTGGACTAGTATGAATTCTGAACAGAATGGTACAATTTGACAAACAGCATGGTTTTTTATTTCCGTAAAAATTACGGTTCAAAAGTTATTGTTAACTATGTTATTTTCCCATAAAAAGTCATAAAATAACAAAGAAATCTCATTTTTGGAGAAAAGCTGGCTTTGATCAAAATTATTATGTTATGGTTCTTAAATTATTTTAGTAAATAAGTACAACTGAGCACCCTGAATAGGCTATTATATTTTTAAAAGAAGTGACATGTTTCGGACATAAGTCCATTTTCAAACTTCAAATATATTGAATACTTCTGGTATACGTTCTTATAATTCTAAAAAAATTGTACAACACCCCATTGCTGTAACAATTATGGCTCAAAAGTTATTGCAACTTTTGTGATTTTTAACTATAAAATATCATATTTACTCTTACCCATGATAAAGGTTGTTGACTGACAAGCTTTTGGGAGAAAGTATGTGTCAGAATGCTGATACCGTTTATTTTACAATTTTTGTTAGGTTTAGTAAAACTGAATATCCTCTGGCTACTATGCTTAAGGTTATCATCTCTCTATTCCTTTTTATCAACTTTTTTTGGAGGTGGCATTTCTTAGATTTTATTAACTTATTGCTACAGTGTATATAATTTGTAGACTATGTTTTAAATGCTATTTTATTTTTAGGGTTCATGGTATGAAGAAATGATCAACAATCGTAACAAGTCTGTTGTCAAAGGGATGGCTTGGAATTCTGATGGTCAGAAAATCTGCATTGTATATGAAGATGGTAGTATTGAATTTAATGTTTATTCTTTTTAAGATACCAAAACCTATTAATATCGTTCAAAACCTAGCAGAAAGGTTTATGTGAACCATACACACATTTATCAATGACCCATTTTAACACACTCACTCCCGGTGTCTGGAGACTCTACATACAGAGGAGTGTAATGGCCGGTACTGAACCTGTTTACACACTCACTCCCAGGTGTCTGGAGACTCTACATACAGAGGAGTGTAATGGCCGGTACTGAACCTGTTTACACACTCACTCCCAGGTGTCTGGAGACTCTACATACAGAGGAGTGTAATGGCCGGTACTGAACCTGTTTACACACTCACTCCCGGGTGTCTGGAGACTCTACATACAGAGGAGTGTAATGGCCGGTACTGAACCTGTTTACACACTCACTCCCAGGTGTCTGGAGACTCTACATACAGAGGAGTGTAATGGCCGGTACTGAACCTGTTTACACACTCACTCCCAGGTGTCTGGAGACTCTACATACAGAGGAGTGTAATGGCCGGTACTGAACCTGTTTACACACTCACTCCCGGTGTCTGGAGACTCTACATACAGAGGAGTGTGATGCCCGCTACTGAACCTGTTTACACACTCACTCCCAGTTGTCTGGAGACTCTACATACAGAGGAGTGTGATGCCCGCTACTGAAACTGTTAAGTCTTATTTCCTATAATAAGCTTTGAGGTAATAATATTTAAGCATTAATTGGTTGCAGGTGCTGTGATTGTCGGTTCTGTGGATGGAAACCGTATCTGGGGCAAGGAGCTGAAAGGTACAGCATTGACAGGTGTTCAGTGGTCGCCGGACGGAAAACTACTGCTTTTCAGTTTACGGGATGGGGAGGTCCATGCTTACGACAATCAGGGAAACTTTGGTGTAAGAGTAAAGATCATATCTCTGGTTAACTGATTGTTGAGCTTCAATTGCAAATTTTTCAAGTCGAATAATCTGGAAATTCAGGTGTATGCCATCATTGCCACGATTTATTGTTATAAAACAATTTTCATAAACATTAAACATGTCATCTGTTACTGTGGACCTTAAACTTTATCTGTACCAATATTATTTTGCCAATGCCTGTACAGTAAGCCTACAACTGGTATTACAACAAAAATAGATTTGTATGCATGAAAACTACGAAGGGGAAGAAGTAATTATTGAGCGGAGCAGTTCTTATACGTCGACTCTTATGCGTTCCGTATTACGCAAACTCCTCCTAGACGGCTGAAGCAATCGTTTTCAAATTTTGCATGGTGATAAAGGCCAAATCGGCGAGTGCCAAAATCTATTTGGGGTTAAAAAAATCTCTCAGGAATCCGCCCCACGGGGTCTCAAAGTTTCAATGTAATCCTTATGGAAGCAGTATTTGACACACAAACAAAGGCATAAGATCAGCTGTTGACTTTTGAATGCAGTAGATCAAGAAATAGCTGATAAAATTATTGAACAGATTTTAGAACATAAACGATATGGATCATAAATATGATCAAAATGACTACACTAGCTTGAATCATATACTAATAGCCTTAACATCTCGTTTGGACGTTTATTGATACAGTTGTTCCATTTTGAATAATAAAACAAACATGTTTGCTTTCGGTCCATCCAACTAAATTAACAGTTAAAGTTGTGTTTGAAAATTTCTAATCTTACTTGGGAAAAGCTTATGGAATGTTTTTAGTAGCCCGCATATTAGCGATGAATTGGTTTTAGAATATGAATCTTGTGGGGTCTTAAAGGAACAGAACCACATGTTTTAGTGCGAACAAAGTTTACGTGTTTACATGGTAAGTTAATACATACAGCTTTAAAAAATTGTGTCTTAGTTGATATTGTGTCTTTTTAATGTGATAGGCTTACTTGAGAAAAAAAACTCAATTTAGCTTTCATAAAAAAAGGTATGAGTTAATTTGAATGAAAACCATACACGTTAACAAAGTTTACATATCATCCACACACCTTGAATAATTAGGATTTTATGATATGATTGAAATGCCGATACGTAGCAAATATTTCGATCTTATTAAGATCAACAAGGACCACTAGGAAGCACAACAATTTTAGCCAAAACTCAGCGGCTTTAATTTTGCCTTCAATCACTTTCCGATAAATTGTACAAATTATTAACGTGTAACACATGGGTTATGGTTTAAACGCTGGATTTAACTTTTGTAAATTTTTTAAATTTTAAAATGTTAACATTCATCAAAATCAAAATAAAGTCAAATTAGAATTCATTTAAGTCAATCTATAAATTTTATGTTGTAAAAAACATGTTAAATTATTTTACAGAGTATATTAAGATAGTTGGGTGGTTAATTATGTTTTAGTAGTTATGAAGGTCTCAGATTCAAGAGAATGTTTTATATTTTGTGTTTTCACTTATATTATCACCACCACATGAAATCCTCTTATGCATTTATCGGTAGCCAAAATAGTAGAACCCGAAACTGTTAGGGTTGATTTGTAGGTTATCACTAGCTGGAACTGTACTGCCCTGTTTGAGAAAAAGTTGATGACCAACCCAGGGGTTTTAGTTTTAAACTGATAATGTAGGCTGAATGCAGGTCTACAGAAAGGTCTGAAATGATATCTAAGACGTGTTTTTTTACCCCCCTTCACTACAAAACAATGTGTAGCCAATCTAATTACCTCAATATTTATCTCCTCACAAAAAAAAATTGTCTTCACTTAAAATTGAAGGTAAAAATAATTATGAAGCTCGATGGACAAGGTCAATAACAATATAATATGAACCCTGATTACTCTGCTCAATTTGGTGGATGCCTCTGCCAATGCTACCTAGTTTATTAAACAGTTGTTATTTGTGTTTATAGTAATCTTCAATATTTATTAGCGTCAAAATTCACCTAATGAGATAGGCCTAGTAATATATTTTCTTTTCATTGCCGACAGATGAAAGTGAACATCCAATGCCTGGGCAACACAGGGACAGGTCAAGTGTGGGTGAAGTCAGCTACAGTGGTGGGGATGGCCTGGTACGACGGACACAACGGATATGTGGACGAGGACTGTCCCTGTCTGGTCATCTGTTACCACTCAGGTCACCTTCAGATCATGAGATCTGAGAATGACGACAGTGAGTTACATAGTACCTTAGTTACATAGGCCTTACATAGTAGGCCTACCAAGAACACAAAACTTAAAAGTGCATGAGACTTGGGGAGAAAACTATAATACTCTTTAATTCTTTAATACTATAAAATTGCATAGTGAGGAATAGTGTAACATGAACATTTTTTGTAAACCTATCAAAAGGTTGATAGCTTATTCGAAGGGTGTTTGAAGAGTCTAACACCTACATTGGTATGGTTTCTTAAAGTCTTAGTTAACTAACTTTGCTAATTTCAGTGTTATATCAATGGATATCTTTATTATAAATGAGACTAAGCCTTACTCTCGACATAGATAAGGTATTACATACATAATAAGGTACGGATAAGGTATACGTACATTTGTATAGGTATTAATCAACTAATAAACCATCAAGATCTCAATAGTAAATGTATTCTCAGATGATGAATTCTTTCCACTGTTTTTCACAGGTCCTGTGATTCTTGACACTGGTATCTCTGCTGTTGGGTGCTCGTGGAACCACAACGGTAGTGCTCTGGCAGTTACTGGATCAATGGTCCTTACTGGGGAAACCAAATCTTGCAATGTCGTACAATTTTTCACACCATTTGGTGAGGTAAGTACTGTATTAGTTAGCTTACACTGGATGTAAACTTTATAATTTATATGAGGTTTCTTTGATTACATGAATCCTAAAAGTGTGATTGTATTGGGGTTTCTTAGGCGTACAGGCTGTCTATTTTGTAGATAGTGGCAAAAAATTAAAACTATAGGCTGAGGAAACCAAACACGGGTGAGATAAAAAATAGCTCAGAGACATGTCTGCTCATCAGTGTTAATCTGTTGACTTACTTTCTAATCTACCTACTTTCTATCTCATTTATTAACTTCACAATACGGTAGATAAAATATAGCAAAATTATAGTTATTTGTGCAACTATATAGTGAGCAAAGTGAGCAATTGCCTCACTCGAGTGAGGCAATTGCACTTTGCACTCGAGTTGCACATTATATTTCTCCTACAGTTACCAAACAAATAAATTGGTAAAGAAACGTAATATAATTTATTTTTACACAGAAGTAAACTTTTAATATGACATTTAATGTGAAAGTAGCATTACAGTACAACAGCTGACCAGCTTATTTACAGCCAGTGCTGCTAACGTATTTTGCGCGCATACGTCCTTGTCTGCATGTTACACGCTCACTGTTTCGTGCCTTCACGTTGCAAATCTGGAGTGAGACTGATGAGCGAATTGGCCACTTTGCTTTCTCAAATTAGTGACAGAACATGTACATTGTTAGGTAACTGTAGGAAAAGCAAGGTTTTTAAAGAAACTCCAAAAAGATTAGACTTACTGGGATCCTTTATTAGGCATTTTTGAAAAGGTATAAAGGTCAGCTAGCTTTCCTGGGAAATAAAAGTCCAGGGACAAATTGGTACACAAAAAAAGGTTATGCCAATTGAATACACATTCTAAAAGTGAAATGCCTAAATTAATTTATCAATCTCTTCTCTTATACTTTATAATTGTTTCTAACAAAGTCGTGTTCATTTTAAAGGAGAGCTAGCTATATCCTAACCTAAACTAAGCCATCTGTAGCCTTGCACCAGCATATTAACTACAAATACCTTGCGGTTTCACTTAAATACAACTACTCTATTCTATTGTATACACGATTAAGTAGAAACCTACATAGTAAGTTTAAATTTTCACAGCACCTCCGCACCTTGAAGATCCCCGGACGGGAAGTGACATGCTGTGTGTGGGAGGGTTCATCATTGCGTGTTGCACTCGCTGTAGACTCATTCATCTACTTCGCCAACATCCGGCCGAGCTACAAGTGGTGCTACTTCTCTAACACTGTGGTCTACTCATACAACCGCCACGACCGGCCCGGCGTTCACCTTACATTCTGGAACACTAACAATGCTGAGGTAACATGTGGTAGAGAAAAAGGCACATGTTGTAAAAGTATTACTCTATATTCTTTAGGCTTATAAATTTAACTGAACTGTAATCATCATTACTTTGTCAGTGAATTTAAAAATCAACTAGCTTGAGAGCATTTATACAGGGTGTCCTGGAACTCAACTTTTTCAAGCATTATTCCTGGACCATGGACAAGTCAAAATATCATATTCAAAATCTCAAAAACTCAAAATGTCGGCTTGTATAGCCGAGATTTTTTTTCTTCAGAACATTTTTAATTCAAGAATGTCTTATTATAAAAATAAACGGTATCAGCATTCTGACACATACTTTCTCCCATAAGTTTGTCAAAAACCTTTATCATATGTAAGTGGTGAGCGTAAATATACGCAAATGGGTTTTGTACAGTTTTGTTAAGAATTTAAAGGACTATAACATGCTAAATTTTTATCAAAATCGTTCGGGCAATTTTTGGGAAAATCCGATTTTCTGTTATTTTATGGGGGTTTTATGGGAAAATGACATAATTTACAACAACCGTAATTTTTACAGAAATGGGATTTGTACCATTTTGTTCAAAATATAAAGGACTATAACATACTAAATGTTTATCAAAATCGTTCGGGCCATTTTTGGGAAAATTATATTTTTCCGTTATTTTATGGGGTTTTATGGAAAAATTCCAACTAAAAATAAAAATTTCTAAAAAATAAAAAACTATAAAAACTGTAAGAACTATAACATACAATGTTAAATCAAAACCGGATTTTTTCTAAAATCCTATTTTTCGTTATTTTATGGGGTTTTATGGGAAAATAACATATTTGACCATAACTTTTGAACCGTAATTTTTACAGATATGGGATTTGTACCATTTTATTTCGAATTTAAAGGGCTACAACATACTAAATTTTTATCAAAATCGTTCGGGCCATTTTTGAGAAAATCCGATTTTTCCAGTTTTTTATGGGTTTTTATGGGAAAATCCCCATTAAAAATCAAAATTTCAAAAAAATGAAAAAAACGCCTGGAGATACTATGGATTAGAACCTACATACCAAATTTCATCGAAATCGGACCACAGGTGTAGTCCCTAGCTCTGTACACATCCAGACACACAGACACACAGACACACGGACACACAGACACACACACACACACACAGACATCACTTTGAAAACCACTTTTTTGGGTCCAGGGGGACCCAAAACGGATATATCCACTCAAAACTCAAACTCGAAAATTTTGACGAAAACAATACTTTCTCCATATACTATGGTATAGGGGGAGAAAGTAAAAATAAATTTGGTAGGGCCTATATGGCCTTTTTACCTTAAGAAATATTTAAGGTGCACAAATTATTTTTCTAGAGTGTTTATTTTCAAAATGGCGGCTGATTAAAAATTTAAAACGTAAATATCTCAAAAACTTCCTATAACAATTTTTGTTTTACTGTTATGTTCTTTAAAGAAAATTTAATTACAAATCTTATGATACACAAAATTAAGAAAATCAGTTTATAAATAAGGGAGAAAGCGAGAAAGCTCATAAAAAAAAAATGTGATCATGTCAATACCAACTGTTAACTATGTAAAACCACTGCTAGTGATACACGTCAATCAGCTGCTTTATGCTTATTTACTCTGATCAGCTGTTCAAAACCATACATTGTTAAAATGGGCTAATCCTGTTTGTTGTTTATTTTTAATCGGTGTGCTGATTATTATCGGGTTTTCTTCAAATCTACGAAGAACATCTTCCTCAAATGCAACTGAACACACTGCTGGTGTCTGGGTTGTGGTTCGGTTTCAAACTATCAAAAAGCTTCTGACTTTTATCAGGATCGATCCTGCAACTTATTGATGGTTAGGCAAGCACTATAACCACTCAGCTACCCAGCCAGTTTCATTACTATTAGATATGAAATGTATACTAGAAATGAATTATGATTTATTATGTCCAAAGCTTATTGATAATTATGTCCTTGGTGCTGACTATAGTTTTGTCCAGTATGTTTCTTAGACAATATACAAAACTACAAAAGCTTAACATTTTGGACATGTTACTGGAATGTTTATGTTAAGATACAATGACATTTGAACACCTTTTTAATTTGTAGATTCTAATACACATTAAGATTGTTATGTACAAGGATAGGGATCAAAAGGTGGGTGACCACCTTTTGACATACTTGACGCCTGAAGATGACTTTGTAGAAAGTTGAAACTAGTTGCAACACTAGCAACAATTGGATAACTACAAAGCAGGTATTTACACCAATTTAATAGATAGGTATCAGCTAGCTTACCTGGTAGACAGAGTCCAGATTAGCCTAGGTACACTCATAAACCAGGTAAGCTAGCTGATCCCTACCCTTGTACATAACAATCCTAATCAGCCAATTAGAATTTCCTTAACTTCTAATACACATTTAAATAATTCTAATAAGTTTCTGATGGGTTTAAGCGTTAACACTGCAGTGAATTGTTGACTAAACAATGTATTTTCATTTTAATTTTCCATTTAAACATTAACTGAACTGTTCTCTAACATTGATTTCAGTGCTATAGTAAAGCTGTGAAGTCACTGTTAGGAGTGGCTGCATGTAAGGATCATTGTGTTTTGGCCATCAAAGCTGAGGATGCTAGCGCTCAATATGGCCTCATACTGTGCAACGCCATAGCTACGCCGGTAGACTGTGAGTGGTAAAAATATATCACTGATTATTATATGCTTAAATCCGAGCTTAATCCTAAATTCATTGAAAAGAAACACAAACCCTTAACATGTGAATTACTTACAAAATAAAAAAATATGAAACTGCTCTTTCATGTTCTAGTGTCATCATAAAAAAAAAATAAAGAAAAATCTGTTCCACATGTGTAAAGAAGGACAATCTGTACAATCAATTCCGCCTATAATATCTTTGACATCATAAAAAAGTTGATTTCCAGTGGAAATCCTGCAACTGTTAAGTAAATGTAGATGTGTGTAGTGGTTACTATACTGATAACTACTCATTGACCTAAAATTTCACCCATCAGTTATTCTTAGAAATTTTGACTATTACTTAGTGCACCCCTGAAAGTTTTATTCATACTGGTATTTTCGAATCCAAAACCAGTTAATATAACTTTTTAGCCCGGTTTATTAAGATCAATGAAGAACAGTTTGTCTTAATAATATCAATACATACATACATATCCTCTCCCGCTAGGCCTCTCCATCTTCTTCTGTCCTTCCACAATTCCACTTCCTCCACATACTGCCATTGCACTCCTCTTGCTTCCACATCACCTTTCACCTCGTCGAACCACCTTCTTCTGGGTCTTCCTCTTGGTCTTCCATTCGAAGTTCACTCATTCTTTTCGGGATTCTTTCATTCTCCATTCTTCTTACGTGGCCAAACCATCTCAATCTCGTCTTCTCTACTCGTTCTCTCAAACTTTCTTTAATTATTCCTCTTCTCAGTTCTTCATTTCTCATTCTGTCTAATCTTGTTTAACTTTTATCCCTCTTATAAACTTCATCTCCCCTGCCTGAACCTTACTCCATTCCCTCTCTGTTATGTTCCAAACTTCAGCACCATAGGTAACTATCAGTATATAGTATGTTTTGTACATGGTAACTTTAGCTTTCTTTGGTATATCCTTATCCCAGACTAGATGTCTAATACTTTGGTAAAATCCTGCACTTTTCCCCAGTCTTGCCGTCACCTCTTGCGCCATCCTTCCATCGTTCGAAATCACCGTACCTAAATATGTAAATTTTTCAACCAACTTAAGTGGTTTTCCTACTACTTTTAAAGGTTGTTCCAACAACCTATCTCTTCCGATCAATAATATAAATATGTTCAATTTAATTCAATGCATAATTTGGGATTCTCTAAATAAACTAAAACACTACTACATTCTTTTTGTTGAGTATTTACTTACTCTTCTCTTACTCCTAGGACCTGATTAGAAAGGTCGCTCCAACAAAGCTTCTCGGTGTCCTGCAGCTACTTCAGTTGCACCTATCCTCCTTGTATCAGTCACCACTTGGCTCTGTTTTTGCTTTGACCCTCCTCTCAGTCGTCTTCCTTCAGAGTTTTTGTTATTACTTGCTTGAGTTAATTTTCATCCCATTTTCTCTAAACCTGTGGGTTAAAATGTAGCAAAATGGGCTAAGTATATCTTTTTTTCACCAAACATGAACATAGAACAAACTGAGAACTTTTAGTCAAATCTGAATATTTGCTAGCCACACTGTTTGAAGTTGTAATTATACGTTATGTTCCAGCTAAGTATATGGAGTTGGAACCCCTTTTTGTAGCCATTAACTCCAGTCATGTGTTTGCTGCTTCAAGAGACAACTTCCTACTGTGGCACTACATCACACCCAAGAGTCATTCTACCCTAGGCAATGCAGGTACAGTAAGGTTAGGTTAGTTACTCGTTTTGAAATAGTCAACATGTAATTAATTAAGATTAGACTCAAAAGTTTCAGGGGGTGGTGATATTATTTATTCCTAAACAAATTAAGAACATATATACTAGGATTTTTAAAGATGATTTGGAGTAAAATAAAAGAAGTACAATGGAGTTTATCTCGTGTTTTATTTTTCTGTCATGGCAGGAACTCGTCATCGCAAAGAGCGGTTGTACCACATTGACGACACGCCGTCCGGAGTGGCGGAAGTTATACAAGATCTGGATCACACATTCCAAGTATGTCTTAAACTTAGATACATTTGGAAAAATAGTAATTGGATAGAAGTTTGATGGAGCACAAACAAGTAATTAATACAGGAAAAACAATACTGCGTGTGAATAAGGTCTATGTAGAACAAAAGTGTCCATGTTTGTGGTTTAGAGTTTTTAGCAATCCTTTACCTGAAATTTCCTTTTATTCCTCATTTTTCAGGACTGGAAAACATATGGAAGATACAAACAGATCAGATGGACCCACATCATGATAAATATCTGTACTTATAAAAGTCAAATACCATTCATTGACTCACTGATCACTGTAACTAAAAAACTAATAACCCTAAGAACTCATGAATTGGGATGGAGATTCTAATTAGGCTCTAGGTGTGCAATAAGAAGTAAATTTTTTTTGTTTTACTTTTCCTTTGCCTATGTTTGGTTACTTTTCCTTGAGTTAACCTTTTGATTCTACCATTAGGTACCATAGATTTCTATTGCGTCAAGAGAAGTGACAGTACATTTTTCTTATAATATAATGTGAGATAAGTGTTCAAACCTTTAAATTCTGTTTAAATTGTTTACTTATTATTAGTTCAGTATTATACAGGGTGGCTGAAAAGTAACTTACACCCCCCCTTAACTTTTCAATCATTTGAGATATTTGAAATCTGTTTGCGGCAACCTTCTTGGATATGAGGGGCTACAATAATTATGGTCAATTTTGAAAACTTTGCCGTTAGGGCTAGCGGGGGTAGGGGGTAGCTCAAAAATTTCAAATGACAAGTATAGTCAAGTTTGGTATCAATTTACAGGTCTTGATAAAACCTAACAATTGACATAAAGAAAAGCAAAAATCGGCCCACTAATAACGAAATGGCACCCTAAAAATTTCAAATCCAAATAACCATGAGGATGGCTGAAAATTAACTTGCACCCCTTTTAACTTTTTAACTTTTTGAGATATTTGAAATCGGTTTATGGCAACTTGTTTGGATATGAAGAGCTACAATAATTATGTTCAATTTAAAAAATTTTGTCCTTAGGGGTAGCTTAACATTTTCCAATATCAATTATAGTCGAGTTTGGTATCATTTTACAGGTCTTGACAAAACATTTACAATTAACATAAATAAAACAGAAATCGGGCCATTATTAATAAAATGGCAGTTAAAAATTACATGTAATTATTGTAGCCCTTCATATCCATACAAGTAGCTGCAAACTGATTTCAAATACCTTAAATAGTTAAAAAGTTAAAGGGGGTGCTAGTTAATTTTCAGCCATCCTCATGGTTATTTGGATTTGAAACTTTTTAGTCCGCCATTTTGTTATTAGTGGGCCGATTTTGGTTTTGTCAAGACCTGTAAAATTATACTAAACTTGACTATAGTTGTCATTTGAAATTTTTGAGCTACCCCCTACCCCCGCTACCCCTAAGGGCAAAATTTTCAAAATTGACGATATTTATTGTAGCCCCTCATATCCAAGAAGGTTGATGCAAACAGATTTCAAATATCTCAAAAGGTTAAAAAGTTAAGGGGGGGGGATGTAGGTTACTTTTCAGCCATCCTGTATATTTAAAAAACAGCAATTAATTGATTTTGCAAGCAAATGTTAATTTACATTAAGAACAAGTGCTTTTTTTTTTAATAGAGGGCCAGGCTTACAAGTTACCATGGGATTGCATCGCAGCTAGAACAGCTTATTGTGCACCCTCGTTCACAGATCCTCATTCTCCGTCAAATCCCAGGTCTTTGGTGAACCGTGAGAGCCTTTTGACTATGGTGACCTGTTTTTCCCTTTGATCTCCCATCAATAGGCCAAGGGATCTCATACGCAGACCTTGTAGGGCTGGGCACATAAATATACCTTCACAGCTTTCACAAGGTCTCTGGCTGGGGCAAGCCGTAGCGAGATTTCCCCGAAAGGACTCAGCTCCTGAACTTGCTTGACCAGCCAATCCTTTGTGGCTGCGTCAGCACAACCTCCACCTTTCTTCCTGGAGGCTTCAGTAGAGTCAGCTTTGGGGGTACCACCCTTGCCCTGCTTTTTCCCAGCATCCTAGTTCCCGGAGGAACTGGCTTTGCAGGCAGCAGAGTTAGGGTGCTTGGCAGCCCACACCAGCCTCCTCTCACTTCTGGATAGCACCTTTTCGCCTTTGGCTTAAGCATCCGCTATCCTCCTTCTTTGCAACTCGCCCCTGGAAAGTCGTTTTTCGTTCCTTTCCGGTTTCTGCGAGCTTGTCGTCATCGTCAGATTTCAGTAGACCTTCCTCCTCCATTTGGGTCAGATTGTCTACATTGTTCTCACGAATACCGGGTATTTAAGTCCACCTCCCCAGTGACCCGATTAGAGAGGTAAGGGGTGCGTACGACTGGGTTACCCCTGGTTCCCAGAAGGCTCCGTTAAGACACTGAATATTAGGCCCCCAGTGCCACAAGACTCTTGGCACGGATCGCATTACACCTTAGTCTAGGGCCCCCCTCACTTGGTTCTGTAGGTGGACCAACACCCAGTGGCAGAAGGTAGCTCTCCGCAGCTAACAAGTGAGAGTTGGGGTTTAGGTTGTGGCCAATCTGCCAAACCAACCCCGCATGCGAGGTTTGGCCGGAACGGCGCAAAATTTTCTCCCACTCACTAAAACCCCATACCTTCTGAACAAGTGCTTAATCATCCAGCAGTTTGCACTGGACGAGGTGGTAAAGAATCGCCATATATATTTTATGCGTTCTGTCCCTGTGGTGAGGCATGGACAGAACAACTATTTCTTTTTAAATCTTTGACCATAAAAGGCTAATTCAACATCTAGAGGGAAACAATCTGGTTACCTGTTAACAACATAGTTTCCTGATTAGGGGAGATTCCAATCAACTCTGATACAACTGACAAAATATATATTTTATTTTAATTTGTTTTATTCTCATTTTAATTTATTCCATTTTGTTTCAGCCTACAATCAGTACTCAGGTAAGTGTACATCAAGATTCATTTTTTAACAAATACTCGCTTTTTACTAGATTGGCAACAAAGATTTTAAACTTTCTCTAATTAAACTCACTATGTCTGTAAATAATGTTAAGACAACTCAGCCATGTCTATTAATTAAGATTATCTTAGAAAAATTGCCTGAGAAGGTGGTTTGAATTCACACACCAACATAGCCTTTTAGTAATTTACAACAACAAACAATTTACAAACACCAGTGCTGTTTTCAGACAGAATTAAGGTAACTCCTCATAATATTCTATTATTCCCAATATATTGTTGTAATACAGGCAACAGCTGATCCTATCTGCTGTCTGGCTGTCAGTGAGAAGGTGCTACTGATAGGTAGAGAGTCTGGCACCATACAACGCTACAGTCTACCCCAGGTGGCTCTGGTACAGAGATACAACCAGCCCTGCAGACCTCACACTGTCTCTATCAACTGTGACTCCTCGATGGCGTCAGTGATAGATGCCACTGGGGTGTTGACTCTGCTAGAGCTGGAGCCTGGGTCTGCTCCTCCAGGTACGCTGGAGAGGAAGGACGTGTGGGCCATGGTCTGGGCCTCTGATAACCCTCAGTTGCTGGCTATCATGGAGAAGACCAGGATGTATGTACTGAGGGGTGTTGACCCCGAGGAGCCTATACCTAGTGTCGGCTACATCTGCTCCTTCCAGGTGAATTTTGTTAATTATATTTATGGGGGTTTTCCAGCTTAATAATTGGTCAAAATTTTGTTGTTGTTTTAATACAATTTTTTTTTTAGTTTGTCACCAGGATGTTTACAGCTCCTAAATATCCCTGGAAAAGACCCCAACATTTCAGTTTGGATTTCAGTATTTTATAATGAGTCCCAGTGGGCCCAGTGAAGAACTGTTACCATGACTTGGTGTAAATGTTCGGATTTGTTGGTTAAAGTTTCCACAAGCTAGTTTCATATTGATATGTGTAAAGAATTTTGTTGAAAGTTTTAAGTATGATAAGTGGGGTTAGAGGTAGCTGGGAATTGCTAACTAATTTTATTTTACTGTGATGTGTAAAGTCAATGAACCAATATTTTTTTAGCTGAGGAAAGTGGTAATGTAGGAATATGTAGATATGTCATTATACCTTGGATAATTGAATAAATAAACCTTACTGTGACATATGTAAACGTCACAGAATGTGTGGACCCATCATAAAAATGTGCATTAATTTCCCAGTTATCAAATGCCAGGCTGTTTAGTGTCTACAGACCCTTTTTATGGTTGCTCTTATGTGCATTTCACTATTGTGCATGCATTGATATTACTTCTAATTAATTGAATAAGATAGTCCTTTGGCTAACATGCTACTTTTTATCTTGTAAGTTTGTATGGTTGCAAGTCTACAATATTCAATAAGAAAATCATACTCTTACTGATAAACAAAATTTGAAGAGTTAGTTAATGAGTCTTGCTTGTAGGACTTGGAGATCCGAGCCGTGTTGTTAGACGAGGTGATACAATGCAAGGGTCAGCCTACCAGGGAGCAGCACCTGCTGGACTTGGAGGTGAAAAGTCTACGAGACACTCGTCAGCTGCTGGACAAGGTCGGCATCCCAGAGACAATATCTTTCATTGAGGAAAACCCTCATCCTCGCCTGTGGTGGGTAGAGAAGTTGCTTATCTGGCCAGAAGTATCTTGTAAACGTAACTTGCAAACTTAGCAAGATTTGATTTCTATTTTTTATATAGACTTGATAGACTTAAGTTTATATCATAAACACCGATTTCTGACTCTAAAGTTTTAATTACAATACGACAAAGCTTTTTTACGTTGGTCTGTTGAGGTAAATTTGGTGTCAGCCCCCTTTTTTTGCCTATACTTAATTTTTTATCTGGTTTAGCCTCTTGTGTAGGTTTTACCTCTGGTAATATTTTTAGCTTTTTAGCTCCTGTTTTTTTCTTACAGGAGACTTCTAGCAGAGGCAGCTGTTAGAAAGTTAGACCTCACTACGGCTGAGGCGGCTTTTGTGCGGTGTAGCGACTATGCTGGCATACAACTGGTTAAACGTATTGCTAATGTCACGAGCGATCATCTAAAGCGAGCCCAGGTAGGTATGGATGTTATTAAGGTAATACTATCACCTTTACTTAAAACAAGGATAACAGATTTTTCAGAAAAGACAAGATTTTAGAAATATAAATTTTTTTTTGTGGGATTAAATGAATTTTTAACTTTTTTAAGATAGATGGTGATTGATACATCAATGAAATTTGTTCAACCCATACATTCCTTATTGTAGTTGAAAATGTTGTCAGTGACAGTGAAATATTCTATTTATTTTATATTGTTTGTAAAGTTTAGTGTTTCTTGTGCCACATTTTGCTGTTTGTTTTTGTGTTTCTTGTGCCACATTTTGCTGTTTGTTTTTCCATTCTGCGAAGCGTGCTTTCCTGACAAATAAATTCCTAAAAGTGAAAAGTAGGCCCTTGTGCTGTATGTTACATCCTTAACATTGTTAAAATACAAGGGCCGCCCAGAAAGTATCATTAGTTTTGCTTTTGCACTGTTGCTATCAGAGCATTCCTACACTCAGTACACACTTTAAGTTTGTAAGGGTTTTGGATGTTTTTTTTCCTTTTATAACTCAGTGGAACAACTATAATATTGTCATCGGTGGTGATTTCAACCACAATTTTATGGTTTCCAATGTATTTCCAATGTATATATGTACAGAATCAAGTATAAATAGGATAAACATGCTATAATAATAAACTAATAATACTAGTTTTTATACAAAAGTATTTGAAATATATTCATAATGATGGCAATAATACTGTTGATGGGTAGTCAAGCAAACAAGTTGGGCAATTGCCTATACAAAAATTATTAGGACTAAAATTGTCAGTGAGATACAGCTTAAAACTAAATGACAATAAATTTTTAAATAAAATTGACAGTAATAACATTATTATGAAAGACTATTATATCACAGTTTATGAAACCATTGTTACATACATTAAAAAAACATATCCTACTCAACAATTATAATTTAAAAAAAAATATGTTTGAAAGACAAAAATTCCTCAATAGAGTAGAGAACCTTCTTCAACGACTTAATAGGCAAGAAGACAGTTTTTAGGAAGGGCATTGAAAGGTTTGAGTTGTAAATATTTATAGCTGCGCTGTGTTGAGGCCAGTCTTAATGATGGTAAAGATTAACTTAAATTAAAAGATTATAATAACTTAGCCAATGCTCTGTTTTGAGGACTATCAACGAGTATGTCTATATTAAAGTCCCCACCAGTAACAAGGGATTTATTTTTAAACCTAGAGTCAACCTAAACCAAGAATTCTTTGGGTTTCTAAAAAAATCATAAACACAGTAGTCTGGTGTTCTGTACAGAGAAATAAAAAGATAAATATCACTCACAAGAACTGCGGCTGCTTCAAAACCACTAACCTCCGTCCATCGACGAATGATCCTTAAGTCCAGGCCCTGGGCTATGTATATTGTAGCTCCTCCATATTTGCCACCAGATCGGCAGTAGACTGCAGCGAGGTCGTATCATTAATCGTCACATTAACCAGGAGAATGTGACAAACATATTCCTATAATAGAATATCTAACTGCAAAGTGTAGTTTCTAATTGATTGTAAGTTTGTACATAGGCCTACTATCGACATGGTCCTATTTTCAGAAAAATCAGTAGGCCTACAATAAGCCTTATCTAAGCCTTTTGATCTAGTAGAGATGTTTGTAATATTTTTTTTTGACATGGTATACTTTAATTGTTGGGACCTAGCAATTTCAGGTGTAGGGAAACCTGCAAAATTTACAATACTACTATCTGAATCAGAACTATGCAGGTTGCCGCTTACTTCTCGGAGTTTGACGAGGCGGAGAGACTCTATCTAGAGGCAGACCGCAGAGATCTGGCGGTGGCGTTGCGGGAACGTCTCGGAGACTGGTTCCAGATGATGCAACTCGTCAACACATCACTGCCTGGGACCTCGGTGCATACAACGGCCCAGGTGCAGTCTGCGTGGAACAACATCGGTGACTACTTTGCTGACCGTAGCCAATGGTTTGTAGAATATTTTGAATTTTTCATAGAAATAGATAATATTATGACGGACTAGTTTTCCACTAGAAATCTTTGTAAATTGAACATGTAGCATTTGGCTTATTAGTTATGTGTTCAACAAAATATTCCTTTTATTTAAGTATTCCTAAACCTGAATCAACAATAACTGGCTTTCAGATGCTTGGTTAATCCACTTTACCTCTTCTTGCTTAAGCAAAAAGTTGGAAATTTTGGAAATCAAATAAATAGCAATAGTTGTATGTGGTCTCAAAAATTACTAATTTTACATCTTCCTAGTATTCTTGTTTGTACAAAACTTAAATCTCACAATACATCACAAAATAATTATTTTAAATCTTATTCCTGTTGCCTCTAGCATTAACTGTTTTTACCAAGAACATAAGTTTTCTAATGCTCTCAGCCGGAAAATCTTAAAAGCATATATGGTCTAAAATCCAAATATTGTTCAAGAGTGTAAAAGTACAAAGTGTCGAAATATAACATGAAAAACTTAAATGCCTATAAGCTCTATAAGGTGTAGGCACTCTAGTCATATTATTCTTAATAATGATAATGTTCGCTTTATAGGGAAAATGCCCGAGAGTATTATCAAAAAGCTGCTAACACTGAAAAGTTGATTCAGTGCTATCAACAGCTCGAAGATTTTCATGCTCTTGAGAAAACAGTGGCAGACCTGCCTGAAAAACACCCATTGTTGCCTCGCATTGCTGAGATATTTGTCACCATGGGCATGTGTCAGGAGGCTGTCTCCACATATGTTAAGGTAAACTGTCAGCAGAGTAGTTCTTATGTAAAGGTATACTGTTGAGAGCAGAACTTATGCCATGGTTAACTTTAACTAATGATTCTAGGTCAATGTAGATTAGTATTAAAACAGTAAATGTTTCTTTGTTTAAAGTTCATTATTGGTGGTGGTAAATTTATGTTATTTGAGGGATTATTTTATTTTAGGCTCTTTCCATCATGATTATTAAAAACTAGTTTTCACGGTGTTATGGAATTGAAATCAGATCCGGTCCTTGGGTGAGATGTAAATAAAACACAAGAAGATCAGAACAACTACCTTCTTAGCAAAAGATTGAAAATCACAAAATAAGGTCACACAGAGTACTAAGAGTAAGTGCTTGCTTGGTAAGTCTCTTGGGTTTGGCTGCTAATAATCTTTTATGTACTGTGTCCACAGAGTGGGTCTATACAGCAGGCGGTGGAGGCTAGTGTGACATTGAATCAGTGGGACCAGGCAGTGGCACTGGCAGAGAAGCACAACATGTTGGCAGACATCGGGCGACTGCTGGACAAGTACGCCAGCTCACTCATGGACCACGGCACCTCACTGGAGGTGGTACAACTGTACAGGAAGGCCGGCCGATACCTGGACGCTGCTAAACTTATGTATCAGGTTAGTCCTCATCAGTAGTGTATGTTCCCAATATTCTTTTTGTAAAATCCTAATTTTAATAGGCAACCTATGTTTTTCTGAGACAATGGTGAGCATTCCCACCCTGGAGAATTCACGACTTTACCACCGTTCCTCAAGTGTACATATAATTGATAAGCAGTTTTGAGACTTAAGGCGGTGACACACTATTGATCTTTTCCCCGATCAAGACCCCGAACCGAGCAGGGAGAAGGGACGTAACTATCAGAGAATTTTAATCCGAACATTTTCCCAAACAAGACCAAGACTAGAGGAATTCTACCGAGTGCGGAAAAAGGGAGTTTAGAGAGGGATGGAGAGCGTGTGTGAGTGAGAGTGCGAGAGGCAGTGCAGTGGAGTGGTACTTGTCGCTAAAATAAAATATTCTAAAAAGGGTGTTCAGCTTTATGTAGGGATTGATTTTTATGGTTTTATTTATTGAAATAACATGTTACAGAATGATCACTTTAATTGCCTTCAGTAATATTAATGTTCATATTAATTTTGAAAGAATTTAAGTGTAACATCAATTTTTCAAGTTGAACATTATTGATTAGAAATTAACCAGATTTGAGAATCGAATCTCGGCTCCGCTGACAGAATACGCCGACTCGCCGCCAGCTCTATAATAACGTGACGCGTGTAGCAGGGTAGCAGCAGTGTCGATCTACGCATAGCTGGAACAAAGCCAAACTCTGTCTCAAAACTCAAGGTCATGGCTTGAATTACGTCAAAGTCAAATATTAATTGTATTTTAAATAGGGATAGGCCGATAACAGAATTTCTCAATTCTATACCAGTTCTGGAATATTACTCACGGTTCTTGATACAGATTCCATGTAAAAACTCATATCTTTAAGGAAGTTGCCATGGTCAATGTTTTGTTGTTCGTATCATCCATGTTTCAATTCTGAATCAGACAACCAACATAGTTCATGCCGGCTCAAAATTATCGTGCGATCTCAGTTATTTATCATATCCAAGTCTGATAAGTAATCGGAATCAGGGAACTGCTCTTGCTTTTTACAAAACGAAATAGTCGTAGACTGAAAACATCCATATGGAGGTAGCACTGGCACAGCAACTCTGCTAGAAAATCGAGACGCTGTAAAATTCTGTTATGTTGGTACCACTAGAAGAATCAACCAGTTCATTGGCTATTGGCAATCCCACAATCCCCTAGTTCTAAAGTACTATTTCCCTAGTGCATATGGCGGCCAACGTCTCTCAATTCTCGCATTCAGTGATACCACAGAGAGTTCTATTGTTTGTGGTGATACCTTCAAATGCGTTGTAGCTCTAGTTCAATGCACAACTATTGCTGCTATTGCCGGTATCGACTTAACCTTGACCGCAATAAGTATTTGTCTGCGTTCACATTGTGCGTTCGTGTAGCAAGCAATGGTGGAACTGTACTGTAGAGTGTAGACACTAGACAGACGACAAGACGATTTATGTGATAACAGTATGATTCCCAATTGACGCTCGATTGTGGATTGAATTGATGTTTTAGCTTTGACTTTTAGTTTAGTTAATTTGGAAAATACATAATCTATCTATATATTAATAGGCAAGCATGTTTCTTTAAAACCTTTTTTCTCAGGTCGTGTGCATCGCAGAGAAAATCTACGCATACTGTTGGAAAGATATTTTCCTGTAGATGTGCAGAATGCCTCTAAAAATTAAAATAGGCTAACAAATAAGCACAAAAAATTAATTTGAAAACTTCAAAAAATTAACATGGAGCATATGGGTTGCCATGATGGTGACGAAATAACAACAACATGTAAACAGAAAATCAAAACAAATGGAAGAAATTCAAATCACATGTGTTATTTACAGTGTGGGGAGAAAATAGAGAAGTCTGTACATTAATTATTTTTGGTCGAGTTTCGACCACAGGACGACCACTAGTTTTAATTGTAATGATTATTGGTTTTTTACTGGTTTACAGTTAATCATAAGTAACTATCGGCAAATACAAACGCGAAAAAACGTAACGTTAACAACTGCTTCAGCAGGCCTAAGAAAACCATTTTCTACCACAAATTTTGTTTCAAAGTAGCCTACTACATTTATGTTAATTTTGGAAAATGTATAAGTTTTAATTGATATAATCATTGGTTTTTTTCCGGTTCACAGTTAATCCAGTAGTTTACAGTAAGAAACTATCGGCAAATGTAAAGCGAAAATTGTAACGTTCGGCAGTTGGAAACTGCTTCTGGAGGCCTAGCTCAGTAGTAAAAGTTAATTCTGCAAAATGTTAAACTCATTAATGTTAATTTCTAACCTTGATTTGCAGTGTTTCTCGAGTGAATATTAAGAGTTAATTTTCCTTAAGGACTAATAAACGTATGTGGGTTTTTAATTAGGCTATTTACCAATATCGGTTATTTTAATTTGTTTTTACTGGGCTTTAACTTTTATTGGGCTTTTCTTATAAGTAGCCTATATAAGTCGCCGGGAATTTCATACTTTTTAGCCGGGAAAACAGGGGAAAATATGTGAATTTTGTTTATAGATTCTGCTGACAACCCTGCTAATTTATTTTTTCAGATGGAATTAAATTTTAACGTTGTCACCATTTAGTTCTTGAAGTTTGATTTAAAACCACTGCATATTTTAGTAATGCATACCGTTACATAAAATTGAGTTAATGAACTGTTTTTTTTTATGTTTACAACTAGTTTACAGACATTCAATTTTACAGGTTGCTGAAGAAGAAGGACAGAAACGAGCCAAGCCATTGAAGATGAAGAAACTCTATGTTCTGGCAGCACTGCTTGTGGAGGAGTTTAACTCTCAACGACAGAATGTTTTGGGATCTGTCGGTAAAACTGAATCAGACTAGCACTGCATGCTGTGTGAACACAGTAGTATTTATCTTTTTATAAACAAACTTTCCTGTTTTTACTGTATATTGTAAAATGTCATATTTTGCTTAGCATTTTTAGAATTTGTAAAGTATTCATATTACCTGCCTGCCAACTGGCTTCAAGTAAACGTGGCTCTCTTGGTGGAGTTAGTCAGAAGTTGACTCTCTCTCTTAGTTGACTCTCAAGCCGCGTTTACACGAGACCAGTTGGTGTACACGTTACTTGCCTCAGGTAATTTGAGGCAAGTAACCTGCACCGTTACCTGCCTGCTCTACTGGCCTCGTGTAAACGCAGCCTTACTACAGCAGATCGTCTAGCTGGTTTGAACTTTTATTTGTTGGTTCTGATAATCCAAAGGCAAATCAATAATGAAACTAGTAAGTTTACAAACCTAACACACATAAACACTATTGTTTGGTTGTGATTTAGGTGGCAAGAGCTCAGCATTGTTTGGTGACACAGATGCTAGTGCTGATATGAGGATCTTGGATTCAGCATGGAGAGGGGCTGAAGCCTATCACTTCTTGATGCTGGCTCACCGTCAACTGTACACAGGTACCAACCTAACACATACATATTAACATCTTTGGCCTTTGATGATGCTAACTAGTGTTATGAATATAACTTGCATTCTTAGGATGCCTGCCTGCTATTAGTGAACAATATTTAACACATTGAGTGCGGTAAATATATCAGTGGGTCCTTCCAAGCTAGCAACGCACACACAATAACTCCGGTCCTTTCCACAGTGTTGCGCCACACTGAGTGATTCATTTTAGCGGGACCTGGCCGGGCACAGGTAACCAGGCTGGCCTGGGCGCACAGTTCCTCGGTGACCGGCCCGCACTCAACGTGTTAGTTAAGGAGCATAGATAAGCCTTAGGTAATTGTGTGGTAGTTAAACTCATTCTCTTTTACCATTATCATGTTACTAAGGATAACAACTAAAAGTATTTTGTAAAACTTGACAAAACACCTTAATTCCTCGCGGTGTATCTAAGAAGAAATAAGAATATAGTATGTGGTCAAAGTGGTTAACTTGTAAACAAAATTTGGCCAGTTCAATTCTAAATTAGGTAAAGGCGTTTTTTGGCAGTTAAAATATTAAACTTCATGCTGGAAAAAGAGTTCTACACTAATTTTTCCCCAAAAAGACACACCATAGCGTGTTGGCAGAATTCAATTCAATTCAATTTGTTTATTCACGGCAAAAGCTATTGTACAATAAATACCATTACATTCGGGAGATAATAACTCAGTGATTTAGTGGAACACAAATTAAAATCTATAACAAGGAGGAAAGCTGCTGGGGAGCTGAGTGGGATATCGTGGTCGCATACTAAACAGAAGTTTTCATTATTAATTTATTATTATTATTATTTTTATTACTTTTTGATAGTTTGAAACCAGCCCCACCTTCCTTGGTCATTGAGTACTTAATAAATTACCCTGCTTAAAGACTTTGCTGATCTTAGTAAAAAAGCTGCCATCCCTCCATTCAACACACAACCTTCCCGTCATCTTGGCATCAAATATGCATCTTGATGTGTGGGTGTCATAGAAATCTAATCCAACACTAAAGAAGGACACTAAGGACTAAGGATCTTCTGGGTATGACTGTGTCGGAATACTAGGTGGAACTTATTAATGCCTGTCACCAGCTCTGAAGATGGCTATCTGCAACGAAGCCGAAAAGTCAGTTCCACCCTGTATTCTAACACGGTCGTACCCAGAAGACCTAGTACTTATTGTGACTGTGGAAGCCTTACTTCCTCAAATCCAAGCAAATTTTATCCAAGGAACTGGGTAGAAATTTCAACTTGAAATTTCAATATGTCACAAATAGTATTGACAATTTTTAAATAGGCCCAATCAGAATATTTTTTTGTTTATTCACAGTCTACTTTAAATTTTCTTTTAAAACCTACTCTCAATTTTACCTTTTTATTTCTAATACATTTTGCAGGAAATGCGGATGCAGCAATGTTAACAGCTTTAAATCTGAAGAACTACGAAGACATTTTGAACACAGAAGATATCTTCTGCCTGTTGGCTTGTGCTAGTGCTGCATGTAAAGCATTTGGAACTTGCTCCCGGGCCTTCATGAAACTAGAGAGCTTAGAGTCTGTAAGTATCAGTCGATTCAACCCAAGCTACTGTTGTAATGCTGCTGGATAATTGCTGTTAAACAGTTTAGAAGCTGATTTATTTTACCATTTGAATACATTAGTACTTTTTATGCACTCTTAATTGATAAGGTTGTGAGTTATTGAAAGGTGTATGTCTTTGACCCTTTGTCTCTGAGCATAACCTCTGTATTTTTTTTTCAATGACTTTAAGGAACCCAAATTCAATTGTACGAGCATTTACTTTGGATCCTGATACAGCTTTAGTCCATTTTTTATTTAAAATAAATATTTATATAGGCATATATTATATTTTATTATATTATATTTTATTTAAACTAAACTTAAAGTTATCTTTTCATCTAAAAGTGGCTACAAATTTGACATGAAAATACAATTTCTACTTTATGATGGTGACCTATAGCGTCCAAGTCCCAATGTTGGACTTTTTTGAGGATATATTTGAGATTACATAAGAAGCACAGAAAACAGAATTTAAAAAAATATCCGAATGGGAATGTCAGAATGGATCTATTTGTTCTCCGAAACATTTTTTAAATTTTAACAGATTACTGCTGGCTTATGAAATATGTTGGGTTTCCTTCATTCCTTCAACAGGCAAGTGTATTGGTTTGGTTGTAAGTTACAATTCTATCAATACCAAGTTGTTATACTCTAACAGGTGTCGGAGAGTAAACGTGAGGAGTATGCAGACTTGGCTCTAGAGATCTTCACCAAGTATGTGACCGAGGATTCACACACTAGCAACAACATGTGTGCGTCATGTAACACCACAGTGCCTCTATGGTATGTAACAAACACTCTGCCTAGGTGTATCAAATTACATGTCTGGGAACACTGTAGTGTGATATTCAAATGATGTTCTTTAACCCTCACCACGCTACTGATATGTTGGATGGCCTTGATCTTTAGTCTATCTATTATACCCAAAAAATATTTTTTCCTAAAAGTCAAAGCAAATTTTTTGTTTTCTTATAATAATACCCCCGCCGCAGCAAACCTGCCGACTAAGCAAATTTCTATTTGTCTTAATTGATTTTCAATTAAATCTATTGAAATAACATTCGATTTAACGAGTACCTAGGTTTGCTGCTAAAAGGAAACCTACACACATTTTTTTAATAAAGTGTGTTTTTTAGTAATATTAGGGAATTTAGAGAAATTCGCTAAACAAGATCTTATGGGAGGAAAAAAGTCATTTGCATTAAAAATTTGTTTTGTTATATGTAATAGCGTAAAAAAGTACGGTATAAAAATACAAAACATCAGCGTAATGTAAAACAAATAAAAATTAAGAGATTTGTTTTATTTACTTTAGAACACAAACATGTTGACAATATGTAGGTAGGCCTTTACATTACTTTACTTAGTCAGTTAAGTTGTATTTTTTTATGTCGTACTGGTAAACTTTCTTGGCTGTACTTGTAATTTCAGAAATTGACTTAACACATTCTCTCCCAGGTGTCATGTAACTCTTCCTTCATTGACACAGAGTGATGTTGACTGGCAGGTCGGGGCTGTGTCCCAGCTGTGGTGTGAGGTACCCAGCGTGTGTTGCGTCTGGTCGCCCAATCAGCAGCCTGGGTGAGGCGTGGTCCTGTCCCAGCTGTCATCACAGCGCACTCTACCACGAGATGGACCAACGCGACGTCTGCCCTCTCTGTCACTCCTGCAGCTCTACACACCTCTAGAACAACCACTTAGCCTAGCCATTCCTCCTTAAAATGAGGGCAGAAAATGATGATAAGAATCATCATGACCGATCATCATAATAAAATGATGACAGCAATCACCAATTGACAATATAGATGGCATCACAATTTACTTTGAATAGGCCACAAAGATCAACGAATGAAGACAAGGGCTTAGGTTTTAAGAATTGTTGGGATATCAGGTCTATCTATGCTAAATGAAAAAAGGCCAACCTGGTATAAGAAACATACAAAAATCCATTGGCAAGAAAGATTGTAAAAAAGGGTAGGAAAGTTGAAAAGATAAAACAACCCCAATTGGGCAGAGAGACTTTTACTTCCTCAATTTTATTTCTTTTACCCATCAATCTTTCCTGCCCTTACTTTAAACTTGCTTTTTCTTGCCAAACCGTATATTGTTTAGGGTGAGAGGTTGTTAAGTTTCTTGATGGACATATTTAGGTTGTTAGCTTGCTATACCTACAAAAATTCTAAGAGGGTTTCTTGCTTATTTATTTGAGAAACTCAAGTCCTAAACCAGCTCATCACCCATCTAAGAAACATAACGAAAGAAAAAGTTAAAATCTGAGATAAAAATTATATTAGTTTTGGAAATGTGACTAGATAACTTATTAACATTAGGTCACAACTCAACCACCATGTGCCTAAACAAATCTATAATACCTTTCTATACTTGTATCCAAGTTTATTTTGATTATAGGTCCCAAAATCACGTTTCTTTCTTTTATTTGCTTAGCTTTTTTAATTTTTGTTTGTCTTTTAAACTAGAGGAGTTTCTGATCTCAAAACCTGTTTCTTTTTAAATACATATGTTAACTAATGTTAGGTTGTAAATAGATTGGGTTTGAGTATGTGTTTATTTTATTTTTATATACTATCATTATTTAAGTAATAAGTATAACCCATTTTTCAGTATTCAAAGAATCATTAATACATTTTATAATGTGAAGGTATTAGCTTTACTCTAGAACTAGCATGTAAAGGCGGGTTTACACACTATGAAATGAAACATACGACTTGTCTGCAACGACAAATCGCTATGTTTTGCTGGAAATGGGACCGTGCTGTTTAGATGTTCCGTTTTTTACAACACCTTCTCTAATTGTGCTTCTTGAATTCCTTACTGGTACATTGACTTATTGTTGTGTTGTATAAAAAGAAATTGATGGCTATTCGCACAAACCTTTCAATCCGACTCCAATTCCGACAAGTCTTGTGGTTTACACGTTCTGACTTGCTTGCAACTATAGTGTTGCATTACAAACAAGTCATTACGTTTCATCTTAGTGTGTAAACCCAAGAGACATGTAATCCTTAATCCGTCCAAAATTGTGATTTATGTAACTAAAGCCTAACTATATATATATACAAATGTTAAAGTGACGTTTCCAATTCAATTTATTCTTTTGTCTGCTCCGTTTTTAAATTTACAAACACCTTTAAGAGTGCCACAGGCAAATTTCTTCTATTTACAGGATATTATAAAGCTATTAGTTAAATGAAAATCTCTGAACATGAACACTGTGCTACAGTTTTCTGGGTCAGAATTTACCAGGGACGAAGTATAACTTAAAGCGCTATCTCCCTTTTTGAGACCTAGTAATGCTGATGTGGTTCCTTTGCGAGGTTTAAGACCTTGACAGCTTTATCTCCAGAACATTATAGTTCTGGGAAAAGCTTCATCATCTGAGGAGGCTGCTGATTTTATAGTTGACAAGCAGTAAAGTTGATTGATAGTTTGAACTTACCACGACTAAAAGTCCTGGAAATTTCCATTAGTGCTTGCTGACCATTATTGAACTCATTAAACTAATAATTGATTTGGATTTGGATAGTTATTAAATAAAAGCAAAGCCGAGTGGTGGGTTAGGATATTTAAAATACCCTCGCTGCAGCAAACCTGCAGACTAAGCAAATTTCCATTTACATGTATTGGATTTTTTTTTTATAATCTATTTAAATAATATTAGGTTTAACAAGTACCTAGGTTTGCTGCTACAAGAAGGGTAATAAAGTGTGTTTCTTTTAAGTAAAATAGATATGAATAGCTTAGTACTGTATAAAATAAATACATTTGCCAAGTTTGATCAAAATATATCCATAAACAAGCAAACTACAACAGTTTACTTATTCTCCACGAGAATAACATGGGAGTTTTAAATTTACAATTCATTCAATTTTCTCAGTAACCAATAACCACACAAAAACAACCCAATATACTAAATTATTTGTTTTTTTTAAGCTCTTTGAAACTATGCGAAGAGAAATTTGGAAATTTTTTGTTACGAGGGACAAAAATGAGAAAATAGTTATTTGTGCAACTAGTGAGAAAAGTGAGCAATTGACTCACTCGAGAGAAATCCTTACTCACGAGCCGTAGGCGAGTGAGGAATGGTTTCTCGAGTGAGGCAATTGTACTTTGAACTCGAGTTGCACATTATACTTTTCCTACAGTTACCATAAAACAAATAAATTGGTGAAGAAACATAACCTATTTTTACACAAAAGTGAACTTTTAATATAAAATTTAATGTGAAGTGACAAATACAAGAGTACAACAGCTGACCAGGTGATTTACAGCCAGTGTTGCCAACGTATTTCGCGCGCATACGACGTTGCCTGCATGATTCGCGCTCACTATTTTGTGCCTTCACGTTGCAAATCTGGAGTGAGACAAAGTAATTAGAATGAGACAATGTTAACATTGTCTCACTGATGAGCGAATTGGCCACTTTGCTTTCTCAAATCAGTGAGAGAACATGTACATTGTTAGGTAACTGTAGGAAAACAAATTTTTACCCTATAAAACCTCCCATAACACCCCGTTTCTATTGTCCAATCATGCTGGTTTGCGAACTCATTCAAGTTTATCCCGTCCTACACCTTCAAGCCAAATTTAATTAAAATCGGACAAAAATGACTCAAGTTATCGCGTTCACAGACGTATATATATATTTTAACACATACAAATACAAATTTGAACGAATAGTGTTTTTGGCCTCTAGGGACATCAAAATGAAAAAGTATATTGGTCCCGGGCATAGGTCTTACTGTGCCACCTACAGTAATAGCTCCCTATAGGATGTCCCTATAGGGAATTCGCTAAAAGTAAGTCAGCTAGCCTGAATAAATGTGTCCAGGACCAAAGAGATACACAAATACAAATCACAAAATATTACATAATTATTTTGTTGTAATAAATAGGAGTTCTAACATATAAAGAAAAAGTGTGTTAGCCACTTAATCTATGTTTACATGAGGGAAGTAGACAAGCGGGTCTTCCTTGACGTACTTCAAGGTACCTCCTGCCTGCCTACTGGCTTCATGTAAATGCAGCTTAAGCAATTGCACAAGAGCTAATACTACTCAAAATCACTTGCTCGATAGAGCTATGAGTATTCCCCAGATTGTGCTAAAAAAATAACATTTTGTAGGTGAACTGTCAAACCTGTGGAATCTCACCTGTGTCAGCTGGCTCCCAAGACAGGTTCATAAATCTCACATTTTCTCAGGGTATATCAGTTTAGATCTGTATCGCCAAAACCTCATAAACTGAACCCAGCACCCAAGGAAATTATAACAACAATTAATTAATGTCAAAAAATTGTATTTGCTTACAGAAAACAAGCAATAAATTTTCACATTTTATAAAAATTAACAAAATAAATTACAATACATAATTTACAAGGTATAAATCTTTAATAAAAGCTATCAAAAGTAGGTTCAGTCGTCATCTGAGCCCGCGTCGGCGTTGCGGGTCAGCATGTAGTTGTCCATGTCTATGCTGCGGCAGTTGTTGATTGCGTAACGGAGTCGCTCTGCAAGGGTCTCAGCGCTAGTGTACGGAGGCAGTCTCAGCTGGAAGAAGCAGGTCTGTGCAGTCGGCAACCCGTCAACGGCCCGCTCTACTTTCATAATCTATAATCAATTCAACCATGTTATTGAAAATGTTGATCTTAGAGAGACATAGTTAAGTAAAAATAAAGATAAATTAAAATGCTTAAATGCAAAAATACAAAACATTGAATCTGAATTAAACATTTATTTTATAAAAATAGATCTTGGTAGATAATTGGGTTGGATGCATTATAGGACATAACTTCTCATTAATCCTCTTAATTACACTTAAGAAAAGGGACAATTACCTGAAGTTTTTTGGAGCAATAAAAGAGTTCTTTTGGAACACTCTGCACAATGTAAGAGGAAGTTTATTTGTACCAAGATCTAGTGATTTACACATTATTAATAACTAATAACAATAATCCAATTTGAGGTATTTTGTAAAATAACCATGAAATACTCTTTCCAAGTTTAAGCAATTGTAAGGTAAAACTGCCAAACAGGCTTTTTTGTCTGGAAGTTTTGCCAAACAGCACACCCTGCTAATAATATATTTCGTCACTAGGATCAAAAGTGGATATTTTTAATACAAGCTGCAATTTAACTGCCGAGGCTGGAAAATTACCGAGTATTAAAAAGACACTCTTGATCCGAATGACAAACTATATTTTTCGTCATTCCGCCAAAAGACGTAGGTATAAAAACAAGAGTAAAATTTACGCACTGTTTATTAATAACCTCAAATGTTTCTTTCAGCTTGTCTCTTGAAACAATCAGCTGTTGCACATGCATAACTTCGGTTCATTCCTAACCATCGGTTGTTGATTCGATCACTTTAAACCAATCATTGTGGTTTGAATCAATCGGTTTTGGGCACGGTTGTCGTGGAAATATGATAACCCTAAATTTACCTTGTATTCCTTTTATTTATACCCCTTAAAAACCCTTATGTTCTCTTAACTAATTTTATTAAAATACAAAACGCACTTAACAATAGAAACGTACACCAGTGCTATAAACTATTTTCTTGTGCTTTTTCTATTATATTTTGATACAAATCGTTACGCCTACTAACTTCGTCCATTGTGTCACTCACCTCACCAGTGGTGTACGGGAAATGAACACAAAAATAATAATAACACAACAATGAATGTTTAGATTATTTATAACCGAATGCATTTTAATCAAATTATGACAATCTCTCAAATCAAAAGTATCATCAACAATGATCTTTTTACTACTAGTAAATAATCATCAAAACATGTTATTATGCAAAGACTAAAAAGAAGAACTCTTGAATCTCAACGCATGTGTCAAAAAAAGTTGTTTATAAAGCAGTATGACGTAAAATAACTTTTGTCATTGGTTTAGTGATACAAAGCTAGCCAATATCTGTCCTGAAAAATGCTTAATCCTTCAGGATTTTTTTTCTGACTGTGATTTTGAAATACAGCAAACAATGTTTACCTGGAATCTCTGAGAGAGGTCAGCAAGGTTTGCTGGCAACCGAGATCTGCCTGATACAAATCTCATGAACAGAACCCTCTCTCCATCAGAGAAGTTTTCCAGCACCGACCACAGCCACTGGACCAGAGGGTTATTCTCATCCAAGTCACGATACCTGCAGACAAAATATAAATAAAGACGGTGACAAGCACAATAAATTACTAGGTGTGCAATGCAGTTGTATGCTTGCAATATTGAGCGGAGCTAGCATATTAATCCAATACTTTTCTAAAGTCAATTTTACATCTGTTCCTCGCAAATGAGATTAAATACTTGCAGATCCAATGTCAATCGTATATTTGGTTCACTTAAATGGAATGTCTATTCCCAGTATTCTAAGTCAATTGTAAGTCTGGTTCACGCAAATGAATTGTCTACTTGCAGGAACCAAAGTTTATGTTTCATCTGGTTATCATATATTAAATGTCTAATTACACAGTATATCCAATGCCAATAATACATTTGGTTCGGATAAATAAAATGCCTATTTGCAATATCCAAAGTCAATGATACGTCGGGTTCACGTAAACGAATTGTTTACTTGGAGTATCCAAACTCAATGGTGCATTTGGTTCATGTAAATGAATTGTCTACAGGATCCAAAGCAGTGGTTCATTTGATACATAAACACACATCACATAAATAGAGTGTCTATTTGCAGTATCCAAAGTCAATGGTACGCCTGGTCACAGAAAACGTACTACTATAATAGTACGTTTTCTGTGGCCTGGTTCACGTCAATGGAATGTCTACTTGCAGTATCCAACCTCAATTGTATGTAGGCCTAGATTTGGTTCACATAAACGGAATGGCTATTTGGATTATTTAAAGTCAATGGTGCATCAGCCTTTTTCCGCCGACCATAATTATTGGTATTTCATTTTGTAGTAAATTATACTCAATGATATTAATCCGATTGTTCTTCCCTTTTTCTCTGTACGGTATTTGTAATATGCTATTTAGATGATTCGTTGACTAACATATGTTGCGACTCTTGTTTACCTTTTTATTGTTATCTCGCAAATAATGTCATGGCAACCAATTAACCCATAAGGCCCATGTTAAATTTCCAAAAGTTTGAATCCACGTAGAGAAAAGCCCTGTGGTCCGATTTGTACCATTTCAGATTTATACCTTCCCATGGTCGGTTACTATGATTGTGCTAAATTTGGTGCAGATCGCGTCAGCCGTTCAGGAGGAGTATTTGTAAAACAAAAGCAGGAGTGTAGTATAAGAGCTTCGCTCGCTTCGCTTCGCTCCGCTCAAAAAACAAATAATTAAATTGATAATAAAACCAGAAAATAGTATTTATATCTCAATATTGTAAGGTTGTCAAAATGCAGAGTAAATTTATAACGTCTACTATACTAATTTTTGCCGATTTCGAGGCGTTACATCATTCTTGCATCACTTCTATGACAAACAAATGATTAAGCAAAACATTTTGTATCGCTTGTTTAATTTTCATGCCCGTTCTATAATATTGAATTAAGTTATCATTCTGTGTTCGCTGGTTAAAGCAGCTGATTAAAATTGTTTTTTTAATTCCTATTTGCATGGATCAATATTATTTGTTATGTTCATAAAAAACATTTAGTCGACATCAGCGCACTCAAACATTTCATGCTACAGAGTGCTGTTCATCTCAGGTAGTGAAGTCATGTCTGTTGGTGATGGTAATGTGTCTGTTGGTCGAGGTATGTCTGATATTTTTAATTTGTTGATTTATTTAAATGTTTAAAAGCAGTGTTAAGAATCGCAAATCTATCAGAAGTGGCTAATTACTTGTGAAACATGAAATTCTAGGCCAAAGTTTAACTACAATCTGTGCTATTGGGAAAAATATATGTGCTCTAACCTCTTCCAATTTATGTCTCCTTAAAATTTATCTAATTAACTATTGAACTTACGGAAGGCAGTTTTTATACTATCTGCAAATTTAGTATTTACAGTAGTTTCATATTCACACTGTTACACTAAAAAGATACTTATTTCTTGAATAAAACACTAAATTCATTGAGAAACAGTTTTACAGACATCTTAGAACTTGAACTTGACAATTTGGTATCTTTAATTTATTATTGTATGTATGTGTATTATTTCATTTGATCATTTTGTTAATGAACAGTGAGGATTAATCAAGGAGTGTGACCAAACAGGCTGAAGAAATAATATATCAAAGCTTGGAGTATGCTTAAAACATCTTGCCTCCAAGAGTGATTTTAGAGTTTATTATCAGGTTATGTAGGGTACCTTTGTCCGTCATGAGTCAATTTTTATAATTGTCATAGTATTACTAATTTTGAAATGTTGTTACTCTATCTCAATTTTGAACCAAAACATTTGACACACTTAGTAATCCTGTAACTGTAACAAATATATCCGAGGGCTGAAGACAAACTAGGTGATATGTAACCTAATATAATGCCAATATATTAATATAATATTTTTCTGGGAATATAAGGAATTGACTATTGTTATACCTTGCAATTTTCTTGAGCTGGGATATAGAGATGTGAGCTACTCCACAGACAAGTTGTTCCAGATAAGATGCCGTGACCAAAGACAACAGTGGGACGGGGACAATCCAGGACATGCCTTCACGAACTGCCGACACCTACAGAGAATAAACATCATCAGGCCTTTGATGCTTGCTAAATAAGCCAGTTGAAATCCTGTTGTAGGGTTCTCCTAAGATGTAAAAAATACTGCTAAAATAAACTTGTTCCACTTTGCTCTTGAAGTTTTATAAGTTTTCTCATTTCAACTCTTCGAGGCAATATTTTTTTAATGCCTGCCAGACCCTGCTATGGAAGTTTTTTTCCCAAATGGTGCCAAACCATCCCGAGTTTGCCCTTGGCTCTTTGGTCTTAAGTGTTGGTAGTTAATCATGATTAAATTCATAAACTCATCATCAAAATAGAATTCAAAAATATCTATTGGGGTACTACCTAGAATTTTAGTTCTGAATATGGATAACTAAATGGTTCACTAAAGAGTTCATAACCTTAAAGTGTCTTACTAAACCCACCTGTAGATCCATCTCATGCAGTCGGAAGTTGATGGCTTGTTGGACGTACTGTTGTCTAGAGTGGAAGGAGAGCGGGATGCTGCGTCCTCCGGGAACTATTGGGACTACTTGCCCAGTCCAGCTCGCTCCCTCAAAACACTCCACAGGGATGAACTGTTCAAACATACACTCATGTGCTTAAGGGTCAGTGAAAAAAAGAACATAATCTACTTGTATGATAGCCTCAAAATCATTATCATTTCCTGTGATCACGGATACAAAATCATAACTCGCGATTGTGGCAAAATCCCAAATCAAATGTAACCCCGCCTGAGAATCTGCGTTTTACCAGAAATTTTTTTTTTGTCCTAAGGACGCTAGGCACGAGCCTGGGATTGTTTTTCACATTACTTCAGGCTAGACCTAGGGGTTGCGGCATTATCACTTAGATAAAATCCATTGGTGACTTGGCGGGGATCGAACCCGGGACCTCAGGGACTGAAGTCCCGCGCTCTAACCACTACGCCAGCTCGCTCCCCAAACAGCTCGCTCCCCTGCGTTTTTTCCGCGTTTTACCAGAAATAGCTCCTACAGAAATTCTCTTTCATGCCAACATTCTACTTCTAAAACACTTCAAGTTTATTGACCGGCATCGTTTATTACTAACACCAGAACGTCAAATTACTATATTAAACTATGTTGACACCATTGTGACCATTGGAGACTCTAAAAAAATCTGTGACTTAGAATTCTTTTTAAATAATAGACAATATAAAACATATTTTATATAGACAATATAAAAGATATTGTGTGAAAATAAAAGTAATAATGATAGAGGTTGGATAACAGATGATTTAAAGTTATTATGTCAAAAGAAACGAGATCTGTTTGAAAATTGTAAGATATCTACTAACACAAAACTTTGGAGAGATTACAAGGATCATTGTAAAGACTTACGTAAAAGAATTAAGATTTCAAAGAGAAACTATTTACATTCAGTTATATCTAAATCTGGAAATGTGACCAAGAGTTCTTGGAATGTAGTGAAAAAAGAATTAGGCCAAAAAAATAAAGACAGTCAAATATCTGAGCTTGTGATTAAATCTTCGATTGTCAAAACACCTTCTGCAATTGCTAAACACTTTAATGATTTTTTCTCTAAAATTGGTGACAATATCACAAAATCTCCTGCCGCTGAAGCCATTAATTTAGTTAGATGCAAAACTTCTGATTGTTTTAAATTTAAATTAGTAAATGAAAAAGATGTCCTAGATGCCATTAAGTCTCTGAAAAGTAAATATTCTGCAGGGTGGGATGAAATACCGGCCCCTGTAATTAAAGCTGCTGCATCTTTTATTGTTAAGCCTCTTACTTTTGTTATAAACAAAAGTCTAGGAAATGGAGACTTCCCGGAAAAACTTAAACACTCTACAGTGATTCCTATTCTTAAAAAAGGAGATAAAAAGTCAATTGATAATTATAGACCAGTGGCCTTGTTACCTGTGCTATCTAAAGTTTTTGAAGAAGTGGTACTGAAACAAGTTGTTCCATTTTTTGAGAAACATGTTTTACATTCAAATCAGTTTGGATTTAGAAGAAATAGTTCAACAACTCAAGCCATGTTTAAATTAATAACAAATGTTTTGGACACCTTGGATAGGTCGCAGAGCACTGCTGGTGTGTTCTGTGACCTGTCCAAGGCTTTTGACAATGTTAGACATGATATTTTGTTAAAAAAGCTGGAATGTTATGGTATGAGTAGGGAGGTTGTCCTGTGGTTCGGCAACTACCTCCAAAATAGGTTTCAAAAAGTAAAGATTAATACCTTGAATGGAAACTCAGTTTTTTCTGATTGGAATAAAGTACACTTGGGAGTTCCTCAAGGGTCAAAGGTAGGGCCATTCTTGTTCTTAGTTTATGTCAACGATTTGTTTTCAAATGTAAATTCAGATTTAATTTTATTTGCAGAAGACACAACAGCAATAGTCAAAGGTAAAGACAAAAATGAATTGGCACTTAATATCTCTTCCTCTGTTCAAAACATCAGTTTCTGGTTGAACAAGAACGGTCTAAGTTTAAATCATGCCAAGACTAAAATATTAGAATTTTCCGCCTCCTCAAACAGGTCCAAAGAATTAATTTTTGCAGTTCCCAACACCAACATTGACCTTCCTGTCTGTCAATCAGTAGATTTTCTGGGACTGACAGTTCAAGATAATTTAAAATGGAATAACCACTGTGACCATTTATATGCTAAACTAGATAAAGCTATATTTAATCTCCGAATTATTAGAAGAATTTGCGATGACAAGACAGTGATGTTAGTATACCATGGTTATTTTTTATCAATTATGTCTTACAGTTTGTTGTGCTGGGAAAATTCACCTTCTAGCAAATATATCTTTAAACAACAAAAAAAGGCCATCAGAGTCATTGCTGGCATCAGCTCAAGAAAATCATGTAGATCCAGTTTTAAAAAATTCAATCTTTTGACCCTTCCTGCCCTTTATGTTTTACACTTGGCACTTTTCATTAAAAACAACCTTTATTTATTTGAAAACTGTAAAAAAACTCATAGTTATGAAACTAGACACAAACAACTTTTGGAAATTCCAAGCCACAGATTAGCTTTGTTTCACAATGGACCCTATTATCAATGCATACAAGTCTACAACAAATTGTCCTTTTATTTCACAGACCAGTCTTTGAGCCTTAATAATTTTAAAAAGAAACTTTCAGAAAAACTGATTGCACTTTGTCCTTATGACATGAATTCATTTTTATCTTGTCAACTGTAATATTAATATTTGTATATATTTATTATGTGTAAACTATTTTTAATGCATGATTTGTACTGACATGTCACATATTCATTGCTGATATTCAGCCTCTGTATTATGAATTTTTGTGATGAATAAATTGATTTGATTTGAATAGACAAAGCTTTATTGTACATGGTGCCTAACACAGTAATTACAAAAGTAATTCCCAAGCTGGTACATATTAATTTTATATCTAAGTTCTCCCAACAAGCGTAAAGCCTTAAAATGTATCTTTAAAAAACCAGCGACCAGTGAACACCTTTTTATGCAATTTGATTATATTTTCCCCCTTCCATAATTTTTAAAGTAACTACAGCAGACCCCTCTTAACTGACCTCACATTAACCAATAATCAGATTATCTGCCCTCGCTCGTAAAATATTAGTTTGTTTTAACCTATTTTGTTTTGAGAGCAATTTAGTTAAACTGCCGTTTTCTAGGAATCTCGGCATTTCCGCTACCACGCTCGGCGATGGGAATAATACGTTAAATTCTAAAGGAAGTTATTAAGAATAAGTTATTTTGTATTTAACCTACAAAATATTACATATTGCCAGTTTGTCATCATTGATTGTAGCGCGAGCACATATCTGATTTGTCATCTGTGTGGCAAATTTATAATAATTGTAAGTACGTTGAAGTGTGTTACGTTAGCTGTTAAGTTTAATTAACTGACCGTGCTTAAGTTTTAACTATACTGTGTTTTGGGTTTATTTGTGACTTTACTGTCTTCAATAATAAAGTCCTTCCTCTTTTTTTAAAAAGAGATTGATACGTGTAGTTCATTTTGTAAATAATGAATGCGTGACTTCAGAATAGTGATTACCCAGTAGGCTATAAGCTAATTCCTAACTTATTCACTTTATTTTTTTATTTTTTTAGGGATTGTCCCTTTTAACCGACCTTTTGAGTTATCCAACCTAGGTCCGGTCTCATTGGGTTCGGTTAAGTGTTGGTAGTAACTTATTAGCACTACCAATAAGTCTCCTTAACAAGTTTCAGTAAAACCTAACTGTAACTAAATGGATAACGTTACAATGTTTCCAGGACAACACTATTACACAAACGCTAAAGATACCTACAATACCAACAAATTACACAACATGCCTGGGCAACTGTGGGGCAGTCCAGGCGGTACCTATTTAACGCATTTTTTCAACTTTGTCTTCTGTATAATGTCACATATGGTACTGCAAGAAAAATAAAAATTTGTGGAAATTTAGTGGCTTAGCTGGTAGCGGGGCAGATCATGTAGCCAAAGCTACATGTAGCCTCCTGGTTTTGCCACTAATATTTATCAGTACAGTTTTTTAAATTATGTATCATATCGGCTCACCCCTTGCTTTCCTCGATATATTTCACGCTAGGAGAATGTCATGGGGACAGGCAAATGCAAAAGGAAAAACGATGCCAACCTCTAAAAAACATTTTGCTACATTCTGTTACCTCATGGAAGTTGGCCTCAGTGACCTCTGCAAGGTGAATGTCTCGTATACCTCGTAGACTCTGCGCGTATAGAGTGTCGTTCTCCTCCAGGTCTGCGCGAGACACCGGCTCCTGCACCAGCAACTTCCACACCAGGGGAGACAGACTCAGGGCTAGCGGCTTCTTGGTGCGGATTGCAACACCAAACAAAATACCTGCACAGACAATGTTGCATAAGAAATCGGTTTCATCACACACAAGTTATATCAGGGGAAAGCAATTGAAATATTTCTTCTAGTCCACTCATAGTATATTGATAACAATACAAAATTAGTAAGGACAAGACCTTCTGAATGAACGGCAGAGTTAGCAATATTATGAATAAAGGAGGAGTAAAAAGTTTTAAATCAATAACAAAAATATATAATGAAGCAATTTTAATAGTATGGGTTCCTTGTCTGTCAACCTCAGGGAACAGGTTAAAAGACTTACTGTTAAAAGACAGAACAAACGTCAATTAGTCTATGACACCGTAACGTCAAAAGATATTTTTAAAGAAGCCTTAACAAAGCCTTGAAACTATTTGCTGTAGAACGAAACAAAAAAGACCTACATGGATTATGTGAAATAATCACTTTTCAAAGTTAATTGAATGAATTTTCTTACCTAGGAACTTGAACCACACAAGTTGCTGTGGCTGGGTGAGTGAGGGGTTGAGCAGATACTTGTCTCTATTGTAGCCAGTGTCATTGACTGCGTTGGGTGTTGGTATCAGTAGAGGCACAGCACCACACACCAGCTCATCACACATTTCTGTCATAGTGTCATCGAACACACCACCAGCGTCGTCTGCACCCTCCCCTACCAGCTTCACCTGGCACATAATTACAAGGTTTGAAAAGGTAAAGGTTTAGGAAAATTGGCAGAGGTTGATTTGAGATACCTCATACAATGCTTTGACACTTGCACTATTGATAAACCTTCTGCTCATGGATAGAAAGGAAAACTCCCCGACTTTAAAAGTCTTAGCTAATAACTTTGTTGAAATTTTCTATTCCGACTGATGTTTTTATATACATTTAGTCAAGTTTGGTTATGTTGACACAATTTCCAGTAGAACTAAGAACTATCCAAATTACTTGGAACAGTACCACATTCGGATAGTCGACAATTTGAATAATGGATTTTTACAGAAATTCGGGGTATTTGATAATAAATAGGTTTTTATACGTTTTTAAAAATATTTTGCCATGGACTGTGATCAAGGTGGACGACGATAATACTTTTTGTGAGATGATGATGATGATGTCTACATTACCCTGGGAAATATTCAAGATTTTTCTGCGATCACAAAAGAAATTAATGATATTTCTGTGACTGCGGGATACGATGATAAAGTCTACACAATCAGGGGAGATGTTCAGGATTTTGCTGTGATCAAGGAAGACGTTGATGATGTTTCCATGATTGTGGGAGATGTTCAGGATTCTGCCGCAACCACAGCTTATGCCTTTTTTAATAATGATTTTTATTTTATGATTATTATTTGTTTTAGATTTTTAAAACTCTTTCTGTAAGCAATTCGCTTATCGTTGTTTTGGATAATTGGAATTCTACTATAGTACAAACGAGTACTTTACAATCACATCCATCCATTGCAACATCAATGACAGTCATTTCAACTTTTAAAACCAGACTAAGTTTATACATTGTCTTATACAATTGGGTCAGATAGTAAGAAAGTACTTATTAATTTTTTAATACTTTGGGAGTAATTAATTTTTTGATTCTTGAATGTGAGAAAAACACAGCATCATTAAATATCAAAGACAAATTTACATTTCAATGTTCTTTAACTCACATACTACATGAATATATTATTTGTCCAATGGGTGTAGACAATTATAATTTGTTAACACCCATTATATTCTAAAAGTCATTCAAAACTAATTGCTTAATGAATTTTCCAAGAGACAATAATAGTCTGTACCTTCCAAGCCCTGGACGGCAGTCTCAAATCAGCTGGCCTCATCTTCACCACCTGTCTGGCCACCTGTGTGAAAATGGGTTTGGTCGCCTTCTGTTTTGTGAGGCGTCGCACGGTCACTTGTGGGCCGTAGTTGCGACCTTGCACCATTGTCCGGCCCAGAGAGCGAACCAGTGGTAGTGTGTACACTCTTGGGGCCAACAACGGCCTCAGCTGGGCACAGGCTAGCCAACTGTATGGCTCCACATTGGCCCAGTCACATTGCTGTCAATAAACAAGGGAAAGAAATAAGGAATGGAAAAAACAACATCGAAAAGTATTTAACAAAGCATTACTTAAACAAAGGCCATTATAAATACAAATACTAATTGTTCTGCCCGTGCCTTGCAACGGGGAGAGAACGCAAAGGCGATTATTTACCGCCTCGTCCAAAGCAAACTGCTGGATGATTTGAGTTCAAATTCAAATCCATCCTAGCCTTATATATAGATATAAATGATAAATGTTTAAAATATATTTTATAGACTGATAAATCATAGTTATTTCTTTAAAACTATTATCTTAAAATAATAACATCCTAATTTCACTCTTTTTCTCATTCTTTCTCATTTACTTTGTAATCTTTAGACAATTGAAACAAAACATCTTCAACATTATTTGTCTTCAGTTAAGTGAAAGAGTCGATAATCTGAATAACTGCTAACCAAACCTAAGTGGATATTATTTTTTTTCACCGAGCCAAGTGAAAATCATTTAACAAAACACCTTTGCTGTCAGTGATTGTGTTAAGAGTTTCTTAACTGCTTTGCAGCATAGTAACCAAGTTAAAGTAGTTTAGCTAAAATCGTACATATCCTACAGAATGCCTACATCCATGAGCATTACTAAGTATTTAACATTCAAATTAGTTTGATGACCTGAAAAATCCCTGAGGAGTTCTTATTTACCTGTGAGCAGAGAGGCAGTAGTCGCCAACAGCTGTACAAAGTGTCAGAAAAGTAGTGCAGCAGTCGCAGTCTAGCTCGCAGGGAGGGGACGGGGGTGCCCTGCAGATGGCCAAACTGTGGAGGAATGGCGGGGGGGCAACCCAGCTGTACAGAGGTGGACACACCAGGGCGACGACGGGGCAACTGTGGGGCAGTCCAGGCGGCACTGTGTGTACGACCCGTGGAAATCTGTGCAACAAGTGATGCGAAAATATGATCAAATCTTAAACTATAATAACTATATTGATTGCAATATTATAATCCTGAATGAGCAGTTAAACCTTGACTACTAAACAAATGTTGGTGATTTGAGTGAAATAATAAATCTTTTTACTTAAAAACCTCAGTACGATCCGAAAAGCACAACATACCTGTTTGATGCCTTTACCAGAGAGTGTGGGTATGAGTTGGGGATGTCTGATGATAGGGGTGTGACCAAGGCCGAGTTGGTTATCAGAGTTGTTCCCCCACCCCCACACGTCTCCTGCAGAGGTGAGAGCCAACACATGCTCTGCTCCAACAGCTACAGCTTCTACAAACACTCCACTCAGAGTCATCACCTGTCAAACATCATGTAGCTGTTAAATACAAGAGGGAGTATCTGGAGAGCCAAGATTTTTTATTTCATAATTCGTTCAAGTGCAGCCCTACATTCTAAAGGTGTGGACATTTCCCTTAAAACTTGACTAAATGCTATTGGTAAGATAATACAGAGTTACAATGGACTTCAATCTCACCTGTTCAGGCTTGAGAAGTCCTCTCGCTCGCGACTCTGGTTGACCAATGAGACGGTCGATGCCGCAAGTGAAAACTCGTCCATCATTGGTCAAAAACACTGTGAACTGAGTTCCGCAGTAAACTCTCTTCACTGACTCTCCACAGAGTGCTTCCACTCTCTGAAAATATAAAATGGAAAAATGTCTTCCAGTTTTGAACCTTTACATACTAAAGCGTTACGTTATAAGTACTCCACAGAAAAACAAGATTTTTTAATGGTAACAAACTGTGCTAATAATATTATACTTCAAGGAATTTTGTCTTTATAAAAAAAATCATAAGTCAATAATTACAGGTACTAATTAATGTCTGAAAGGAATGCTGGTGACTAATTGGTGATCAAAAATAACTAAAATCCACTTAACTTGTTAAGTGTGCGCAGAATATTATTCGAAAAAGCAGCATCAACCCAAGATCTTTCCAGGATCAGGTTTTGTTCTAGATTTTCTGTACTAAGGATATAACCTCACAGTTCTAAAACTTTGATCCTAAACATTTGATCTCAGCACATATTGAACATGTAAGTAATAGTCCTATGGTTTACCTGAGGAGTGCCTTTGGTAGTGGTGTGGCCAAGTCCCAGCTTGCCGTAGTCTCCGTCACCAAAGGCCCACACTGCGCTGCCATTGGCTGCCACACACACTGTGTGGTTCAGGCCACATGCTACCTGCAAACAGAGGGTCAGTATAGATAACAAGACAACTACTGTAGTGAGAAGTGAGGTGAGCAAATATTTTAGTGTGAAATTTGGTCAGAACTGAAGTTGAGGATTTTCTAGCTCCTACAGTCTATTTTTCTATTCTTGATAAGGGTACTTCAGTATTAAACGGAGGCCACCATTACGAAACGCGCCGCAGCACTTATAGAGGGTTAAATTGTTATAGATGTTGTAGTAGAACTATTCTAGTATTGTTGTGAGTCGAGCGTTATCATCAGATGAGTCACGGAGGCCACATTTTGTCAGCGCGCTGCGGCGGTTATGTTAGGTTGGGTTATCATAATAGAAAGTATAACTCGTCTGGTATCGTTTGATTCATATGATAACCCAACCTAACATAACCGCCGCAGCGCGCTGACAAAATGTGGCCTACCGACATTGCTGCGTTCTGGGTAGCACAACGACAGAACCAGGCGTCGTATTAATTCTAAACTTCACCTGTTAATCTATTAAAGTGTGTTCTTTCCAAGTATGTAGTTATTTTTGGTATCCGGTACGAAATATTTCTGTAGGTTAGGTGGCCTCCGTTTAATACTGAAGTACCTTGATAAGTTTTAAGAAGAATTAAAATACCGACTGTACATATTATAAAGGTATTTTTTTTTTAGTTAAGACACCTTATACCCTACCAAGAAAAAGCAAATACTAGCAACTTTTCCAAAATATACCTTAATACTAAGTCAAATAAGGTAAAGGATCCGAATGTTCTATACCTTGTACCTGCATTAGGTCCTTTTTTGTTTGTTGTAGCTATTATCTGGTCCAGACAATAAACTGTAATAGAACCCCTTATACAAGGTCCCATTAAAAAAACAGGTAGAGGTCATTGGATCCTGCAGCATGGCCTGTTTTTATAGTGGGGCCTTGCCTTATTCCAGCAGCTAAACAGTGCCATTTTTCCAATGAACTCACCTGTCCCACCTCCACTCCGGCCAATTTAGTCACTCTATCTGGTAATTTCTTGTTGCAGGTGCTGCCGTGACCAAGACGGCCATAGTCACCATTGCCGAAGGTGAATAGTTTTCCATCGCTGGTCACCACAGCACTGTGCTTGAACCCACACGCCACCTGTAAAAATGTACATACAAATAAACCAATGTTGAAATATATAGGTTGTGAAAGATTGCATGTTTGGTAATTTATCATACAGTATAGTCTTGAATTTGCAATCTTCAGTCATCTGACCTTCCGTATTGTCTGACCATCCCTTCAGAAATTGTATGCCAATTTCGAGTTATATCACTGTACACTGTACAGAGTACGTCAAGACAACCCTGCCCATGTCTGTACTCAGAAGATACACAATAGGCTTCAGGCACCTGCACTTGACTGTGCTTTCTCACTATTATTTTAGCAAGTAGTTTGTCATCCCCTTATACATGCATACATACCAGCCACCCCTCATGTTTTTTGTTGTCTAATGACCCTAATCCTAATGGTCCTAATGGGCCAAATGTAATTTTTCTAATGGAATTTTTTTTTACATTTTGAAAGGGAACGATCCAAACCCTGATCTTGTTATCTAACCTCGACCTTTCTGTTTGGTAGCATAATTAATTCATAGCCCAATGAAAAATGGCATCTGGGTTTAGAAACGATCTTGCTGGGAACCGAACCAGCGATCTTCAGATTTGAAGGCAAACTTTATGACCACTCGGCTAACCCAGACAATTTTTTTTGGGTACAGTGTGATCAAGAGACCTCTGGCTGAGTGGACGGGTACTTTATCTTATATTTTAGATTTACTTATACTACTACTTACTTACTTATTTACTACTTATTTTACTTTTTTTATATTTTATAATTTTTAATACACTTTTTATTATTTCTTTAAAAATAGAGGATGTTAGTGGTTTTAATAAAAGAACAAACTTGAAACCTTGAGTAGGTTCACCAACTGAGAAACTCTATTAATTGAATGATCTTGAAAATATTTTAAATATTTTTGTTTGCACCATTCGGCCAAACCATAGCCAGTTCTGGTTAGATAACCGAGACTACTGAATACTAAATAAACCTGAGCAAGTATACCAATTGCTTACGCTATTAAAGTGGAAAAATTGATAAAGTTGAAATTACTGGATCTACATAAGTAGTGAAAGCCTCTTCTCTGTACCTCAGCAAGCCTTTACACACCTGTACAACATCCTCCCCCTGGAGTGCCTCTATCTGACGAGGGCGCCGCTGTCTGTCACTGTTGCCATGACCAAGCTTGCCATAGTCCCCGTCTCCCCAGGAGAACACTTCCCCACTCTCAGCCAAGGCGAGGCTGTGACCGTCACTGCCACACGACGTTGCCACTTCAATGATGACAAAACCTAGATGACGTCAGTATGATGCATTTTCCGATCATGATTCACTGGGATGATTCAGATGGGAATCATCCAAAGTTAACGTTTTTATTCAACTGACATCAGAGAGATTGGTACCGGTACCACAAAACTTATTAATAGCATACATTTTGTCGTTCAAATAAAAATATGATCTTCTGAAAACTGAGTATTCAATATTCAAACAACAATAGTTTAACCCCTTTTAGAAATTGATACACAGTTGAAACGTAAACAATCTTAAAACCAAAGTGGCATTGCTACCATAAAAATAGTCTTGTTTGTACCTTCTTCCTACTCTTATTTTATGGTGTTTTAAAATTATTTTTGTATATTTCAATGCCTACTGTTCTTTCAATTCATTGTTACGATTTATGCTGCTAAATTAATTTAGAAGCATAAACTGAACTGTGTAAAAAGTTATCTTGAATAGAACAAAGTTCTTGCGGCCATAATAAACTTGTCGTCAAGATCATCTGGCATGCTGATTTGAGAACATCTTTGTAATTAGATTAGACAAGTTAAGTAAAACAGCAATCCTTAAGAAGCGTGTAAAATCAATGTTATCTTTGTAACCATCAATATTCTCATTTAAATACAGTCCACTTGTTTAGAAGCATTTGTACATTACCTTGCAGAGCTGATATGACAGACAGTGAGTGTAGGTCGTCAGAGTGACCTTGACCCAGACGACCGTAGTTGCCCTCTCCACAACTCAGCACAGTTCCGTTGGATTGAACCACAAATGTACAGTTCTGGCCACACACAATCTGCTGCGCACTGGAGAACGACTCTGTCAGTGTAGGCACTTGGGAGCTGTGGCCTGGAAACAGTGAAAACCAACATCACCTTACTTGACTTTCTGCACATCCCTTGCTAAATATTGTCATATAAAAAAAATCCAATTTCAATTATATAAAAGTAAGTTAAAGATTTATTTGTGGAATTTTCATTTCATCTATACTTACTGATCTGAGTTACTTTCTTGAACTTTTTTTTTAGAAAATATTTAAATTAGACATAAGTACCAAACTGTAAAAGTTCTGTATTGAATAGTCAATAATTGTGAGTGAAGAGCTATTGTCAACCATAAATTGATATTACAACCCGGGTAGAAAATTAATAGTCTTATGCTCTAGAATAAAGTAAATAAAAGGTCTGAAATAAACAGATTAATTTATTTCCAGCCAATTTAGTCACAGGAAACCCAGAAAAACTTAATTCTGATGACATAGTTTAGAGATAACAAAACAGAAAGGAAAGCAAGAAATTAAGGATGCCTCAATACCCTGAAGTGTTCATATACAGTAACAGCCATCTTGAGTAGGGTGACAGCATGTGATCTGTTGGTTTCTCATTGGTCCTCAAGAGCTAAGGTGAGGTATTTGAACTACGGTGGGATTAAAATAGGCTTATAGAGTAAACTAGGTTGTAGCATTGGTTGTAGGTATTATGATAATATAAATAAATAGGATTCTAATTTGGTGAAAAAAGGAGATAAGAATACGCCTTACACATCCAATTTAGATGAACCAACTGGAAAGCTCTAACTTACCACTCTCGCCCAACTGTCCGTGCCGTCCGCTGCCCCAGAGGTACGCCTCACATCGGCCGCCCACCTGCCAGTCCTGGGGACACTGAGTGGCCCATGACATGAGCTGCACATCTGTCTTGTAGCTCCACGCCTCGTTGTCTGTGGCCAACTGCCAGTCTTCCTCTTCCTCTGCAACAACATCCACATAGAGAGAAAACAATAGTAAGTGGCTAATTAGAATTTGTTTTAAGGGTTAATGTTCAGTTAATCTATTTGAGATAATTAGACTTCATGGTCTAATGGATACATGATTAATGTTCGCAAAACATAAGACTGATATTTGGTCCTAGAATAGGACTTATTCAGAGTAGATAGTAGATAGTGCTAGACAGTAGATTAACCTAATCTATCCTAACCTATCTATGATTGGGAGAGTAGGTAATTGATTTTAAATACAAGTTTAATACAATTCCTTAATACAAACTAGATTAATATGTTGATTCCAGCAGAATTTAGGTCTTTGCCTAGACATTTATTTGCCTGATTTGATTTTGTAGAAGCATATCCTACATTAGTCATTAAAAGAAGTTTTTTTTGGATTACTATCTCAGCCTTAACCATCTCACTGATAAACATACAAAACAAAAACCATGCAGGCTGGGGTATTATATCCAGCGGTTGCGCCTTCAAGCTTGGGCTACAACTACTGTGTCAGTGATACTCACGAGGAGGGATGTCTTCTCGTTTCTTGTCCAGGAATTGTGGTGGCAACGCAGTCCGGTTGACTAGAGCCTTGGCCGTCTGAGCCGCCACTCCCAACATGTGTAGCCAGATCCAATCAGGTTCTACAACAATCATTCAATATATTTACTACAAGTGTCTCTTGCAATTCTACAAAAGAGACCTAATAAAAGTTGTTCTGTTACGAATGGACTTAGGGAAGTACTATTATTTGAAGCAGGTAAATCATGGATAGCAATAGTAACCCAAAAACAGTATATGAGTTTGTTTCTTCAATAAGTAGATACATGTACTCATATACAAAAACATTTTCCTAAACACAATGGAAAATTAACAAAAGAAACTTCCTTAACCTGCCAAGATAATTGAAAATATTGGGACAAGCAACAAATTTAAAAACCAACAGCTCTTGTTCATTTAAATGGTACAAATTACAGAATTAGAATGTTCTAATTGATGGTCTAATGTTCACATTCCTTTCTCTATATGTTGTCATTATCAGACAGTATTAAAAAAAAAAAAATTTAGTTGTACATGTATCATCCATAAAAATGCCTTAAACTTTAAATCCCCTTTTAAATTTGTTACTTAAGTGGATATTTGAATTTAATTTAACACTTTTGTCGCTTTTATCTCAGGTAGTACAGTGTTTGTCTTATAGATATTCTGAAAAGTAAACATAAAACAACATAACCTACCCAATGCTGTAGCATCTACAGAGTTAGGTGGGGCCTGTTTGAAGCACAACACTGTGTCGAGTCGTAGAGCTAACATGAGCGACACAAGACACTTGATGTGGTCGCTGTACATGAGCCGCTCTCCATTGACTACGCTCGGCCGCTCTGCTCTGTACAGGTCCAACACCACGGAGGGCAGCACAGTCAGTAGTGAGCGGAGACATGGAGCAGACTGGAGGCCTGTCACACCACGAGCCAGCAGGGAGTTACGACATGCTGCTAGTACGCGGTCCTTGCCACACGTACCCAACGTGTAGTTGATGATATTGATGTCCTGTACAATATTATATGGATATTAACTAATCATTTAGTCATCTAATACATCATATTTTTATGTTGACGATTTTTAAGGGTAGGCCTATAATGGTGTTTTTGTCTGGGTATCTAATGTGACTCTCCATGTTGAAAAAGGGGCCAGTGGCCTCGAAATATCCAGTGTTTATTTTATTTTGTGTTTTCTTCTGTGTTACTGTAGTGAAGTGGGATGCCTACATTTCTTAAGGCAAGCCTGCTTATCCTATCCTTTCTCTCCCTTATTAATAGTAGGGTTGTAATGATTCTCAATACCAATTCTTGGTCATTGGTATTATGGTATTGGTATAGAGAATCGATCGTGAAAAGTTTATACTGATACCAATACCCAAAACGTCTAGGAAGATCGCGCAGTTGAAAAATTACGATATTTCACGATTGCAGACAAACGAAGACGTACCCGTAACAAAGAGGGATTATGCTTATGTCTAAACGGCCGCAGATGTTCATGCTTTGGATTGCGGACAACATCGGTGATGTTCCCGTGACTGCTGGGGACGATGATACTTTAATGTGGCAAGAAAGATTTATTTATTCACGTTACCTTGGAGCGGATGAAGCAAACAGCCAGACCAATATCCGAGACCCAGCAGAGACTCTGCACACCTCCGGGGCCAGTCTGTGTCTGCAGCAAGCTGGCATCCTGCAGACTCCATATGTTCACCAGACCACTCATACCTTTCAGACATCCTGTAACACCACCAACACACCAACAATAAAGTAGCTTTCAAACAAATATTTTACAGTAGAACCTATATAATCCGAACCCCCATAATCCTGTAGCAATTACGATCCATTTTAGCCACGTTTTAGCCATTGTTATGTAAAAACAACAATATCTTCTCCTTCTGTAATCCGAAATATTCAATAGTCCGAACTACCCCCAGTCCCAATTAGTTTGGATTAAAGAGGTTCTACTGTACATACTTACTCCTACTCCCATGCCCTACGACTAACTTCCATTTCCATCGACACTCTGTGTCATCTTTATCAACTTCAACAATCTCAGGTAAAGACCTGAAAATGAATCTCCTCTTCCTATCTTCATTTTAAAAGAGTGATAAGCCTTTATCATTCAACTAGATTACTACTAGTTGTCAGTTGAACAAGTAATTTGTTGTGAAATGCAAAGGCACAGCACACTATTTTGGATAATAAAACGATTACAAATGTGAGCTAACGAACTTGGAATTATTTATATTAGCTAGCTTCAGAGTATTCCAAATAAACAACCTTCAACGTCAGTTGAGTTTTGCATCATAATCACTTTTCAGAATCGGTATCGACACCGCTGGTATCAAAGGTGTCGAGGTATCGAGAATCGTATTCGGCCCCTCCCTAATTGAGAGAAAAGTAATGGGTATACAGCTTATCACTAGATAAAAGAATTCAAGGCAGGATGGTTTTGATTCCTACGCTCTAAATCGGACATTTTTTGACATAGTTGTAACGTAACATACCTGAGGCCAGCAGCATGCCGTCTTTGTCTATACTGAGAGAAGTGACTGGACTGTACATGTGACCTTGCATGGTGTGCAATACTCGTGGCTGAGGTAAGGTCCACACACTGATACCACCATATGCAGTCCCCACACACAACACACGCTGTTGGTTGTGGCCTGCAAAACCAAAATTTAAAATTTGAAAGTTGGTATCTCAACCTAAAGCCGGCTCCAGAGATGCGCCATTCGCCAAGCACCGAGCAGCGACTCGCCAAATCGCGAGTAGTGTGGATAGGTGTTTGTCTATTTGGCAAGTTGTAGCAAATGCTCGTGCTTATGTGCTCGTGTTTTCCCGTACATTGTCGGTATTTTTTCACATATCAAAGTGAACAAATATTTTTGCTATTCCTGAAACAAACAGTTGCTCGGAAAACAACACAAGTGTGTATACGTCTACTCGATAATTGGCGAATTGCAAGACAACTAGATCGCCGAACATAAAATATTTCGTGCTTTGAAAATGGCATATGTCAGGAGCCGGCTTAATGGGTCTGAATTTAGATAATCTAATTGTTTGGGTAATCTTGGCTGAAGAATTATGTTAGTAATTTTTAAGTAACTCCATTGTGAATACCTAGATATGATTAAACAAATGTTTAAACCGTGATCAACTGAATTGTATTGTTTGAAAATTAATTGAACTTCAGGATATTTTTGCTCTAGACTCCAAGGACCACAGTTTTGATAAACTCTAAAATCTATAGAAATTTAAATCTATAGGTAGTACAACAATCCCTTTTTAAAATATTGATCATAGTGTTAAGTCGCCACTTGTTGTCCTCTCTTTTCGACTCTTAGTAACCACAGACTTTTCAACTCATTCTTTTTATTTTTAGGTATTTAGCACCATTCAACAAGGCAGGCAAATGATAGGAAACATTTAATGTTACTGTTTATGCTATTTATAAAAAAAAAATATTATTTGATTACATCACCAGGATAACATTTTTGTAAAATTGAATCAAAATTGCCAATACTAGTGTTCTAGTTTCAAATTTAATAAGTACTTGGTTAATAAGTACAGTATTTGTCTTGATCCATTGCTCTTTTTGTTCAGAATATGTTTGGTTTATTGTTTGTAGCATAAACACGAAATAAAATCTTACATTTAAATAAATTCTATATATTTACAGAATCTATAAAAATTCTGTATGAATAATATTTTAAATTTTAAGGTAAAGGATACATTGTCATACCTAAGGGCGATCTTTATTTAAAATTTAAACTTGACTGGAATTAACTCCACCTGAAGGAGAATTCTAGTAAAAAAAAGTTGTGTATTAAACAAGGATAATTTATCAGTGAATTTAACCTGTTGTACTGACCTACAAATGGAGACCACGCCACAGACACTGGATGATAGCTGTGTGCCAGAGTGTGGACACATTTCCACCCAGAGTCTTGAATCTGGGTCCAGATGTAGCAGTGGCTGTCCCCTGTAGCACATGTAGCCAGGAGGTCGTTATACGGGTCCCACGACATACAGCATATGTTACTCTGTAAATAAAAATTTAATCAAACGACAGTTATTCACTTATTGTTCACTATACCTCGAGAGCGTCAAAACGTGTGGACTTGAATCTTGTTAAACAGAGTCCATGCAAACTCAAAGTGGCAATCAATTTTTTAAAACTGAAAACAATATGAAAAAAGAACAGGAAGCTTAAATAGCATTTATAGTTATTTTTTGTACTTAAGATTTCACTATACTGGGTGGCGCAAAAAGAACGTATGAATTTGAGTAGCACAGTGCCAGTGGAGGGAAGCTGCCAGTGACCGCTGGGCGACGCCATTTTGTACGTTGGAGCGCCCAGTTTAAGTAGCAATGGCGCAGTGGACCGTGCAGCATCTTGTGTTCGTTGTTGAACAGTATTTCAGATCGAATGAATCTGTCATTGCTGTTCAACCAAACTTTCGTAGAAAGTTTAATGTCGAGCCTAATGGTTCAATACCTGATTGCTACACGATACTCATTGGGTATACTCATTTCATACAACAGGATCAATTATGAAAAATAAATCGACTGGCCGTCCTCGTATCCCGTATACTCCGCAAAATGTCAACACTGGCAGAGCCTCGGTTCTTCAAAGTCCTCACCGTTTGACTAAGCGGCACGCTCCAACATTAGGGATGTCACGTCAATCGGTCCAGTATCTTGACATGTGAGTTTAAATTTCATCCTTTCATGCACCAGTTCTCTCTAGCTACATTATCATGCTTACCGCATGAGCAGTGATGGTGGTGGTCTGGACGTGTTGATTCTTGTGGGAGATCTTGAGTGTTCCATCTGAAAATCCAACTGCAAAGTGCTTCTCCTCATCCTGCCAGGCCAAATGACTCACAGAGGCTGGGACAAATAAATAAAATACTTGTAAACTCACGTTTTTAATCTTGTTATTTAAACATCTTTTCTTTAATCTTGCTAACTAATGATCATCTTGGAAGGTATTTATTATTTAATAATAATTTAATATACATTCCAGATTGTAGTTAGCGATCTAGGGGTGTGCGAAGCAGCAAAAAATTTTTGATTCGAAGCAACGATTCAATTCAAAAGATTTTCGATTTGAATCGATCCAACTCGATTCGAAGCAATACAGCATTTTTCTATTCATACTGGTCAATGGAGTGAAATAACAATAGGCTAATTAAAATTTACCTATTAATTTAGCTATTATTTTTGTTGATGTGGTATTAGGCCTAGTCATACATATGACATACATGGATTTTCAGTGAAAGAATATTTATTTTCAATCATATATCTATATTAGAAGAACCTGTATTGCTGGAAATGTCTGTGAGCTGCTTTACTTGCCAATTTCATAATTTTTACTTGCAGAATCACATTGTTAACCATGTTACCTATTTTATAATATTGATTTTACCAATAAAGATATCTTTTGGTGTAAAAAAATAAAAAAACATTTGCAAGATTTATACTGATACTTTCAATTGGTTTACATTGTTAAAATAAGAGGATAGAATCAGACCTACAAACTACAAGATAGCTTCAGACCTATAAAAATACCAAATTTATCAGTCTAAAACATCAATCTTGCTAGTTAAGTATAAAGTAACAATTTTTCAGACTTGTGTTATTTTTAGAATGATTTTGGAGTGACTTGTTTCGGCTATGTTTACAGTAGTATAACATTTCTCACACTGCATACACTTGCAAAACTTCTCATCATTTGCAATGTGAAAATAAAAATTAATATAAAACAATTAAAGCAATATTTACAAGCAAAGAATTAATAAAATAAGAACGCCTTCGCAAAGAAAATGCCAAATCTTGGTATTGTCCAGCTTTATATGGTTAGGGATTTTCTAAGCATTGAAACTTAACCAATACACTGAAAACTTATTTCTCAGTGTAATCCTGAAGGTGTAATACTCACAGAAAGATAATGAACAGTTGACGAGTTCATCTGTGTGCCAGTTGCCTGGTTCTACGGTCACCATGGCGACAGAGCCGTTGATTCTTCCCACCAATAAACACTCTTGTGAATGTCCAACAATAGAGATCTGCGGCCAACATAAAGCTGTGATCCACTCCGGCTGTGAGTCTATCAGGAAGTCTTCCCCCACCCTTGCACCTTCTGTGGTGACAGATATAAAATATAAGACTCGTCAGGAAATGTAATATAATAATGCAACAGAAAAGTCACACCGTAGGGAAGGCCTTGATGTTTGAGGAAACTACTCTATAGTTATCGACAGTATTTTGCAAAGTTATTTACAGTATTTTGCATTAGTACAGTATAGGTTGGTACAAAACTTAAGGAATTAAGAAAATAAATAGGGTGTTTTTCTAGTAAAAATGTATGCAGCAATGAAACATTCTAACTAGCCAATTTCCAAGTGTAAACCCTTCTTTTCACATAAAATAACTACCATATATAGAGGTGTGCCAGCCTGATATTTTCAGTACGGCCAAACTCAAAATAATATTGTGATAATCGTCGTATTCTGAGATCGCAAAATCCGAAATATCTTTCTCAATTACTGAAACATCATCACTGTTTTTCAAGATCGCGGCAATATCATAAACATCTTCCGCGGCCGTGTAGACACTATCATCATCTTCCACGATTGCGGCAACATCATGAACATTTACCGCGGCCGTGAAGACATCATCATGAACTCCCGCGGTCACGGAAACCTCTTCGTCGTCGTCCACGATCGCGGCAAAATTATGAACATTTCTTTCGGCCATATAGATATCATCATCGTCTCCCGGGATTGCGTTAATGTCATTGTTGTCATCCGCGATCGCGGCAAAATCGGTAATTTTCCGGCATTATCGGTGAAGGGTTTTCACACCATAACATTTCACCATCGGTTCTTGGTTCCGGTTCTTTTGCCGAGAACCGGCGGAACCGATATTTGATGTGAAGTACCAACCCATCACTACTTAAATAAAATGTATTTTATTCACTCCCCCAATGCTTTCCTCCAAAGTCGATCCCTTGCCAGTTTCCTCGTAGACATTTTAAGAGACTAAACCATAAAAAAATTAGCTTTAAATAATCATTGAAACTAGGGGTCTGCGGTACAGAAAATTTAAGGTCGGTACGGTTCGGTACGGTACAATATTTTGTACCTCGGTTCTCGGTACAAAATCGGTACGGTACGCGGCTACCCGTATTTTTGCGGTTTTCTTCTCAGAACTGTATCTAAACCATTATTTTTAACTTTAATACATAGACATTACTATGAAAATGGATAGTATCCTACATTCATGGTTTTCTAACAACAATTACTGTACCACATATTATTAAAACAAAACCTTTTACTACTACGAGGATTGTGTCAAGAAAAATCACAGTTGAGATAAAGGCTTTACCTATTTTACTCTGAGATACTTTGAATAGCCATGATAAAGTAGTTAAAAAATAGGATAAGAGTTTTTATGAATAAACATGTTTGAAACATTTATTGACAAGATAATTTCACAAAACTGGTAAATAATTTCCAAACAACACAATGTCTAGTTGTTTTTTTTTTTTTTTTTTTTTTTTTTTTTTTTAACATATAAAAGCATTCAGTAGAAGACAGTGTAGTTTTGCCAGCTGTTCACAGCAGATGACAATGAAAAACTGGAGGTTATGATGAAGTAATGGCAAAGACCATTTTTTTTTATCAGCTTCTAAACTAGTTAAGTTATAAGATGGATACAATTCTTGCAAAGTTTTTTTCTGAAACTAAAATTTGGATTATCACAGAGTAAGATTTGATGTTGGGCAATTAGACTTTATAAGTGTGTAAAAGGTGTGTATCCCTAAATTTATAAATTGCATTCTACACTTATTCACTGCCAAACATAATTCAGTAGAACCTTGATGAACCGAGAATTACACTAGCCTACATAACTTCATTACCCCAAGTAAAATACCAAAATAATTTTTATAATTGTATTTGAATCGTATAATCTTAGTTTGTTAAAAATGGATTGTATGTTCAACAATAATTGCAGTCCATTATTGTTAAGCAGTATGGTCCCAAATTATTGTTTTTGATTTTGAAACATCACAGTTCATTTGACAAAATTATAATTGAAGCAGCCCAATGTCAAGTCACCTTGTGCAATAGTTTGTTTACAAGCTTTCTCCAGACCATGGGGGAGGGGAGGGGAGGGTCTGATAAGCCGTCTATTGTTCACCCCCAAGAAGGTCCGACCCTCATTAGTGCCGCTCGGCTGCACTCAGTGGGGAACCCAATACCACAAATCAATCTTTTAAATGAATACAAATATTTGGTAATAATTGTTGAAATTTCAATAAATTTGGTGTAAAATTTGACAAAAATCTGCCATTTGGACCGATTATTAATACAATACCAAATACTAATAAAGTAGTACCGTACATTCATTGGTAATTAAATAATAGGTAAAAATTAACCGATTTTCGTCAAGTTTTACCCCCTGCTGTGCGCTATGTCACAAAAGCTGATAACGACATGAGTGATTAGTAACCATGGCAACTTGTTGAATGCGTGATGAAGGGAAACCCAAGAAATAGAAGAACAAAGATAAAGATTGACGTTGTTATCTTTATACCCTTTTTACAATTTCCGTTATTGTTATCTTTATGTAAGATTTTATGATTTTGTTTTATAGGTTTATAAAATAATTCTTTTTCACTACGGGAATATCAATTTATAATTTATCAACGTGCTTCTCTTCTGAAACAGCAATACCGGATGCATAATAAAGGTCAATGGCCTAAAATATCACGATTGTGCAATATTGTATTTTGATGTTAAAATTAAAATCACGACAAAAGTTTGTATATATCCATGGTCGTCAATAGAAAGATAAAATATCCATAACAAATATTTAATTTATAAAATAAGATTGTAGATTAGTTACAAGTTTAATATGTAGCCATAAACAGTTTTATGGCAGTAGGCAATGGCCAGCGGCAAATTCAATATTCACGAAAATACTGATTAAGTTAGAGATAACATTTAACAGTCATCATAAAACTACTATTATTTTTATGATAAAACAGAATTGGGGAAAGTCGTAAAGAAATAAAAGTGATAAAACTCAACAGTTCTTGGAAGTACTTCAATACAACAATTATTGTCGTGATAAAATGTTAATGGATTTGGGACTGCTAATGGGTTTTTTATTGCATCATCACGCTAGTAATAAATTATGAAGATCGTAAACAAACAACTGATAAGACTTTTATGTGCTTGGAACCAACTGCCGTTGACTACGATAGTAAACTGAAAGTAATTTATTATTATAATAGGCTGTACCGAACCGAATTTGTACCGTGTAAAATGCTGTACCGAACCGATGACGGTAATTAAGCTTGTACCGTACCGTACCGACTTTTTCGGTGCACCGCAGACCCCTAGCTTAAAAGCTCTTAAATATGTACTACACTTAGATACATGACAGTTAAACAACAGTTAACCTGCAGAGATATAACACTAGAAAATTGTATGATAATGTTCTTGTTCTTACTCATCACCTAACACTAAATGAGAAAAGTCATCATAAATACCAAGTAGCTAATATATACATCAAATCAAAATGAATATACCCTGGGAATAAACTACTAATTAGCCTAATTGTTCTAATATGAAGTTAAGACAAAATAACAGTGGTAACATATCCTTTACCAGGCAGATGCCAAATGTTGATAGTGTTTTCCATGGCAGCACTGACAAAGCGTCCCGAGGGAGACCAGCCCAGGTGACTGATGAGTTCACCATTGAGTTGACGGCCATAAACATGTTCAGACTTGCGGAACACCAGCGTTTGCTCCAGCGTTCCTCCGGCTGGACACCACACTCTCACTGTGCTGTCGTAGCCACTGGGGAACACATGGATAAGCATAAGTATGAATAGTATTACCTTACCTCCTTGGACATTGAAACTTTAGAAGGTTTTTTGCCTCGCCAACAATGCCTCTCCACTCTTCTCTATTCTCGGCTGCCTCAGGTGTAGTGCCCAACACAGCGCAGCCATATCCTTCAGATGAATAGTGTTGAAGGAATTAATTAAACCACTTGACTTACTTTTGGTTTTATACATTTTACAGCCTTCTTAAAGGTTAACATGTTTTCCAATGAAAAGACAATAGCTATTTCCGATTCATTGGTTTATAAAATATTTCTATAAGCCTTGATATTAACAAAAGCTCTTTGTTCATAATCACTTAATTTTGGATGGATTCCATAATACGAACCATCTGTAGCCAATATTTTCATTAAAAGAACAGTGAAAGGCTCAATTGAACTGTGTTTATTTTATTTATAAATATAACATGGGGATAGAATATGTAGTTTTATCGTTCTATACAAAGTCACAGGTATCTAAATTATATATATATATGTGCATAGAGTTATTATTATTTATGAAGACCGCATATCAAATAAATGCTGTATATTTCTTTCACTTAAAAAGTCTAATAATTTAAAATGTTTCTCTACTTACCAGGAAGCTAGGAGTCCTCGGTCAGGATGCCAGGCGGTCGATGTGACTCTGTTCTCATGGGCCTCTAGTACAGTGACATTGGTCAGTGGCAAAGCCCCTGTGAGATCTGTCACTGCACAACTGTCCACCTTACGCTCACTGGAGTAGATACACTTCACCTTTGCAGCAAGTTATTTTATATTTATACACTTTTGTAAGCTTTTGTGATTTTTTTAAAGAATAAATATTTGGTTGCCACCTAGGTTGGAAGAATTAAGAGGGTTCCACCCGCAGGCTGGTTACCGGGTAAGCATGGTCCTACAAAAAAGAACCTCGTGGCATTATTTACCTCGTGGCTAAATAACCTCGTGGCTTTCCTCGTGGAATAACTGTTTATCAAGTTGAAATAAACTGTAAAATATTCACCAAGATCCAAACTATGCACTAGGTGAACTGAAACTTTGTAATTGTATCTTTAAGTATTTACAAAACAATTTTGAAATTAAAAAATGTGTCTTTTTCACATCCGATTTTAGCATTTTAATAATAGTTTAACATTTATCCACATCCACATCCATTGCAAGCTCTGATATGTTAAGATAAAAAAAATCACACAATCATTGGAAACAAATTAGTTTTGGAGTGTTGAGAGGTTGTAACGTAGAGGCATGTTTAGAAACATTAGCATGTTTAGCCGCCATCTTGAATTGACCAGGTAGAACCCTCTTAAATGAGAATCAATTCACTCAGCTGAGCGATGGCAATGAAAGTGGAAGTGTTTTCCACTTGTAGCCAGTACAAAAGTTTTCATTTGTTTTAAATTACTGTGTCAGATATTGATAACTAGGACGTACCAGCTGTTGTGCTGCCCACTCTTTGTGTACATGTGACAGACGACATGTCAGTATGCAGGCTGCCAGAGCGTTAGGCAGCAGCAGGGGGCTGAGGCCTCGGTCCATAGGACTGGTGGGAGTCAAAACCTTCTCCTCGGGTCCTGGGTAAATAAATTATATGTAAAACACACTTGACGAGCTACAGTAGCATAAAAATTCACCTACTTATAAAATTAAATCGCTAGTTTTATTCAGAACGAGGAGGCCCCTAACTGTCGATTTCAACGGGTTTCACCTAGTAGTAAATAAATGTACTCAATGCGTTTCATTGAATTGAAAAATAAGTAACAGCAATTAAATTATACAGCTGATCAAAATGTAAACACTTATGTTCTTCATAAGGATAACATGGGAACTTTCAAACCCACTGGGGCAGAGCCCAAGGGACGTTTTCAAAAATGTAAGGCCAGTTTACAAATCTACGCGACACGCTCTTTCCAATGAGACGTCAATGGATAAAATCGGTTAAGAAATGGCGGAGGAGTTCAACCGACAAAGTTTCATGTAGCGTATTAATTATATAGATTGTGAGGTTTTTATATAAATTTAAACTTGCCATAATGTTATTTATGTTGTTTTTTTGTAGACTAGCTGGAAGGTCCAAAGCAAGATGGTCAGACCAGAAAGGAGGGACACGAGGAAATTGGAGTTTAATGAGGAGGATGCTGCAGACCAAACATACTAGAGGCCATCTTTGATGGAGAGGTTTGGGGTTTGCGTGGTCACTTCATTAATTAAGTAACTGATTTTTCTTTGAAAAATAAACAGCTCTTATCATTTTGTATAGCAATAATCTAACAGAAAATCTAGAGTGTATTTTAAAGGGAAGAAACCATTTGAATTTGACTCACCGTTTTGCGAGCTTGTCAGAGAGAAACCACCATTGGAGGCAAGAAGTGCCACTAGCGCCTGAGTGACAGAGAAACTTGAAGGAGCCCCACCTTCAGGGATGCCTGTGGCTGCGACCTTCAGAAGGTCCTGTGAGCAACAGTCATCAATTGATACCAGTCTTCTGGTAAATTAAGTAAATACAGATTACGGACCCTATCTTTTGTACTAAATGATGATAGTTTTCTAATTCACAAGTTTTTCTATAAACAATCGCAAAAAGATTTTAAATTTGGGTTGGATGTGATTGTGTTTTAAGTTTGCGAAGAGGTTTTTATTTTCCTTAAGTAATGATTTTCAGGACAGGATATTTGTATTTTTTGTGCGACAAGGGAAATTTGAGTTTATTAAAAAAAGGAGTTTATGAATAAATTGAACATTGACAATAGACAACTTGTTCAATAGATAAAATCAATACAGTCTCCACTGCAGTCTTCAACGTCTTCATGATTACAATCCATGATCGCAGGTCCATTGTTATTTTCTCCCACAATCGCAGGGACATAATCATTATCATCACCCACCATAGCGGCAAAATAATGAGCATCTTCCACAACAACAGAAAATTATTCTTGTTTATAGATTAGTAACGTTGGTCATTTACCTGTGCACACATCAGCAGAACTCTACGTGAGGCTGTGGGATCATTGTGTGCGATGGCAGTCAGACAGGCTGTCAAACACGACAGAGCCTGCGTGGGTGGAGAGTTGGCACTACTCGCATCCACACGACCACTGCCTACCAGCCCCATCAAATGGATGATCTTACGTACATCAGACAGTCCGATACCAGCCAGGCCCGAGGACAAGCAGCACGTTGCGCCACTGGTTAGGTGAGGATGTACAAACCAAGGACCTTATTAGCTTTTTTAATGCAAAATTATTCTAATTGTATAAATATCTTGTCACTAGTTATTTTGGTTTGAACACTACCATAAAAAAATATTCAACATAAAGGAGCTATATTTATTAAGCCTACTAACAATTAAAAAGTGAGTGAGTGAGTGAGTGAGTGACTAACAATTAAAAAGGAGACCGAACTGGGTGTATTTCAACCAAAATATGAATAAGGTTTAGTATGAATGAAGTGAGATCCTTTGGGTAGCTTTTCTACTGACTGACACTAGCTATTTCTTTAGCCAAGACCATTTATTATAAGCTCAATGATTAAGAAAAGCTGGGTCCTGTTTCAAACCACCGATAAGTTACTGACTTTACTTAAGATTGATCCAATGACCTTTGATGGTAAGCCTTACTCAGCTGCTCTGTTATTTTACCGTTTTTATGCAATAACTTTTGTGGTATATATTCAACAAACTTTATTCATTAAACACTGAAACATTCTTGAATAAAGTAGTGTTACCTCGCAGCCAGTAGCGAAAGCACACTCATGACCACACTACGAGCTGTGGTGACTTGTGCAGCCAGTGCAACTCGTTGTAGAGCTGTGATGCGCTCCTGAAGCAGCCGCAGTGAACATGCCTGCTCTGCCAGCGACCACCCTGCGGCCCGCACATCTCCCCCTCCACTATGACTATCTGAAACAAACAATAAGACATTCCGGGTCTGAGACAGGCAAATGAATTGGTTGATCACTTTATAGTTAATTGACTGTTTTCTTGAATGATATGAGGCAGAGGACTGAGGAGCAGTCGTTCTTGCCTTACGAGCAGCAGAGTCAGATGATATTGGAACAATTATGTGTTGTTGACGTCAACAACGTGGCCAGTACAAGTACAATTACTGAGCTTATCAGTTAAAAAGAAAGAGCAAAGAGGCACATGTATTTTGCAAGATGTTACTTCATATCTAAATCAATGTCATTGTTAGTATACTGAATAGAAAGGTAAGATGTTTTGTGCTTAATTAAAACCAATCATTCTAAAAAAAACCTCTAAAAACAAGATGTTTACATTTCCCAACTCAAGACTAGATACTGACTGGACTGCTTGGTAGAGTCGGTGACCACAGGTACAGCTGAGCTGCCCAGGGGGTCAGCTGTTCGAGTCACACTCATGTTCATGAAGGAGGTGATGGGTGGAGAAACAAAGTTGTGATAGAGAGCCTCAAGTGACGGCACATCTGCGGGCTCCTCCCACACCAGACTGGTCTCTGTGTGAAGTGATACTCATCAGCCGCAGTAAGTACAGATAAATGAAAAGACCCGGTAACATGGAACATAATCAAAAAACTATTGTTGTCAAGCAAAGTATTATGACTTACTAATAATATAAACTATAAATAATGGTAGGAAATTGACTTTAATCAGTAGACAATGTGAATTAATAAACTGTAGTGGCTTTTAGGATTGTAATACAAATCACTAACAATGGTATTGAGCTTAAATTAGCTATTGCCATCAAACCACTAGGTCTTATGGTATTTAAATTTTCAACCCACAGACTTTTTATTTAATCTCACTAATGCGGATGTACTGAATTTACCTTGGCTGTAGCTGGAGGTGGGAGTGAGGAAGTCAGCCCAAGGTTGTGTGTTCTGACATGTATCTGGCTTGCACATGGCCTTCTTGTATTCTGTCTGACACTCTATACACAACAGATACTTGTTGGCTGCAACAATCAAAACATTCTGCTTTACAATCACATCCTGACCAGCTCATAACGATATATACAACAAACAAATAGTCTTACTACTGGAAATGTGGAGGAGAAGATAAAAGGTAAACTGCCCTTTGGTTCATTTATTTGTGGAAGTCCAAAGCGTAAGTCAGCATGTTACTTACAGAGTACATTGCCGCAGTAGCTGCCACCTGACAGCGCCCCACAGCCTGGGTGAGCCGCTATCATGTGATTGCTCAGCTGATTGGACGTCTGCTGACACAGCATGCACACTGTGTTGGGCTCTATGGCAAACTGCAAACAACGGATCCCAAACATACTAAATAAGGTTCCTTGTATTTACATTTAACAAAACTATCTAAGTATCATAAAATAAAATTGTACATTTTTCAAAATCACTACAAATAACATAATGTTCTTTTCATCAACGAAGGAAGACATATCTCACTAACCTTGAGAATGATTTTGCCGTGATAAATAAGAAAAGAAATTTGTAAACAAATTATTTGCCCTAAAAATTCAATATTAAAAAAAAAACTTTTTTGTAGGAAACAGAAGTTTTAATGATACAATATTTTAGTTAGAGAAAGCTTGACATTTTAATTTTTCTTGGTAATATTTTTATGAAAAATTTAACTTAGGTCCTATAATGTGTTAGATTGCATTATGATATTGTAAGGTAGCAGTAGCAATAACTTTGGGGATTGAGATAAACATCTATAGTTCGGCCGCTTAGAAAACGACCTGCGCGCTAATGCTAAACCAATGCTGGAGGAGGTCGCTTTCTAAGCGGCCGAACTATATATGGAACAGCTGTAGCCTATTTTTTTTGTTTAAAAAGAACTTAAATGAATAAGCCACTCACAGAGTGTCAAAAATTATACTTTCTCGCTTAGATTTTATGTATCTGAGATGATGTAACATAAAAGATGCTTTAGTTGACAGATAAGTTGTCCTTTCAGATTGATATGATTAATAGAATTGGTGACTCAATTCAACTACATAAATATTTATTCTAAAACAAGCTATAGATTTACTTTGGGGACAGTATGTTTAGTTTTATCTATCTATAGTCAAAGGTAAAACTTAATTTATTGTCATGTTATCACACGTTATATTACATTACTGTATGGCCTGTACATGTTTTTACCGTCAACACACCTGTGCCAACAGAGGGAATCCTTGGACGGAGGCTATTTCAAACAGGTTCTGTGTGTTCTGTAGGTACAGTGGCTCTGCCTCTCCTCGGACGTGTTCCCTCTCCCTCTCTCTCTCTCGCTCAGTGTCACTGCGGTCCGCCAGGTAGCTGCGGATGTCAGAGCAGGCGCGACGTCGCGTAGAACCGCAGCCTCGACGGATCGGCCCTACCACCACTTCCTCCGACAGGTAAAGCCGACTTGGGTCGTATCTCCCGCCCTGCCAGTTTAAAAAAATGTAAAAGTTGTCTGAGTTCTATTTAAGGCTTAAAAACATAAAATATTAGTAAGTAACTTAAACCTATGTTGGGATAGCCTGAAATAGATAGTCAGGATGATAATCGATCAAAAATCCTTTATCCTTCATCCAACCTGTTCACAAATCACAATACAAAACTAAAATAATATTTATTTGGAAATTTTTTCTACACTAAAACCAGTCTAACACTGGGTAGCCAAGTGGTTATAGTACTTACTAGTTGTTACAAGAGAGAAAATTATATAATTATTTAGCTTGGTGTTAATAAGTTTATTTATTTGTATTTTTACCTTTCCATTGGTTTGTATGAAAAAGATCCAAATAGCATCATTAATTGATATCTCCAATTACAAATGGAATCAGTGTTCAGAATCGACCCCACTTTGAACTAGGAACCTTCAGATTTGTAGGCGAGTACTACAACCTCTCCACCCAAACAATAACATTCACTATACTCAACATTACTAACTTCTCCCACCTGGTTGGGCTCCACACTAGGCTGGCTGTCCGTCTCTATGATGTCCGGCTCTATACATGGATGTTCTATCATCCAAGTAGCAAGTTGGTTGACAGTGGTGGAGGCCAAGTCAGAACTACCACCCACAGCGTTGATAGCCTTCTGTACATGCTTCAGAGAGAAGCCCATCTCTAGCAATGGAGCCGCGATGAGCGGGTGAGGTGGGGAGGGAGAGCGGTGCAAGCTGCTGCTACAGGGGGCGGACTGCGGCGGCCCTGCCTTCTCTAGCGGAGGCGTTCCTAGTGAGGCCAGCGGGGCGAGGGGCAGCAGCAACTTGGGAGGGATGATAGGAGACACCTTCTGTGCCATCCGAGACAGTGACAACAGGTATGGCTGACTCTGAGGTGTGTGTTGCTGTCTAGCAACCTATGTGTATCAACAGAAAATTCCCCTAATTATTTATAGATACACGTGAGTGTTGAGAATATTTTTACCTCAAAAATTTACACATTAATATAGTAATTATGAGATGGATAAATAACTTGTAGAAATTGCGAGGGAAAGGGCTTAAACTCAACTATTAGACCTTAACGTAAGAACTAAGGCTTATCTTATCTAACAGGGGCAGGTCGAGACCTTAAAGCACTTCATCCGAAATCAAATTATTGCGCACCCCAGACAATCAAAGTTTAGGCGCCCAATGAATGCCTGTAGCTTCCCAATTAGTTCATCCTCAATAAGGTATATACCTCTAGCCATATTTCCAAGAGTTATCAATCTAGCGTCAGAGAGCTCATTACAATCATAGAGTAAGTGATCAGCTGTCTCTTCTGACCTATCACAGTACCTACAGATCGGTTCACCATCATATAAGCCCATCCGTTGTAGATGTTTCCTGAATCTTCCATGACCAGTTATCAGTTCAACAGTTAATTTAATTCTTCGTCTGTCTAGTCTCAAGAGGTCAGAGGCGAACTTTTTAGAAGGCCTAAACAGAGTAAGCTTGCTGACCCTAAGAAGGGGAACATTGGAGAACTAAGGCTTCTATGACCTCTAATACTAAAACTACAAACTAAGTCTTCATTGCAACCATGTCAACGTATAAGTTATTCCTAAGTGTTATTTTTTTCCTAATTAAAACCATCCTTTAGAGCAGTTCACTGGAACAAGTGTCAGGAATTACTATAATAAGAAATATTTCTGCCTGTCATGGTTGTACTCAGAAGACCTAGTTTGTAGTGTTATCATACCCTGGGCATTTGTACTTGATTGAAGTGGGAATGGCACGGCTCCCAAAACATTACAATATGTTAAAGGTAAATTACTCTGGTTTAAAAGCTATTTAATATAATTATTGATTTTTTTTTTTTTTTTGTTATTCTTAAAGTAAAGTCTACTCACCTGACTAGTCTCCTGACAGGTAGGGCGAGTATTGTTCAGTCCCCTCACTCTAGCCTCCAGTGTGTCTATTCTGTGTTTGTGATGTGCGAGAGCTCGTGTGTGTTCTGTGTGCAGCACACTAAACGCACGTTCCAGCTCCTCCAATGATGCTAACTGTGGCAGATCACACAACGCTACAGCTTTTTCCACCAGACACCTGAAATAAAAAATAAAAAAAATGGGCACATTCTTCCTGCAAACTCTTGATAAAGGTATGGCTTTCTCAGTCAGCTGACATTGATAGCTAAGAGAGTATACTATGCGGTACAGAGTAACCTACGTCAATTCAGTAGCCACCAAACAACCATGAAAGAAATTTAATGTATGAATTTTATATCTGCACCCAGCTACACCCAGACTGCCAAATCAAGAGTAAGTGTTTCTTTTAACCCAGGATCTGCTTGGTCATGACCTACCTCAATATATATCGCAGAGCATCTCTGAGAGCAATCTCATCCAAGTCTCGAGGTTCTTTACCAGCAACTGTCTCCTGGGCATCTCTACCCTCCAGGGCCTGCAATTGTCATCTCAGCGTCAATATCAATAAAATAGGTCAATACAAATCGAAATAAGACGTCAGGATATATAATTGTAAATACGAGTCATTAGACTCCCATACATTAGCAGAAAATTTTTACAAATTACAAGATTAATGAACCGTAACAAGCAATTCTGGGAAAAGTGCTAGTGGGTTTGAAAAAATTAATAACAAGTAAAATAAAAGTAGTGTGACATGAAAATAAAAAAAATCAAATTTCAAGGAAACACCCATTGCAAAAAAAAACTGTAACATAGCTGATTTTCTGTTACCTGGTCCTCTTTCTTGTCAGACATAGTGAAGGTAATGTTTGGCACAAGCAGCAGTTCTGTATACTGACTACAGGACAACAGAGTAGTGATGGTCTTGAGAGCTGACATCTGTACACAGGTAACCTGCACAGCTGCAGTCTCACACCACAACAGCTTCTCATTGGCTAGTCTGTCAACAAGTCAAATCATTCAATAATCAATGTTGCTTTCTTTCACCGGACATCTAAATACAATACACCTTGTATTTTACTCTCAATGCAGGAACGAGAACAACAAACAATATTTGAACACACTAAACTCACATTAATATAAAAATATATTTGCATTATTATTTTCTAACCAAAAAACTTCTAAGTGCTGAGAGTTATCACTTTCTTCTTTCTATCTTCTGAAATATTCTAATGTTTAGTGGATATAGTTTAAAAGTTTTGTGTTTCCTGTGTCAGTTTGGACTCTTCAGGTAAGCCTACTATCTTCACAAAAAGTTAATTTAAAATACTTGTAATCACACTCACCTGGCAGTGATGGACTGTTGTACAAACTCACGGTCCGTGTTGTGGCTCTGCTGTGGGCTGCTGTCAGTCTGTGCGGCGGAGTGGTCGGAGCTGCCTCTCCTCGTCACCTCTCCGATGATACTGACCACCATCTGGTGAGTGAGTGACTCTACTGACTGAGCGAACGTAGACGAACGTCGCTTGGTTTCCGGCCCGCTCGCTGCCAGTGCTTCCCACTCTACGGGGGTCAACTGCACCTCACTGAACTTCAACTGGAACAAGTAATCTTTAATAATAAAATTGTGATGAATTTCAGTTCATTTATTTTCACACGGATTTAGGCTGATGATATTTTTAAAATAATTTTTTAAGTGTCATTATTTATTTATAATATGTTGTATTGCAATATCTTTTTACTATTCTTAGCATTTGTTGAAAATGCTCAGAGAAACAAAAGAAATGAAACGGAGAATTAATACAAAGAAAAAGTGCTACATTTAAGATTTGAACGTGCCACAAGCCGCTAAATTACCAATTTTATACTAAACAGCACAATTTCAATACATGCTGCATAGACACTAATGTGACAAAAGTAGCTAGGACTTTGTGCTCTTTAATACATCCTTAGTTTTAATTAGATTGAACTGCAAGCTAGTTACATCTCCTGTAAGGCCAGTCAGCTTGATGATGCTGAGCCAGATGTCCGCAGACACAGGGCCGAGTTTGCTTGTAGAGAAGGGGAACGGCTCACACGCCTCCAGGCCACTTAGCAGTCCATCACTGTCACACAGACACACACACTTATGACAAGGAATAGGAGTTAACTTTGAAAATTGCTCATACACTTTACTAAAGAAATTATTGACAAAGAAGTCAACTCACAAAACTGTATAAGAGAAAAAAAAAATATTGTCTCTTTCATTCTTCCTACACTGATTCCGATATTAATTTCTTCTTCAAGTAGCCTAAAATGTGTAGTTTAGGTTTAAACACATTGGATCCACACTTGACAGGGCAATATTCATTATTGCCCTATTATTTCCTTATTGAAGTATTGTTTCATGATGTGAAATAGGTCCTCATAACCTAAATCTATCTAAAAAATGAACAGTTATTTTTCATTAAATGGACAGCCTGTCACTGTCATAAAAATTCACACACGTAATACCAATTTGCACGTTCACCAATTTTTAGATTTTTTCAAACAGAGAACTAATTTATAGAGTTGCCAAAATAAACTAAAAACATATACTCAAAACATATTACCTGATATTATTACATAGAGAAATTTATAATTTACATCTAACACATTTAAAGCATATATTACAGACCTATTTGAACATAACAACAAAAATATGGGTGTTTTAATATATTTTCTTCATTGAAATATTTTTAACTGACCATTTTCTGAGCCTAAAAAATAAAACAATCAATATGAAAGTATGGATCCCCTTGAGTAATAAAATAACAAATTTACATCCATAAACAGTTGTAAGTAGGGATGGACGGGTCCCGAAATTTCGGGAATTTTTCGGGAAAAAAATATTCCCGATTATCGGGACGGGATTACATTTGACTCGGGAATTTTTCGGGACGGGATTTGGTCCGATCGTCGGCGATTTTTCCGCTTCGCGAGTGCCAATAACGCCGTTATTGCGAGCGATAGGTCCGCGAACGCAGGAGACGAAGTCATGCCGACGATCGCGCCGTGACCGCGGAGTCCTACCGACGATCGCGCCGTGACCGCGAGTCATACCGACGATCGCGCCGTGACCGCGAGTCATACCGACGATAACCCCGTGACCGCGAGTCATACCGACGATAACCCCGTGACCGCGGAGCCATACCGACGATCGTGCCGTGACGGTGAGTCATACCGACGATCGCGCAGTGACCGCGAGTCATACCGACGACCGAGCCGTGATCGCGAGTCATACCGACGATCTTGCCGTGACCGCGAGTCATACCGACGATAACCCCGTGACCGCGGAGTCATACCGACGATCGCGCCATGACCGCGGAGTCCTACCGACGATCGCGCCGTGACCGCGAGTCATGACGACGATCGCGCCGTGACCGCGAGTCATGACGACGTTCGCGCCGTGACCGCGAGTCATGACAACGATCGCGCCGAGACCGCGAGTCATGACAACGATCGCGCCGTGACCGCGAGTCATGACGACGATCGCGACGTGACCGCGAGTCATGACGACGATCGCGCCATGACCGCGGAGTCATGCTGACGATCGAGCCGTGATCGCGAGTCATACCAACGATCATGCCGTGACCGCGAGTCATACCGACGATAACCCCGTGACCGCGGAGTCATACCGACGATAACCCCGTGACCGCGAGTCATACCAACGATCATGCCGTGACCGCGAGTCATACCGACGATAACCCCGTGACCGCGGAGTCATACCGACGATCGCGCTGTGACCGCGAGTCATACCGACGATAACCCCGTGACCGCGAGTCATACCGACGATAACCCCGTGACGCGGAGTCATACCGACGATCGCGCCGTGACCGCGAGTCGCGAGTCATGACGACGATCGCGCCGTGACTGTGAGTCATACAGACGATCACCCCGTGATCCGCGAGTTACAAGTTACTATAGGTACCTGTAAATTGTTACCAATTTTTTTGTTTTTATAGATCAGTGCCACAAATGGTAAAAATTGATTTCGTATGTCTTTTTGGTAACTGCAATACAGTACTTTCTTTTCATGCACAGAAAAAAATCCCGTCTCGTCCCGTCCCGAAAATCGGGAAGGAAATAAAAATCCCGTCCCGTCCCGTCCCGAACTAAAAATTCAATCCCGTCCATCCCTAGTTGTAAGCCTTTTTCGGCAGCACAAAAATCCCTAAATATAGTTGGAAAGATTAAAAAAAGGAGGTTTTGTTTTACTTGACAAACTTTAAGGAACGAAGAATATTCAACAGTAAAAATAAAACATATTAAGAAATGTTCCTGAAGGCAGACAACTAGCAGGAAGGGCTAAAAACTGCGGGACCACGCCATGAGGGATATGAGGAAGTTAGGCCTTATGCTGTGGATCGAACCAGCTGGTTATACCGACTTGGGTATAAGTTGGCACTTTGATAAGTACAAGGTACTATTTACAAAATAGTGACCTTTCAGTAAAAAAAAAATGAGTCACCTGATCTCTCCATCTCCGTCGTCCCACAACAGCTTGACTGAGGAGAGGCCTCTCTTGAGAGTTCCCAGGACTGAGGCCCGGCGGCCTGAGGCCTTGTCTATACACAGGCCACCCACGCGCAGGCCTCGGTCCAACCCTCCCACCACAGCCAAGGCCGGCCAAACCTACACAGAGACATTACAAATCAACATTGTATTGTTAAATAACTAAATTGTGTTTACTTGCAGAAGTTTTTGTGTTTTTGATCTTTGTGTCCCACCTTCACATCCTGATCCTACGATGCTAGAATCAATCCAGAACTGTGTTACAAATTAGGCTAGGCATTGAAGGTCCTGGGATTTTTACATAGTTCTAAAATTTTGAAAATGCCAACGGTGTGGATAAACAAAAATTGGCAGCCATTTAGTAATAGAATTAGAAACCCTCTTTCACTAGACCACCCCATGTTCATAACTAATCCCAACGACTGGTCTCTTTTGATACTACATCACTATTTTCCAGGGGATTTTTATGATGTAAAACTAAAGAGATCTCTGGGGTTTCAGACTAATACCATAGATAAAACCTAATACACTCACCTCTTTACACAGCTGTTCCAGGTCTGGTGAAGCAGCTTGGGTTGTGCAAGACTCATCTGACAGTTTGTCTTGACATTCTGAAACTAGAACAAATTTTACTAAATTATAAAATGTTGATGTTTTCAAACTATTTTCTTTAACATTGGTAAAGTTGGTGGTCTCTTTCGATCCATTTGTTCATACACAGATACCCCTGTACTATGTAGATTAGCAAGTGATAAGCAAAGCAAGGAATAAACCATTAGAGTGGTGATATTATTGTATAAATTTGTTATGCTACTGAGATTTTTCACTGACTATAGTGTTGGTTGATACTCATTAGCTTATTTGGCTTAAAATTTGTTGAATTTACTTAAACAAAATAATTGTTCTAGGTCTAATATAAACACTAGTTAATATATATATTTAAACATAATGATGCATTCATGTAAAATGTATATGTACGTTCTGAATAAATGATTGATTGATTTATTGATAGTTACCTGGTGGTTTGACAGATCGTTTCTCTGGAAGAAGGTCCTTCGCTTGGCTGAGACGCTCCATAAGACATTCGTTTACCTAAGCAATCAACAGACCATTTTATTTACTCTAATGAATTAATTCAATGAGCAAGTCAAGTCTGCAAGTAAACAGGACGCGACGTGATTAGACAAAAGTGAGTCTGCACTTCCACCTGATCACATAGTGTCCCGTTTAGCTGGGCAGCATTAGTTTTTGTTTGTTTATTGCCTTTTAAATGTGAAAATCTTCGATGTCTGCACTTTTGTCTTCAGCTAATTTATTACTCATGTTCATGACTGAGATATTCAAGCAACGGGCTACTGGGAATGGTAGATAGTAGCTCTACCTGGTTGGTCCAGGTGTCGGAGGCATGCAGATGTCTGATGAGGTGTATGTAGGCCTCCGCCATGATGACTGGTAGAGGAGCACATTGAGGATCTCCTGGCAACAGGTCTCTAGGAGAGTCTCTCACTTGCATGTCTGTCAGCTTCACCTGGAGTAAACAGATTACATTCATAGAGGGTATCAATCAGACTGTATTGAGAACCCACATCTTTTCCTCAGACTTTTAACGCTTATCTCACAATCGAAAGGGTTGTGAAGAATCTTTTTACTAATTTACTACACAGGTTTGAGGTTTGTACTGTGGACAGAGCAGCCATTGGTTATATTTCTGTTAAAGTTTCTAGCCTTCTTCAAATCCTCACCACCACTTGCACACATTTTTTAAGTTACAAACTTTTTCATACACATTTGTCAAGTAGCGATGGATTTCAAAAGGAAAACACATTAAACCCATTAAATAAATATCATCCCCTCCCCCGCTATTGAATATTATCATTTAACAATTCATGTTAAAAGTCACTTAGTTGATTCTATGCAAGATCAGTTCTTGATCCAGATGCCACTTGTCATTGGGCTATCAATTAATTATGCTATTTGGCAAATGGTCAACATTATAGTAACAAGACTAGGGCTAGGACTTTTCCTTAAAAAAAACGTATGTAATGCCAATGTTGTGGATACAATTTTAAATTATGATTGATATGAGCTTGTTTTTTTCTTCCATTGTTAACATCTACTGCTAAAAGACTCAGTATCATAAAGACTATAGAGGTAGTGGCTAGAATAGTGGTGTGGAAAGTAAAGAACACAGCACTGCTGTAAGAAATAGCTCGTTCTGTCACGAGATGCATATTTCAGAGACCTCAATTTGTAAAATCTTTGTACAGTGGAGAAAATTGTACTGACTTTCTCCCCTGGGTTGGTGCTGTAGAACACCACGCAAGGGTAGAGTGGTGTGGTCGCCACAATGTCCTGGAATGCCAGGATTGGCTCTTCTCCATTCTTGCCGAAGCTGAGTGTCCGAGCGTCCAAATCCAGCACTACAGTGATGTAGTCTCCTTGTGTGAAGCTAGGCAGCGTGAGGCTGTGTTCTCCCCCGTGGTACAGGTTACCACTACAAAACAAGAGTTTAACATGTGGTTCAAACGGATGCTGTAAATATAATAATTTCTCATGTTAACACACAATGGTGCTAAAACAAAACAAAACGGAGCAAGCAGCATAGGAAAATCGTCGCAATAAAATATGAAATAGTCTATTAGCTAAAGAGTGAACGGCTAATCTTGTACAATGGTTCATCCTTGTCCAAAAACATTTTTACTTTATATATCACGTTTATACAAATAAATGTTGAAAGTGCTTTAGTACTCAAGTCAAAAACCAATAAGTTGAAAATCCTTTTCATACCTTAATTAATTTTTTAACAACATGGTGTTTGACTTGAAAAGGGACCTTGGGGTTTGAATCAGTGGTTATTGAACAGAAGTAACTGTGCCACCTGACAGTAGTGCAGGTATTATATCTTTTACTTGTCTTCAAAGTATGACACCCAGTCTGAGCCATAATCTATTAATTGTCTGGATAGCCGAGTGCTTATAGTGATCATCTTCAAATCTGAAGGTTGCTGGTTTGATTCCAAGCGAGACCGTTTCCAGACCCAGATGCCATTTGTCATTGAACTATGAATTAATGATGATATCTAACAAAAAGTTCATTGTGGATGTAGCTTCCGGATTGCCAACTAATATTAAAAAGGTTTACATACTAACAAAAAGGTCGACGTTAGGTGGTACTACCTAATGCTACGTATGTATGTGGTACGTATGTAATGTTACTGGCGTAGATACACACAAAATAAAATAAATCTGGTGGATTCTTTAACCTTTTGGGCGTTTGTATTGTCAACGGATCAAAAAGGGAACTATATTGTCTCACAGTAAGAAACTTATTTGTCTAGGATATGGCAGATTCACTGTTCTAACTTGTTCCTAAGAATTCCTCCTTTCTTGTGACATTACAATGGTTCAGTAAGAAAAGCAGTGCTGTGCTAACCCCTAATACAACTGCACAGAATCACAACATACACTCTACTGTGTGTTTAGCAATCAACTCACCTGTATGCCCTATACAGCCACATGTCTGAAGTGGTGCGATGTCCGTAATCTTTGATAGGCCACCTGCTGACTCCGATACAGGTCCCTTCATTACCCTTGTGTTCTTTTACTATCAGTAGCTTCCATTGATAACAGCCTGATGGCAAAAAAGGTTTGAATACTGACCTCTGCAAATAGGTATTACTTTAACCATACAACAAGCAACCTAAACCTTACTGGGCATTCAAAGTAAAATATGTTTTAGCATCAAGCTTTAAGGCTTGAACTACTAAATGAATATTGCACTAGTAGGGGAAAAAAGGTTTTATAATGGAAAAAATGTTGACAGTTTAAGCCATTGTCATTTGTGTTATCTTATGCTTTTTGTTAAAACTAGGCAGTCAACTAGGATCATAGCGTAGTGTTAAGCATCTTGGGCACTCAATAAGAAATAATGTGAGACATTGCTGGTTCAACACGAGCTGCCTGCATTATGTTATCTACTGCAGTCACCACTAGCTTGCTCATGTGACGTATACAGTAACAATACTTTACTGACTTAAGTTAACTGCACAGATCAATAGTCTACAGTCACGGACGGGTGGTTGAGGCTTTGTGAAAGCAAGAGAAAAATATGACAATATATCTTGATTATTCTTAAACCATATGGTACTTAAAACATACAATCAATTGTGTTGTAATGGTAGTAAAATTTACCATTTACCATCACGATGGAAAATGTCACCAATAAACCTTGGAACAACATTAACTCACCATCACCAACAATGAACTTCAAACAAAGAAGTAAAATTTGATGAATTTTTTTTTATTAACATGATTTCATTGGGATTTGAATCATTAACTGAGAATATTTTTTTTTAACAAAGTCATATTAGCAAGATTTATAAATTTGATTTAGAGATAAAAACAGTGAGACAATTATTCAGCCCTCAAGTCAGAGGTCAAGGGCCAAATTCAATAGCAGTAAGGACGGCTACATGAGTTATGTGATATTTCACTCAGTGCTGCTCTATCCCCTCCACCCCAAGGAGGGGGGACGGTGCGCATGCGCACTAAAGAGCGTAAGGCCAACAAAACCACGGGGACCTGTCTCTTTGATCAGTTCTCGGCCACACATCACGCTCACTGAATTTTTCTCTCACTCTGGGTAATTAATTACATAATAGTCTAGGACTTGTAAAAATTTATCAGTTGAGAGTTATAGGTGAGAGAGTTATAATATATGAATATTATAATGGGAGATGCAAATGCGAAAATAGGAAAAGAAGCTACATGGAGAGAAGTCGTAGGGAAGGAGAGCCTACATGATATAACAAGTAGTAATGGAGTAAGATTATGCAGCTTTGCAACTGCAAAAGACCTCAGAATTATGAGAACGCCCTTTCAAAGGAAGAATATACATAAAGAGACTTAGATGTCATGGAGACTGGGATTTGATTGATTCGATTTGACTATGATGATGAATTGATTTGATCCTTGAATTGATCATTATGATTTGATTCTGAATGATCACTGATCATTGTGATTGTGAATGAACACTGATCATTGTGATTGTGAATGATCAACTAAATGTAAAAAGAAAATAGTAGTGGTACAAGGAGAGTTCTTAATTTGACACTTCCTATTTTAAAAACTTAGATTTTTAAGCTCTGGAACAAAAACCCAGTTCGAGTTTCCATCCAGGCAACCTCTTTAAGACATTACCTTTGCTTACAGATCTCTCTTGAGCAAAAACATGTCACAATGTTTCAAAACTGTAACCAATACATATCCACTTTATAATTTAACTATATCAGAATAATATTTTTTATCTTGAAATAATCAAGATTGTTAGCGGAAAACACAGACTCCTACCAGAGTAAATAGCAGTTGTTCCAAGGCTGTAGCCCCTACCACCAGGTGTGTGGATCAATGTATGGCCTGACTCTATACAGCAACACAATGTCTTCTCTGGGTCAAAGCCAGTGTCCAAGATGGCTGTGTTGTCTTCCTCCACTTCACACTCAATCACGGTCTCACCTGGAAACAGACGGTGTATCAGTTATAGAGAGTATATGCTAAAAAACATCTAGACTGACAGTCGTGCTAACAAAAAGATATAAATAATATTTTATGCCTATAATTTAAGTTTCCCCTTTTTCTTTTAGGTTGATTCGAGTGTATTGCTAGCCAAGCAATGATTATTAGTTCTAGCACCTTAGACTTGAATTTGTACTTGACTAAATAAAGAAGTTTTGAATTGACTTGGCCATTGGTGCTAGAGGGACTGATTTGATTCCAAACATAAACTACAAAAGTTTAGGGGTTTAAACAGCTTTCTCAAAAAAACATTTCAGTTTCTTTCATAAGAAATGCCACTGGCGTGGACAATAACAAAAACTGGAATATGCAGTGACATATTTTCAGCTTAGTATGTGCAAGCAAATGACTGAAAAATACAATGAGGTATTCTTAAGCTTATGTTTTACAAGCAAATGTTGTAATTTGTGTGGCTATACTCAATCTATCTGTTTTACCTCATGGATTGATTATCTACTGGGAAAAAGACTACTTTCTCTATCATCAATACTAGACTTTTTTTGGCACATACTAGTTTCAAATCTACAGACCCATTAAAACAAACCAGTTTTAAAAAGAAGTTTAAAAAGTTTGTGGCTTAAAAATCTTACAAACAATATATGTATATTTAACTTAGGATTGGGCAGGGTTGTGTACCAAGCATGGAGCTGGTGACTCGCTCCAGCTGTTTGTCTAGCTCAGCCTCCCGGATCAACGCTTGCTTCTCAGCCACAGCCTGAGGGATCTCCCACATGTTAGCTCCTAGATGGCAGAACAGCTCACGGACAATCTGTGCAAACACATGTGCATTACACAGATAGTTTGGTCAATGAACGTTCTATAGTTAAATCAAGTGACACAAATATGTTGGCAATGACGAATGGACAGGTGGGCCAATAGAAATGCTAAAACCTTTAAATTTCAGAACGACATGCAGAGTTGTGTATAATCTTGTACAGGGATTCATTAGTGGGTTTTTAAAGAAAGCCGTAGTAACAGAAGGAAATGTACAGACTAATATGATGATTCAGGAAACCAATTGATGCAATGGTAGCAGATAAAATAACCCTTTTCAGAACAGAACTAAGGAAATCAGTTTTATAACTGCCTACTAGGAATTTTGAGCAAATTAAAATAAGATTGGATTATAATTTCAACATCTCTTCTCCTACAGGAGATATGGATTTAAGAGTAAATAGCCCGCTTTATGGTATTTCATGGTTCAAAAAGGCTGTCAAAAAAGTTGCGTTTGATTGCAAAAAAATATTGGAAAATAATTCAAATAAAGTTACAGCAATCTGTTAAGCTTTTTCAATTAGTCTGTGTAATGAAAGTATGTACATTTTGAATGATAATGAGTTTGTATGATATACAACCAATGTATATTGACAGTAGAAGTTTAAATTTTACCTTTAAAAAATAATAGTTTGCAATAAATTTTACATGTAAAATACTGCAACAAAGTAGGTTAAATTTATCCTCAACGCTGTGAGCCTGTAGCAATATTTGTTGTATTTTAATCACCCTACCCGTACCTGTTGACGAAACTCAGAATCCATGTGTCGCCGAGGCAGTACGGAGGTAAGCAGTTGCAGAGCTAGCAGGCGGGGGGCTAGAGCCTCCACGCGGGGCATGTGAGCGGGGCCTTCCCCCACCACCTCCAACAGTGAGTGTGTCCACGTGTATGACGCCAGCAGCCACGATACCTACAGGTTTATATAAGGGACGTATACATATGTTAGTCTAATTAATTATTTTAATGTAATATTTTAAGCAGTAGAAAGAAGAAATCATATAGAACACACCTTCTTAACTGACCCTAGGCCCAGGTTTTTTAGGCCAAGGTCTGGATCCAAAAGTCTTTTACAAAAATCAAATTTGTAAACGTGTAAAATACTGCAGAAATAAGCATATAATCAATAATGAATTATGTGAATACAAATCTTAGTTCCATAGTTATTTTTCTGCTTTCCATTTTATTTCGTGAGTTTCACTTCAGAATGGAACTTTTTAGATTCCTAGGAAAGGTCAGTTAAACCATCAGTCTATAAACCAACCTCTGCGGGGCAGAGGCAGTAAACTTGAGTGGGGGTTGATCCAGAGTCAGTTAAAATAGTGAATTTACTGTAATTAAAGGAAATCCTTTATTACTTCTAAAACTAACTTAAAAATATACATTAAAATAAATTGAAATCAATATTGAGAAAACGCACAAAGCAAATAGAATTTTTTTTATGAAGTACCCATACGTCATAATGTAGTACAAAAGATTATGAGAATGAAAGTTGATTGCTCATCAAATATGACAGACTTAATACCTTTGAGTTGCTACTGAGACACTGCAGGATGAATGACAGCAAATCTCCCAGACTGTGTTCAATCCATCGTACTTCACTGCCTGACAGACACAACCTGTAGAAAATGAAATGAATCAACGAGGTAATGTACACTGTACTCTACAAATCCAGCAGATCCTCAATAATTAAAACTTGTTGGTTTATTAAACTTGATGATAGACTTTCACGGTCATTGTACACTGCTGAATGTTGGTCTTCTGGAGGTGACCTCATTGTTGAACTGGCGAATATACTGGATATTGGCTGAAGTTTCGAATGCGTTGCAGCGATCCATCTGCAAGGTCAGCAAATATTTTGTCAGTTCAACAACGTGGTCGTCTTCAGAAGAGAGAGACTCAAAATATTAATTTTTTAAATAAATAATCAAAGCTTTCATTATACAACTAATTACCATACTATAGCAGAGGCTTACGTGGTGTCTTCCGCTTTAGTTGGCTGTGTCAAGGACAGAAGGGAGTCCAGATGAGAATGGAGAACTTGCATCACACTTTCTAAAACTGTCTCTTCTAGTTGCTCCGAATATAAACTGTGAGAAACAAGGAAACATGTTACAAATAGTTTTTCCTTGAAGTTGGGATTACACCCGTCAGATCAATTACAATAAGACTCAACAAGCTCAAACTGTAGAACATGTGTGAAAACCACTTTTAACAGACCATTTTTTATTTTTTATTTTTTTTTTGGAAAGACGAAACTTAGTTGTATGGAGGTAAAAGAGATTGGTATCCACAAACTTTACAGCTGTGTTGCAGGAGTGAAGAAAAGAGGTTCTTTGATAGACTTTTTGAATGGCATTGGTGTGGTAAAGTTATGCTCAAACCAATCTTTCTAACCTAAACTGTCCATCACTAAAGCCATCACCAAGGCTAGTCTATTGCAGTATAATGGAATGAAGCAGTAAGTAATGCTATGGTATAAATTACACGAACAAGCCAGTAGAGACAACAGTATGGTGTATGCAGCTGCTCTTGAACTAACATTGTTTGGCTATCACCGACCAATCCGAGACATTACTACTACGCTACATGTATTTTGGTGACATTGTCTCAAATTATTGTAAATTTTCTTAAAAGGGATGGAATTAAGTTTCCAACACTATACATTAAATAATATTGAAACATAACAACTAACTTTGAAATTTTAAACTCACACACACGAGACGGCCAATATGTGGAGAAGTTGGGTGAAAACCTGGACCAGTGTGGACTCTTTGTGTGATCTATGCAGAATACAGTCCTGTATGACGGACAGTAGGCCACAGGACACAGCATGGGAGATGTCTTGAGGACTGTACTTCACACTGAGCGTGAACACTGTCAACATCTGTAGCTGCTCCTGGTTATCTGTAACACCATCATGTGACCTATAAATATTTGGCTCAGCTGGATATGTTCATTTCAATCTTGCAGTAAAGTAGATTGTGGCACAACATGTAACTGCTTCGAGTGGTTAGTTGTTTGAGATTCCATCAAACACTCAACACATGGGCCACTGAAACATGGTCTGTAGGAATTGCGGCAGATCAAAGGAAACAGCCGATCACCTGATCTTTGACTGCTAACAGCTCTCTGATAGTCGAGGTGCTGAGGGGGATTGAGCATGCATAAAAGTGTAACGAAATTTGGATCTTTTGATCCAATTTGTTATGTAATTTTTATGAATTTTCTAAAAAAAAAAAAAAACTTACATATCTCTGAAAAGAAAATGATTACAGAATAATAATGTGCCTAGTTTAGCTTGAAAATTTAGTAGAATACACTTACAAACACAAAGCTCAAGTCCAAACACCAGTCCTTTCTCTTACCAGAAGAAATCATCAATGGACTCTTTCGCCATCCAGCTCAATTTACATACATAGTACAAAGGAGTTTTTCCTGTTACTGCCTTGTTGTAATTGGCACTTACAGTGGTCCAGCCTGGTGAAGCGATGTCGCAGAGAGGCCACCAGTATTGAGTATATACGGTGAGCCACTTCAGTGATATGTGTCTGAGATGTCGTTGGAGCTGTACGTACATTGTCCAGGTAATGACTCAGCTGATTGACTAACACTTCTTCACATAGTCCAAAACAACCACAGATCAGCTGTTCATACAACTGTAACATGATATAGAAATCACTAATTTAATAAAAATATTAGGGGTCTGCGGTGCAGACAATTTAAGGTCAGCATGGTATACAATGGTTGTACCATGGTTCTTGGTACAAAATCAGTACAGTACTGCTACAATATTTCAGTGGCTAACAGAATTATTGCCGTTTTTTACAATACAATATTCTTTATTGTGCATTCATCAAGAATTTACAAATACTGTAAATACAATAGTAAATTGAACATGTTAATTTATAAAATGTTCATAAAATTCCTTTAATGAGTAGAACGGTGTTGCGATCAGCCACTTTTTTAACTCCTGGTGTAGTTTGTTGGCAGTCAGGTCTCTCAGGTAGTCTGGTAGATGGTTTCTTCTCAGGATTGTATTCAAATCGTTACAATTGAGGTTCTATTATACAATGTAAACACTGTACTGTTAAGTATTGTAGCATACTACTTTAATTGTGTTTTAATGAGATCTAATCCCGACCTATATTGACCGATGCTGGTTCTGAACCTCGACTTAACGAAATTCCTGAAAACCTAACCTCTAATATAACGAACCTCATTTTAACGAAATCCTTGATATAACAAATATTCAGTTCGGTCCCTTCAGATTCGCTATACCGAGGTTGGACTGTAATTGCAAATGTTCTACAATTTCTACAATAATCCTGTTCCGATTATGAAGTAATAGCGAGTTATTAAAAGTATTATAGCAAGAAGTTTATATCTGAACTTAATACACCTTTATTCCATGTTAAGAGAATAACAGATGGGATTATGACAAATGAGACACTCCTTCCTGAAGAGAATGTTTGATCTATGCTGAAGACTGTGAAATTATCCGAGTAAAATGCGAACCGATGGAGGTAATTAGGCTAGAACCATACAATAACGACCATTTCGGGGCACCACAGATCCCTAAAAATAGACATACTACATTATCTACCATCATAGATTAAACATACTCTTAGTAGATTTGTCATCCTCATGGATCAACTGAAGACAATTTTATTGTTAGTTCTGTTCGGTGCTACTAGGATCGCGTTTACAGTTTCTTTCTTGTTATTTCAGTTTTTTAAAGCCTTGTTTAACCAAATTAAATAATCTAATCATAAACAATAACTTGTCCCCTAGTTATATAAAAAACAGTAAAAACAAAAATGAGTACTTACACAACTTAAAAGAACTGGTTTTTCTTCCTTAATCTTTTTTTCATCAGCCTCACTTTCTTTTAACTCCTCCTTATTAAATGAGTCTTCGAGAGTTTTCATCAGTTCTAAAATCTGATGAAGGGCCAAAAGCCTCATCTAAAAATAAAAAAAAACCATGTAGGCCCTACTTAGTAATATATATATGTTTAATAATGTACCAACAGTATTCCTATGATTGCTTTGATATTGTTTTAGCAAATTTCCTCTATAGGGAAGAAGCTATTATCTTAGGTGACACAGTACTACCTAGACTCTGGTCCGTTTACTTTTTTGTTTTGATCATCCAGGAGGACATATTGTAGCATTCCTTCAATTTTTTATTTTTATACATGTGTGAATGTGATAGATCGAGCAAATGTAGTCTGATTGAACCAGCAAGATTGAATCATGGGATCAGTGTGTTATAGAACATTAAATTTTGCAAAAATTGGTAATTTAAATATTTAACCTTAAAACAAAAAAGTGTTCATATTTTTACAGTTATTGTTTAGATCTATATAAAAACATTTAGTATATTAAACAATTGCTTTATGACATTTTGTTACTGAAATATTCAATTGCTTACTTAATTTAATACATTACAGTGTATGAGGGATTTAATTGTTGTAGTTTTATAAAATATGGAAATAGTTTAATAACATTTGGATAATTTAGTTATTTTGTAATAAACTATCAACATTTCACTAAACCAAAACTAATTATTTTCTCTGTAGCTGCAAACCTAAGAAACCTACTCACAATCCATAATAATATTATTTCTTTTTCTTTTTGGTTAAATCAAAAATAAACCTGACATGTTTCTAAGGAAATATTTGAGTGTAAAAATGCACTCGGGTGTATGGAACCTTGTTTAGTCTCCAGGTTTGTAGCGGCAATAGTATATTTGTTTATACCTCTGCCCTCATTCGTTGTTGATCCATGGCTGTATACAACAAGACTGGTGACGTCGCAACACCCTTACTGTTGTCTGCTGACTCCTTTCCGTCTGAGGTGACAAACTCAACAGCGTACAAACCCAACTGCCGCAACTCAGTCATGGCTGCTTTCCTAAAGCAAGACGCCAACACATTAGAGTGCATATTTCAAGACAAAGATGATTGAAGAATGAATGAGATGAAAGCTTTGTTTTGTTACTGATTGAGATTAGCTGTTCTTTAGCCACGGTTAACAGTCCCAATGATAAATGATAAAAATAACAGACAACTAATCGGTTACATCTTTTAACCTATGTACCTAAATCGAACGGTCGGTCGGTTACTTTATGTGGACGGCAAATATTCATTTCTGGTTATTTATTGTTGTTGTTATATAGACTTGTTAATTTTAATTGTTGTTAAACTTCACACAATTAATTAATAATTAATTTAATTTAATTTAATTAATTGTAATTGTTGTTCACTTGTTGTTTTTATTTGTTGATCAATAGTATACTCTGTTCATAAAATCAAAATGTCATAAAATGGCAATGTCACAGTACTGTATATTACGACGTCAATAACCTCTATGGTTAGGCAATGTCACAGTATAGTGTATATTGTGTCATCAATAACCTTTATGGTTATGCAATGTCACAGTGTATGCCTTAGAAGTTAAGGAAAGGCCAATTGGCTGATTAGGATTATTATGTACAAGGATAGGGATCAGCTAGCTTGCCTGGTAGAGTCCAGATTAGTCTAGGTACACACATAAAACACATAACACAACACAGAAAACTTAATATTTCGTCCCAGTTGGGGACTTCACCATAAGGGAGAAGAAAGAAGACTGGCAGTTAAAGTTCAATTCAAACTCAAACTTTATCTGGACTCTGTCTACCAGGTAAGGTAGCTGATCCCTATCCTTGTACACAGTATATGCCTTATAACTCTATTCGAACAACAACAACAATTTTATTCTCGAATCCGAATCTTTTCTTAAAATTCGGTGGATTCGAGATTCGAGATTCGGAAACGACACATCCCTACTATCCACTCTTTATAACAATAATAGTGAATTATTAATGAAGATTACAGAATATGAAAAAAACATTCTCAACCCCAAAGACATAAGTCCTGTCCTGAATGGCTTGCATCCTTTTTGTCCAAAACAAAAAAACATTAAATAGATGTCTTCATTGAATACTATTCAAAACCAAATACAAAACCAATAATTAGCATAAATTGTTTATTTAACGTGACAGCCACCATACCATTTCAACTAGTGTTTAATATGAATTACCGTATAGAGTTGTATGAATAGGAATGACAATAGCCACCAAAATGTAATTTACCCGTGAGTTTCCAACCAAGCTGTGTCAGGAGGTCCCTCCAGTGTTAGCAACAAGAGGCAGTGTTCTATGATACTACGACACTGAGAAGTCACATCTACTTCTAGTAGACATCGCTCCTCTGTATCCCCCTCCATACCTGGACAGAATACAAAAAATCGTCAGTTTGTACTGTTCTCTATGACAACTGTAAGTTCCCTTTGATAATTCTATATTTACTATGACTATTCTGTATGTAACTCACTGTCGTTCATGGAGCTGTTGGCGTCAAACAGATTGTTGTCTGCATCAAGAGTTCTGACACTGTTGCCAGAGATCACTTTCTGTCGAAGCTGCTGCACAGTCATGTACACCACTTGTAGAACGTCCTCGCGCACCTTACACCTGCAACATTTCTCATAAAAGTCTAAACCACCTCAACTGCTTTGCTTGTTTTTGTGACAAACACAGGATATGACATTTTATTTGCTAACTATATTTTTTGTTAAGTAAAAACTTGAATACCTACATGAGCAAAATTTCACTTACGAGTTGTACAGATCAATTCCACAGTGTTTAGCAACTGTGAGAAGAAAGAAGTAGCAGGTCATTTCAAGGCGATGTTCGTCCTCAATGGGCATCCAGTCGTTGAGAGCTGCAAACTCTCGGAGGCCTGAGAAGAGGAAACCTCCTGCCACCTCGGTTGGTGGAGCCTGCCCACGGCCTTCTGTAGTGGCAAAACAGGACATTTAATTAAATGAGGGAATCATGGCTCTTTAAAATCATAATATTATAATGTTAGGTGATGTAAACAAAATAAACAATAGAAAACAAAATACCCCCGCCACAGCAAACCTGCAGACTATGCGACTTTCCATTTACCTGGCTTGATTTCTACTACAACGTTCCCTAAAAATTGTCAGATTTATTTCCTATTTAAATAACATTAATTTTAATGAGTACCTAGGTTTGCTGCAAGGAAGGTACTGAGGTGTGTTTTTTATTGAAATGTTAGCTTAGTATAAAATTAACAAAATTGCCGAATTTGATTATAATTTATCCATAAAAAAGCAAACAACAGTTTATTTACTGTCCATAAAAATAATATGGGAATTTTAAATTTTAAAGTTTTTTTAATTATCTCCGTAACCGTTAGGCATACAATAACGCTTCAATATACAAAATTATTTATTTTTGAAAGCTCTACAAAGAGCCTGGAAAGAAATGGTGAAATTTTATTTTTTAAGGGTAAAAAATGGGGAAAACCAATTTTTACCCCATAAAACCCCCCATTATCCCTCTTTCCCGTAGTCCGATCATGCTGGTTCGCGAACTCTTTTGAATAAACGTAGGTTTACACGTTTCTACCAAATTTCATCAAAACCAGATAATTTTTGCTCGAGTTATCACGCTAACAGACACACATATATATTATATATATTAAATATACATATATATGAATTTGAACGGAGGACGTTTTTGGCCTCTGGGGACATCAAAATGAAAAAGAAAATCGGTCACGGGTCCAAGTCTTAACATGAGTAGTACGGTAATAGCTTATAACCTATATGGCAAATTCGCTAAAGAGAATAAAATGTGTCTTAGCCCTAGGTTATGCAAAATGCTATTCATGACTATATTACTTGTAGAATATTCTAATGAATGTAAAACATTTTAAGAGTGAATTTTGTTTTGTATTACTTTTGCAAACTAGGACTCACTGGAAATAGTAGCATTTATGCAAGCCTCTACTACACTGCGTAGATCAGCAGGCAGTTTCTTGAATACCTCCACGTCCATTGTCTCTTCTTTGTTGAGCAAACTGAGGGACAATTTCTTCAATGCTGGCGCTGAAAATAGAGGATCTATTAAAGTTATTAAAACATGAAGTAAAATTATTAGCCTACAAGATCAAACCTACCATTGTTAGTAAAATATAAACACTACTGTTAGTTTATATAGTAATTTAAAATTAAATTGGACAATGTGGATTTTTTGTTGAGAGGTAAATGTATCTCACAGCTAATCAAAATATTTATAACTGAAATAGCACACTCACGGCATGAAGATATGATCTTTAATATTCTAACATTATGTTAGTTGTAACAATCAAGTTGTATCTCTTTTGTAAATGAAGAATAGAGATACAAAGACAAGGATATATAATTCCTATTGGGTGTGTTGTTGGGACTGAAGTCTTATACTAATTATTTATATTACAGTGAGAAAATGATGTCAGGCTGAAATTCCCATATCTCTACGTACCCAAATCAGATTGTAGGCCTTGTGTCAAACCATGGCAGAATAGCGGACAGTTGAGCCAGTAGGCTGTCTCTCTCTCCTCGAAGGAGAGGGGAGGGCCAACCAGCAGTCCATTGAGACAACGGCCAGCCAAAAGACTACAGGCTCTCTCTAGGTCAACCAGCCACAACCAGCAGTCTGGGCTCATGTCATTGGTGGGTGTGTTGGCCTCTGAAACATGCAGCTTGTAAAATCACTCAACTACCAACCCAAATATCAAGTAACAAAAAGTGAAAAAAAACAACTTTGTGATGAGTCAATCGGTTGGAAACACAAGGGACTAGAGGTCGTGCGTTTCCTGGTGAAGCCTGGGGGTAGGGTTGAAGCCCATACAAAACCGGTTTAGAGTCACTCTAACGACCCACCCTCCAGGCTTCACCAGGAAACGCACGAACTCTATGAATCTAAGGCAGCAGTCTCAAGAGTTTGTGTTCTGATTCCGTTTATAGTATTTATTTTATTAATTAGTACAGTTCACTCTTGTACTGTTTGGCTGACCCATAATCGGTTTGCTTTAATCAATTTATTCACAGGCTTATTGTCTATGTGGACCAGAGCTGATGTTTTATAATAATTGTAGTAACTTTTTCCAAACTTCAAAATAGTAACACTTTTTTATATTAACTTAGGCTTATACGATCATGTGCTAATCATAATTTTCCCCCACTATTTTGATGTTCAAAATCAATGCACTCATGTACGTACCAGAAGAGCTGTTGAGAGGAGTTGGAAGGCAGGCGTTGAGTCGGTCCATGTGTCTAACAGTAATTAGCAGCTGTTGAAACAGTGGCTGAACATTGCTGACTGGCAGCAGCAACAGGCAGTGGACTAAATGGAACAGCATAGCACCTGCAGGGGAATCATATACTGCACCTGGAACAACAAATATAATTTAATCACTTATAATTTTTATTGGCCTCAAGAAGAGGAACAGCTAAAACACAAAGTCATCTTTCCTTAAAACACCTTTTCTCTCCGTAAGGTAACCTACATCTACTTATGGTTGGAAGTTACTGCTCGATATCTCAGACGAAACCCTAATGGTGATTTGCAGAATCTTTATTGATGTGGGTGGAAGTTGTATACTGTATCAACTAGACCAGCACGCCATTTCAATACTAAATTCATTTCATAATTTGTTGCCGTCCTAGTCAACTGGACTATTATCTGGTGTAAAAATCCTTTTTGACATCCAATCCGAAGGACCTTATGTTTACTATTATTTTTATTTTAACTAATTATGTTATTTAGTAATAATTAAAACCTCTTTGACTCTACATTATAACCCAAATTATGTTTTCAGTATACTGACCGTGTATCTTATAACAGGCATCGGGGAAGGCTTTGAGCAGTAAAGTGGTCCGAGCGTAGATATCACTAGCGAGTGGCAACAGCACCAGCAGATGTCTCTGTATCAGACCCATGCTCTGGGACTCCTGCAAAGCAGAGGAAGGAATAAACTGATAAATCATTATTTGGGATGTTCCACTGCCATTATAATAATATAATATAATATAATATAATATAACATAATATTGGACTCCTCAAATGGCATCTAACACAATTGATTTCAGTAGTTTTTTTATAAAAAAAAACCAACACAACATTTCATTTGTGGGTTTAAGGCAATGGAATAGAACGATAAAATGTTGCAATAAAGCGGTTGGCGAAGATTGACAAATTTGTATGTGAGTTAATGAGTTTACAATAAATATGGGAGACATGAGAAAGAAAAAAGTATTAAAACAAATGCTAAGAAATTTATATTGCTTGAAGAGCGGTTTAAGGGTTGGACGTGTTAACATCACTCCTTTTCAAGTATGATGACTCTATTTATATTTTTGCCAAGATTATCCTAACTTAATCCTGCAAGCAACTTTAACAACCAGACCCTCAACATACTAGAATTACACAAAAATAAGTAAAGCACGTGGGAATCTTACTAATATTATAAAGGTGAAAGTTTGTGTGTTTGTTTATTTGTTTGTTTGTTTGTTTGAAGTAGGGATGGTCAAGTCTCGAAATTTCGGGAAATTTTCGGGAAATTTTAAATCTCGTTACACGAGACGAGATTTCTTTTTGGCCAAGATTTTTATCAAGACAAGAATTTAAAAAAAAAAAAAAAAAAAAAAAAAAATTTAAACGCCTGCAGAAAGTCAATGCAATACCCGCAATACAGGAGCGTGTTGTAGTTGCGTTTCCTTTGCGAAGGCGTTCTTATTTAATTAATTCTTTAAATGTAAATATTACTTTAATTATTTTAATAATATTACTTTAATAACATTTGAGAAGTTTTGTTAAATGTAAGCAGTGTGAGGAATGTTTATTACTATAAAAAGTCAAAACAAGTAACTATTTTATAAAAATTAATATTGCTTTTATTTTATGATTTATTTTATTTTAGGATAAGTTGAACTCTATCCTAACTGATATCACTATGTTTCCTAATCGTAGGCATTTTTAATAAGTTAGGCGTGATTAATAAAAAAATGTTATGCTGATGTTTTTTAATAAAAGATTGTAAATATTCTTGCCTATTATCATTATTTTTGTACTAGCAACAGAGCCCGTTGTAGTTAAATACAACGGTCCCTAGAAAGTACAGTAGTACATAATATATGTCCTTGTAAGTACCTGAACATTTTTTAAAGAATGAAATTGTTTAGAAAATAAACTGATGTTCTAAGATCGTTGTGCCTTCACCAACCGTTACAAAATAATCCAATTTCTCAGCATATATTTTGAATTGGCAGTCAAAAACTCTTGCTGCAGCTTCGATTTCGACATTACCGGCGTATTCCCCATCTTTGGTCATCAAATATCTGTATTCCGTCACGTTTTTTACTTCTTGTCTATATGTCTTATCCCCTAAAATAAAAGAACAATAGTAGTCCCACTTGACGACTTCATCAACTACTGTGGATCGTATATCACTGTATCTGGATTGAGATTTATGGCATAAAAATGAGACACTTCAAAAGAAACATTTTCTATCACCAACCATGTAGTGAAGAGTAAAGTTATTCAGTTTTCAACTAATTTAAAATATTGAGTCTATAACGAACAGTTCAAAATAACGAATATTAAATACTATTTTAAACTGTGAATTATAAATTAAATTTGAATAATTTATAATTGACAGTTTAAAATAATAATTTTTGGTTATGAAATCCATACATCACTTAACTCACCAATACTTAAATGGTACAGATTAAAAACATTACTTTAGAAACACACACTTTACGGACCTCACTTTAACCACCAATTCAAATAGTAAACAACTAAATGTAAACAAAGAAAAATCAAGGAAATAACAATAAAAAAATCAGCTGTTAAACTATAGGTTGTGTTCCATATGATGCATACTGGCTAACCCATTATTACTACCATAATTTTTTTTAGATTATTCATACCAGCAAACGTATTACTACCATAAATAAATAAAACTCAAACTTTACTAATTATTTGGAAATCTACACAGATTTTATTGACCTATTAATTAATAAAATCGGTCCAGTAGAACTGTAGATTTAGTTGTAGAAAGTTAACAAAAATCTCTCCAATTCAATATTTTCTCACCACAATAAATTAGGAGGTTGCTAAGCTTTTTTGCAAATAACTCTTAAACGGTGAGGAAATCGACCAAAGTGGAAGGTGATATTCTGAAAGAGAATAAAATTTGCTACAAAGTACTCTTAGACGTTTTTTGAAAATATTCAAAAAAGGCAACCTAAAGTTAACTACAAATAGAAATTTTAAAATATAAACTATAAAAAAAAATTGTTTTAATGTATTTTTGCTTTTTATTCTTTTTTCACCAAAAATAATTAATAAAATCAAACTTTCATAATTATTTGCAAATCTACACAAATTAGGCTTTCCAACGATACATTAGTTAACAAAATCGGTCCAGTAGAAGTCTAGATTTAGTTGTACAAAGTTTAACAAAAATATCCCTAATTCAGTATTTTTAGCAACTAAAAATTTGGAGGTCACTTATCTAATTTGACAATAACTTTTAAATGGTGAGTAAATCGTAGAAAATGCACGTGATATTCTGAAAGAAGATAAAATTTCCTACAAATACCCTCTGTGTATTTCTTGAAATTATTTAATAAAGGCAGCTAAAAGCTGACTACAAATATAAACTTTAAAATAAAAACCTGAAAAAAACAGTTTTGAATGTATTTTTGTTATTTTTATTTTTCCGCCACAAAAATTAAATAAAATCAAACTTTCATAATTATTTGCAAATCTACATGAGTAAGGCTTTCCAATGACTCATTAATTAACAGAATCGGTCCGGTAGAAGTCTAGATTTATTTGTACAAAGTTTAACAAAAATATCCCAAACTCAATATTTTCTCATTATTATAAATTCAGAGGTTGCTTAGCTTTTTTTGCAAATAACTTTTAAATGGTGAGGAAATCGACCAAAGTGGAAGGTGATATTCTGAAAGAGAATAAAATTTCCTACAAATTGATACCATACACTTCTTGGAAACACTAAAAAAGGCAGCTAAAAGTCGCACCCAAATAAAAAGTGTGAAAAACACCGTTTTCAATGTATTTCTTATGGAAAACATGTTTTTTTGAAATTTTTCACCATAAATCATAATAAAAAAAAACTTTCATAATTATTTGCAAATCTACACGACCTAAGCTTTCCAACGACCCATTAATTAATAAAATCGGTACAGTAGAACTCTAGATTTAGTTGTACAAAGATTTTTAAAACTGAATTATATATAGAATAGAAAAAAAAAACTTTCATAATTATTTGCAAATCTACACGACCTAAGCTTTCCAACGACCCATTAATTAATAAAATCGGTACAGTAGAACTCTAGATTTAGTTGTACAAAGATTTTTAAAACTGAATTATATATAGAATAGATTTAAACAGTCATCTAACAATGTTACAAAATCAGGTAAAAATTTTGAACGTGCATTTCCCGTTGTGTATGAGAAGGGAAATCCCGTCTCGATCTCGTCTCGAAATTTTATGAGAAATAAAAAATCTCGTCTCGTCTCGTCTCGAACTAAAAATCCAATCTCGTCCATCCCTAGTTTGAAGTTCAATCACGCTTTAACTACTGGACGGATTGGGCTAAAATTTGGCATGATGATAGCTCACATTCCCGATTAACATATAGGCATATTCTTATCTCAAAAATGCTTTCGGGCTCCACCCCACTGGCTCTGTAGTTCCCCATGTTAACCTTATGAGTATTCATATTTAAAGGGAATTAAAGAATTTAGTCAGCTGTTTCAACTAAAAGGTAGGTGCTATGATATGCAAAAGCATTAAACGTTATAAGATTTACCAACAGGGTGCAGCACTATATTTTTTTGCTATGAAAAAAACTAATTTGAACTAAGCAGCAACAAAAAATTGTGGTACGCAATGAGAGCTAACTGTCAAAGTAGGATTGTTTACAGTTATGTTTATGTTTTAATTTCATGAATAATTTGTGATATTTTGGAAATTTTCGATAATTTATTTTTCTCAATTGTTTAGGTGAAGTGGTTGAACATTATTGCTATGGTAGATGTGTAATACTATAGAATACTGTAAATTTAAAGAAGTAAATTTTATCAAAATGTCTCCTGCCTCATTATAAACGCAAAGCTTGAGTATAATTGCAATAAGCATTTTATACTTATACGCCAACCCCGTATGAAGGACGGGTACTCAGCTAGTACTTCTCATAATTTTTACTGTTATTGGCTCTTCTTAATGATGCTGTCACTGTCACCTCTGGAAACTACCCTGCATATCTTGCCCCCAACTATGCAGGGGACCTCTCTTTCCAACATTTAGGTTTAGGGATACAACCCTTAAAAGAAATAGGTAGTAGTGATGTGTCGAAACCAAATCTCAAATCTCAAAACCATCAAAACTTGGGAAAAGTTTCGGTTTCGAGATTCGATCTCCAAGTTTCAAGATTCAAAAGTTTTGAAATTGAAGATTTTGGTAGTTTTATTTTTGAAACTGCTTACATTTTTTTGTGCCATTGTTATTGTTTTAACACTGTTTCCAAACAAGCTGATAGCAACAGAGCAAACATCACCATTAAGAGTAATGAAACAAGTAAATAAACTGAACTTAAAAGGTATCTTAAATACTATAACTGGTACAATTCAGTTTCACATCAATATTTACTAAACACAAAGAAATATTGACCACTAAATGTTCTAATTAATATAATATTCATGTTTATGTTGGTGTTAGAAGTTTAATTTTTTTGTTGTTGTTGTTGTTGTTTATGAAAAATTATGTTGTATTGGGTTTTAAGATTATCAGTCACATTCACATATTTATGTTATGTCACGGGCAGGAGTCAATCTCTTTCAGTTTTGATTGCATACTTAACATTTTATAATTAGCCTATGTGTATTTTTTGTAACCTTGACCTTTGTAAACCTTTGTAAACAGCTAAGTAAAAAAGTTTCGCGTTTAGGTTTTGAGATTCGAGATTCGGGATTCAATTTTTAAAGTTTCGGTTTCGATTTTGAGATTAGAAATTTCTGGTTTTGACCATCACTAATAGGTAGTAAAGGGTTAAGTTATGTATCCGGGGAAAAGTTATAAAAGTGTGGTTTTTGTATAACTTTGCCCCTTATTATATTGACTCCGTCATTTCTGTCATTACTCAGTTTTACCATTACTAGTTAATTATATAGATAATCTTGGAGCTTTATTTTGTTAATCTACCTGTAATTAAATAAAGTAAAAATATAAATCTGTTGACTTTACCTGATGTGGGTTGTTGACACAATATGCCAGCAAATGTGTCTGCAGGGAGACCAAAAGATCATACAAGTGGTTTGATCCAGTACAAGGCAGGCTCCAGTGAGTGTCTGTTTCACTTTTCAATTCCTTCTCAACTACATTCAATACCTCCAACTGTAAAACAATTAATTGCTATTCAAAAACTCAGGATCCTTACAATATGTTTTCTAATTTTGAAAACTAAACACTAAACATAGGTTTTGCAATGACTTTTGACATTGACTTTTAACTAATAAACTAGACCAGCGCTTCCCAAATGGTGGTACGCATACCACTGGTGGTACGCAGGGACGTCTAGGGTGGTATGGATTCAAGTATACCTAAGTATAAGTAGCTTCTACCGATATAAATTAGGGATGGTCAAGTCTCGAAATTTCGGGAAATTTTCAATCTCGTTACATGAGACGAGATTACTTTTTGGCCGAGATTTTTATCAAGACGAGAATAAAAATAAAAAAAAATAAATAAAAAAATTAAAAACGCCTGCAGAAAGTCAATGCAATACCCGCAATACAGGAGCGTGTTGTAGTTGCGTTTCCTTTTCGAAAGCCTTCTTATTTAATTAATTCTTTTAATGTAAATATTACTTTAATTCTTTTAATGTAAATATTACTTTCATTATTTTAATAATATTACTTTAATAACATTTGAGAAGTTTTGTTAAGTGTAAGCAGTGTGAGGAATGTTTTATTACTATAAAAAAAGTCGAAACAAGTAACTATTTTATAAAAATTAATATTGCTTTTATTTTATGATTTATTTTATTTTAGGATAAGTTGAACTCTATCCTAACTGATATCACCATGTTTCCTAATCGTAGGCATTTTTAATAAGTTAGGCGTGATTAATAAAAAAATGTTATGCTGATGTTATTTAATGAAAGATTGTAAATATTCTTGCCTATTATCATTATTTTAGTATTTAAACAGTCATCTAACAATGTTACAAAATCAGGTACAAATTTCGAACGTGCATTTCCCGTTGTGTATGAGAAGAGAAATCCCGTCTCGATCTCGTCTCGAAATTTTATGAGAAATAAAAAATCTCGTCTCGTCTCGTCTCGAACTAAAAATCCAATCTCGTCCATCCCTACCAAATACAGTAAAATTATTCTTTTGTATTATACAAATTTGTTTTTTAGCGAATTTCCCATATAGGGAATAAGCTATTACCGTCGGTCTCATAGACCTGGACCCGGGACCGATTTATTTTTTCGTTTTGAGGTCCCCATAGGCCAAAAACACCATCCGTTTGAATTCATATATATACATATATGTGTGTGGGTGGTGTTTGTGTGTCCGTTACCACGATAACTCGAGCAAAAATGATCCGATTTTGACAAAATTTTGTATAAACGTGTAAACCTACATTTATTTAAATGAGTTCGCAAACCAGCATGATCGGACTATGGGAACAGGGGTTTATGGACGGTTTTATGGGGTAAAAATGGGGTTTTCCCATTTTTCACCCTAAAACATATAATTTTTCAATTTATTTCCAAACAATTATGTAGAGCTTAACCCTAAATGGGTATCGCACGTAAATTTGACGTAGTGCGAATTATTTTTAGCGTCTAACCCCCCCACCCCCTCAACCGATAATATCCTCCTTCCGGCAATCGCTCTCAGCAGTCATTTGCATTGCGATGGCTGCCTTGGTTGGGTCTTAGTGTGTTTCTTTATGCACTTGCTAGTCAGTTTCTTGGAACGCATACGTCAAACTTACGTGTCAATACCCTTTGTGTATAGTAAAATGGCCGGCTTGTGTATGGTAAAACGGCCGGCAGTACGTCAAATTTACGTATTGATACCCTTAGTGTCACTGTATGACGATACCTTTCTAGGGTTATTAAGAAAAGAAATAATTTTGTGTGTTGAAGTGTTATTGTATGCTTAACTGTCAAGAAAAGAAATCACATTTTCAGCAGCCATTTGGGATATGACTGTACACTCCCCACGCCATCCCTCATGTCTCAACGTTCCTCCCTCCCTCTTTCACACCCTCGCTCAATCTCTCTCTGTTTTGATGTTTTGAGGTTATTTACGTCGTTTAGGCACTGGTGATATCAGTGTCAAATAATTTACTGATAAGTGAGTTTGGACTTTAGTTTTACGTTTTACTTATCAAATTTGGAGTCAATACTAGTTTTAATAATTCTGGAAACCAATGTTATTGCTTTATTTTTAATTATACTATCTATCATTGGTTTGCGTTAGCCTACATGTTTAATTGTTTAAAATAAACATACGGTACTTGACGTAATTTTATTTTTTATAAACACCACCTTATTTAGTATTTGAGGTAGTGGTACTCCAAAAATTAAAAAAATATAAAGTTGTATGCACAGAAAAAGTCTGGGAACCCCTGAACTAGACAATTATTTTCTAGCTAAATGTTTTTTTTTTATATATATCATAGTTCAGTGAGTCGCTCAGAAAGTGTGCTACAGACTAATATTATAAGTCCTCGCTTAATTTGTGTATAGTTATTTTTGTTTTCTGATAGCTGATATGACATTAAAGATTATATAGCTTACAATAAGTGGTTTTCCTTTCAATTTTGGACAAAAAGTATGCATATTTGAAAGAAATCAGTAATTTGCCTCCGCTCAATCTGTTGGTGGCTTAATTCAATTACGTTACTTTTCATTCTATAACTGGCTACAACATAATTGAGGATAGGATGTCTCGTTCTATATAGTCAAAGACGTAACTGGACCAAGCTTCTTACCACAGACTGATACAGGTTATCCAGCAGAGTGTTCATGAGTGTCTCTGTCATTCCGAGGTCTTGTTCCGAGTTGTCTTCACTCTCAGCTGACTTTTTGTAGCCGAGAAGAGCCGACAACTGTGAATGCTCCTCTAGGCTTGACACAATGATGCCCAGCAACATTCTCTGTAAGATAACGTAAGATTCAATGTTTTAAATCTACTGGTTGCGATCACCTTCACATTGTCTATTAAATAGCTCTGTATCAGCGTCACATTTCAGTGCTGACTAGTTAAAGTAATATCGTTTTAGGTGAAAGTTTCTCTCTAATGGCACTGAAGTGGTTCTATTTGATAGAAACATATTATGTAATGTCATATAATGTGTTACTATCAAACAATTTTACTATACACAAATTTACTATATAAATTTACAAATTTGCTATACATAAAATTTTCAAAGAAATATCAAACAAATACTAAACAATTTTATAAAAAACTAAATGTTCTAAAAAAGTCAGCTCTTGACTGTTGAGTTACACAGACTGTCAAGTTACCGGGTGTCGAGTTAGTGAGGTTGTACTGTACCACCTAACACGATTCTGGTTACAATAGACGTCACCTACCAACATCCTACATCATAAGCCTTCCACTGGATTTCTTGTATCCCTAGCAAAAATTCATCCTTGAAAAAAATCACTGCCAGTTCAAGAGTTAAATCTACCTCCAGATCAATGAAACAGCTATGGGTACAAGAATCACCCCGTCCTATGCTAACCTTTACATAGGCCGGTAAGAGAAACAATTCCATGAAAAGGTACCAGAGAAACCGTTGTGCTGGTTCTTTTACATAGATAACATTTTTCTTGTTTGGACCTTTGGTCAGAAGAAGAGTTGAAAAAATTCAACCAGACATTCACCAAAGCTTTCACAAGCTATGGATACCCTACAACCTAGTCACCAGCGAAATACAAGTCTCACTCACCCTGTCAGAACCTCAACTCACTAAATCTAATCCGGTAGTCTGGCTGGCAACCGATTACCACCATGGCCTACAGTCTCAAAAAATAAATTGAAAGAAGGATACAAATTTCTTCAAGCTTCCACCCACACAAGAGATCTACTTCTAATCGCCAGCAGTCACAGTTTTCAAACAAATAAATAACCTTAAGTCTGGCCAAACCTAAAATTAGATATCCCCAATCAAGTTTAAGGTTTACATTAATTGGTCTCTTCCTTGGCTATACAGAAATACATAATTTACATCACGGGACTTACCTGACCTTTTGAGAGATTGCTACCCTGGGGCAGCATAGCTTGTAGTAAAGTGAGACGCTCATGTAGTGGAGGCAGGAGCAAGGGAGCTCCTACAGCTAAACATTCCGTCACAACAGCCTCCACACTAGCAGGTGTCAATACATCTACAAGTCTGTAACCAGCAGTAACTAATGAGTGAAGTGCTCATTTGGAAGCATAGTACTGTTAAAAGTACATCACATTTACTGTGATTCTATCTAGGACTATAGTTTTTTTAATTATAGTTAATTAATTATAGTTTTTCTTTCTTTGTCGATGTCTTAGTCTACTAGAATACACAGTCCAAGGAGATAATGAGTGAAGACGTTTGTTGAACGAATGTGATGAGAGTTTTGTTACTGGCTAAGATCAGCTTATTGTTGGCCAGAACCATTTATTTAAAATCTTACCAAAAGTCCTCATCAGTTAAGGGTGATCAGTTAAAATCTTAATGACCAAGGACCAAAGGTCAGTTCTAATACATCAAAACCAATAATCTCAAGATTATTTTTTTTGTACAGCTGTTATACCTCTAAGAGTACTAACCTGAACAGCAGATGGCGCAGCGCTGTAGCCTGATCTCCCAGCACTGAGGCGGACGGTGTAGCACCGGTGGTGGCCAGCGACAGGTGAGCACACAGTAGTTTCAGACACAGCCGTACAAACTGTTCATGCTCCCTGGTATAAAACAGCATCAGTTAGGATGAGACATAATTTCATTTCCTATCAAAATTCAGGTCTAAAAATCTAAAATTATCAACCATAAAGGAGTAAGAATATAGAAAGAACGAATAGGTTTCATAGAAGTAAAATAAGTAACTGGGTTCAAAAAAGAACTGTAGGTATTAGTTTGCTTAAAACTCAAACCACTGCAATTACAAACAAGGTAGAATAATTGTCCACACATTTTTAAGACAGAACAGAGCACAAACGGTATCTTGCTATCCAGAGGCTAAGGATTCCTTAATATATTTACATTTGAATAATCTAAAAAATACAGAATTTAACAAAGGAAATTAAAAATATCCATGGTAAAATAAGCAGATGCTTGAACTATCAGAGGTCAAACAACATAGTTCAAGGTAATAAGTGGTATTGCTGATTAACACATGGCTTGTATGCACTGCATAGGCTATGTGTTTTATACATTTACGCATAGGGCAGTTTAATACTATTTACCTGTTAGAAGGGAAGGGAGCCGGTGGTTCAGCCTGAAAGCTTTCACAGTATTTTTCCAAGAAAGATCTCATTAGAGAGAAAGAGGCCTCTTGGAGATCAACACAGAAAGGGCGGTGCCATGTGATAACAGATCTGTTGAAATATACAAAATTATAGTAAAGTACCGAATGGACCACACATGGACCATTCTATGGGCACATAGCCCTTGGTTAAAATGGCCCACTAAAATATCCCTTAAATAACTAGAAGAAGGGAAGGGGTTATTAGTTATGTTATGGAGTTCAGACATCTTGTCTGGAAAAATACAATAAGTCCTGGGTGTGTAAAGTGTATAAGTCCTGGGGCTTAACTTGTATAGATAGATACACAAAAAAAGTCAAACAAAATCCCATTGATATCTCGGTCCTAGTGTAGGTCTTGAAAGTAGATTTATTAGAAATGTCCGTTGGAATTCAAAACTAATCTCATTCAATTGAACACTGTGAGCCCCTGGATTTTAGTTTTTTCACATAACTAAAACTTAAAACACTTTATAAAAAATCTACATGGGTTTTTTCCAAAAGTAAAAATAATTTTTATTCTCGTAGACTACACCTTACATAAGCAAGTTTCTTAATAAAAGTAACTTAATTTATGAAATTTAAAGAAAAATTTGGGACAAATTTACTCTCTAGATTTTTGGAAGGTAGTAACATTTAATTCGGGATCTTCAAAGGAAAAATTTGTTCTAACCTTTGGTGATTTAGTCACGTAGCGAGTGACGATGACCGTCTCCGCGATCACAGGAGTTGTCGCCGGTATGGCGGGTGACGATGATTATGTATCCGTGGCCATGAGAGATCTTCATGAATTCACTGTTATTGGGAGAGATGTTAACAATGTTGCTGCGAATGCAAGGGCATATAAATATGGCGCAGCGATTGTAGGAGTTTCACGATGGCGTCGTGATCACAGGTTATTTTAACAATGGCATTATGATTGGGGTTATGTTATTGATGGTACCGTGATCACGGAAGATATTTACGATGGTGCCAGGATCCCTGAGACATGCCTATGATGGTGTTGCGATCGTAGAAGATATTATCAATGGCGCTGTGATCACAGAACATTTTAATGATGGTACTATGATTATACCATTTTAACAATGGTGCAGCAACTACGGCTGTCATAACTTCCAAGTCCTTTTAATTCCAAAAAAATTTGTTAGTTGTGTTCTACAGCCTATGAGGGGTTTTATCCTCACGGTCTAGGTATTTCTTGACAACTTTTTCTGTAATGAAATAGGCAGGTTTAAAAATTTTAATGTTTTACAATTACCTTTGTTGCACAAATTGTATAAAGACAGGACATAAACAAAGTTTAACGTAAATTGTACAACTAGCTGTTGCAATCTTGTATCCTTGATAAGTTTGTGTCTGGAAAACCATTAGATCCTATATACACATTTATCACCCACCTGTCAGTAGGCAGTGAGGTCCATACAACTGAGTGGCTGGTGCCAGCAGAGATCTGATGTATCTTCACACCCTCCAGTCCAAGCACTCGCCTGGGCCTCACTACAGGACTGGTAGAGTGGCCTTGACCACACTGACCCATGGCGTTGTTGCCCCATGCAAACACCTGCAGCATACAGGACCATTAATTTAGCTCTGGAAATTTGTTCTGACACTTTGAAAACATCAAGATAGACCATAAACTGTTACGACTGAGTTACTAAATGTGATAAATCATGGGTTTTTTACCTATGGCCCAGAAATTTAGGCCTAATCAATTCCAGGAAGAGTCCAGATTCATCAAGACTGAAGAAAGCTCAAATGTTTAGATGAAAATTTAAGGTCGTGTTAATTTTTATGATATAATTGAAACGAGAGGTCGTCCAGTGGTCGAAACTCGACCAAAAATATGTAAAACTTACTCACTTCTCTAAATTCACCCCACACTGTAAATAAAACATGTGATTGGAGTTTCTTCCATTTGTTTTGATTTTCTGTTTATATTTCGTTGTTATTTCGTCACCAGCATGGCAACGCATAAGATCCATGTTATTTTTTTCAAAATTTTAAACTCATTTTTTGTGCTTATCTTTGAGCCTATTTAAATTTATAAAAGGATTCTGCACACCTACAGGAAAATAGCTTTCTAACGGTATGCGTAGATTTACCCCACGATGCACACGAGCTGAGAAAAAAGGTTTTAAACAAACATGCTTGCCTATTAATATATAGAAGATGTATTGATTTAATGATATGATGAATAATGTGTTTTTTCTCTAAATCCATGGAATTAAATTGGTAAATTGAATCCTAAAGGTCAAACTGTTTAACTGCCAGCAAAGAATATCATGTTGAAGTTCTAGCAACTTTCAGTGAGCATATAAGAAAGCAACCAGGATTGTGGAAGAAATACTCATGGATTCTTCATCAGGACAATTCCCCAGCCCACATTGCACTGATAGATAAGTCATTTTTGGCCAAACATGGGATCCCCGTGTTGGTAAATCCACCATATTCACAAGACGTAGCTCCCTACCACTTAATTATGTTACCGACATTTTAGGAAACATTGAGAAAAATGGTTCAACATTCAAGGTCTTTATTTGTCAAATTGAATGGAAGAATAATGATGTTGTATGTTGTTATCTTTATGAGTTATCTAATGTTTTATCGGTTTACAAAATAAATGTTTTTAACTACAACAATTCATAATTATGCTTCTCTTCTGAAACAACACAACCAGATGCGTAATAAAGGCCAATGACCTAAATATCATGATTGTGCAATGTTATTTTGATGTAAAAATCCAAATCATGGCATTAATTTGAATAAATTTTTAGTTAGCCTAATTTAAATGATATTTTTGATGGTTCAAAGTTTCTAGTTTCTACATAGAAAAAGAGAATCTGAAGTCAAAAAGAACAAAGAATTCCCGAAATACAACTTTGTATCATTGTCCTGCTATTAGATTCCTTGGCCAAGCCAGCCCTCTAATCAAGGTTGCACCCTCCCCTCCCCCCTAGCCATCTCCACTCGCTGAGGCCCATTGCCCAACACCTCCCACCCTTCTAACTATTGTTTTGCCTTTCTAGTATTTCTATTCTGACTTTTTCTTTGAACATTAAATTACGCTAGTAATAAATCATAAATCATGGTAAATCAAGTCGTAAAGGAATAAAAAGGATAAAACTGAGCTAAACTACTGACTCAATGAGTTCTTAGAAGTACTTGACCTGCCTGTAACAATTATTGTCGTAATAAAATATTAATGGTTTTGGGACTGCTAATTGGGTGATTTATTGCACCATTACCCTAGTAATAAATTATGAAAATCCTAAACAAATATCTGATAAACCTTTTTTTGTGCTCCAAACCAACGACAGTGAATTGAAAGTAATAATTGTTATAGTCTGTACCGAACCGAAATTGTACTGAGTAAAATACTGTACCGAACCGACGACGGTGATTAGGCTAGAACCGTGTACCGACTTTATCGGTGCACTGCAGTCCCCTAAATCTAATAGTAATTCAAATCAAATTATAAACATAATAATAACAACATAAAATACAGTAAAATTAAAAATTATATAGTCTTAGTGCATGATTTAGGTGGTGTAGGGAGAGAAAGTGAAAAGAGCTACACCAAAATTCCTGTTTTTTAAAACAATACATCGTGTTATTTCAATCTTTTACTCACTTCACAGTCATGGGTGAGTGCCAGACAATGAGAGTCACCCGTAGAGATGTCTACAATCCTCAGCCCTGCCAAGTCATCTATCAGGCGTGGTGTCATAGACGTGGCATCAGGGCCTCCACTGCCCAGACAAGCACTACTGCCCCAGGCCAGCACCTACCCAACATGTTCAATTACCAACATTAATCAGAGACAGTTAGTTAAGTCTGTCTTGTAACTGAATGGATGAGAGATTGTATCAGTAACTATCGCATCTTTTAAGTAACATCAATTTAGCAGAGGATCAAAAACTAAGAGAAAATATAGTGTTGACACTAGCAGACACTATGAGTAGCTCGTTGAACTAAGTTGGATTTTTAAAAGTAAAAAACACACGTTTGGTTATTTGGGATTATTGGAACATTTGGTCCCAATAATCGGATGTCTATCGGATGATATAAAGTCAATATTAAAACTCACCTGACCATTAGACGTGAGGGCCAGACTGAACTGACTGCCAGCCGCCACCTTCCGTACATACACTCCCTGTAGGGCCTCTATGACCTTGGGCCTATGCTGCCTGACAGTATCACCGTGGCCAAGCTTCCCCTGGTCCCCGGATCCGAAAGACCACACAGTCCGGCCGTCAGATGACAGTGCCAAAGTGTGGGCTGCTCCACAAGATGCAGACCCTACACCATTGATGTCTCGCACCAATGTAGGAACATTACGACCATTGCCGTCACCGTGACCTGTTGTTAACCCAAATAACCATTATTAGTTTTCTAGTCAATACAGTAGGCCCTCTTTTTACCGACCCTCATAGTTTAATAACCTAAAAGGTCGGGTAAAATGTGAAAATATGTAAAAATGTCAAATACAGTAGGAATAAATATGAATGAAATACTGCATCAATACTTCAACAATGCTTAGTTTTGATATTTCCAATTGTTTATTTCTGAAACTCACTGTAGGAAGGTGGCACTTTTAAAAAAAGAGAAAAATGTAAACGTATGAGACTTGCCAAACCTTACCTGTATTACAAAAGTTCAAATGTAAAAGAGACAATACACAGTTAAATTGACAAATAATCAATCAAATTACAGTAATGTACTTTTTCTAAACTATGATCACTGTAAGAAGTATAAAACTAGACTGGGAACTGTAACTGGAAGTACATGAGACTCAAACACAATTTGTAGCACAATTGAGTGTGACATGATAACAGAAAAACTAGTTAAGCACCTGTTTTGTAAACAACTACACAATACTATGAGTTATTTAACTCAAGACCAGTGTCACCAGTGATTTTTCTAGAAGAGAGGTTATCCCTAGTTCACCTATAGGTTAGGTCTCTGACGGCCTATAGCTAGTCCCCTTACCAGGTTACTAGCCCTACTCACAAATATTTGTAGAGCTTATTTACAGGGTGTTTTTAAAAGAATACCGGGATTTCAAACGGTCGTTGCCCAAACGATTTAAACGTCATTTGAAGGGAAAAGAATTAAGGTTTTTTCTCATTCTTTCATACAATTCGGAATGATTAATAAAATTCAGATTTTCATAAATCTTATATGAGCGTAAAACTGACAAAGTCCTTACTCTTAGGGCAATCGGGGGGTTTATCTGATGTCTTAAAACTGAATCTTTTTTGGCACAAATCTCTATCTTGTATAGATGACATCATAAAGTGACCAATTTAGGTTTGTTAAACTGAAGACTTTGTCGGGCAATCAATTTTTTTGGGGCTTCTGGTGAAGAATTATCGGATTTCTTTGACTATGTCATCGCTTGTTTAGCCTGCCAGGCGAATGTCTTTTTCAAAACACTTCGGTGCCACGAAACTCATTAAACCAGCTTCAAGAGTCTTTATCATCAAGTAGATGAGTTTAATTAACAATGGATATAAACTCTGTGAACTACAGATTAAAATCTGTGCCTTCTGTTGTGCCGTAAACGTCGTTCTGAAAACTGGCGTCAGGTGTATGAGTCACAATAGCGGCCTATCACCCTGCACCTATTTTATGCATGCCACGGTAAAAGTTCCCTCCCTTGCTACATGGGAGAAAAAACTTAGTTACTTTAGCTTCAATTTGACATAAAAAACGTTTACTTACCTTGAATAGTATCCAAGCAATTACCATTTAAAATCCCTGCATTCTTTTGTAAACACCCTGTAGAATCTTAACCCCCCTAGAATTTGTATTGTTACTTGTTACATACTATCAAGTGTCGAATAATTGTATGTGTTGGACAATCAAGTGTGGGATTATGCCTACTGAGTGTGTTTGAATATGAAGTGTCAGAGGTTTATTCACCTAGTCGGCCGTGGTCCCCCTCGCCCCACGTGTACAGTTCACCCTCACTAGTGACTGCAGCACTGTGTCTGTAGCCTGCACTGATGTGTGTGATCACTTTGCTGCTGAATGGAAGTGCGTCTATCAACTTGGGCTGCTTCTGTGTTGTACTCATCCCATGGCCCAGCTTACCATAGTCACCTGCACAAGTTAACAAGTAGCCTATACAATTCTAACTGAAGTAACAAACAAAGTAACTATTGGTAATATAAATCACAACTTGAAAATGCAGATGTATATCACATTTTGCAAAATAATCTTACAGTATAACTTTACAATGGAATATAGGAGTAGTTTGCTACTAAAGATATATTCAGTAATAGTACATTTTTTCCTGATACATTTTTTTGAATCACTAAAATTAATTTTTCCTTGCAATTTTACCACAATACTATTACCATTATGCATAGGAATAACGAACAGAAATTCTAACGATAAGCGATATTTGTTAGTTTTTTCAGCTAACTTCTATCATATTCGTTAGTTAAAAAGTACTGGAAATAACTTCCACTCAGTTAGATTCTAGGTAACTAATAGATAATTTATTCGTTAGTTTTGGAGTTTTAAATCGTTAGATTTTTGGTCAGGCGGAAGTACCTAAAAAAAATGAGTTTTTTTTGTGCGATCGGTGAGGGTTGTGTGCGGCCGTGAGCGTCAGCACCCTTGTTGACAAACAACGCGGGGGGTGGGGAAAGGGAAAGTCCAGTTGCTTTGGAATTTGGTATGCATTTTGACCATTGGGGGTGGGGGGCAGCGGCAGCCACTAACAACACCGATGGGTGGGTAGGGGGAATGATTGTTTGGTGATTTGTCATCTCAAATCATTGTCTTTTGTCTTCAGTTGATGTTCATTCTCTAGTGTGAGAAGAATTTTTTTTCTGTGGTAGTAACCTTAACCTGTAAAACTCAACTCCCGATTAACCGGGATAAAGTAGGGTTGAGGGTTCCTGGATGCGTAAAATCATGGTTAATAAAAAAAAATACTCTCGAGTGTGTATTAATAGTTATTAATAGTGTAGTAATAGGTTTAATAAGTTATTAAGGTAATGTAACAATGTTTAATTATTAATAGTAACACAATTGGTTACCAAGATGTGTCATTATTTCAGTTCATATGAAATCCTTTAAAACAACTCCAAAACAAACAGCAAACTTATCTGAAAACTAACTTTATTTTCCATCAGTTAGTTTTTTTAACTAACTAGTAACTTCTATCAGGTACTTTTTTGACTAACTAACTAATAACTTCTATCAGTTACTTTTTACGGGACTAACTAATAACTTCTAACTAGTTAGAATAGGCTACTTGACTAACTTTCCCAACTATGCTATTATTATCATTTAAGTAATACTGTCAGTGACAGTGAAATATTCGGGGTAGCGGATTTTTATCCCCCTGGAATATTACCCCCTGGGCAAACGTGACGTCACAAACCAGGGGGTAAAATTCCGGCCGCGAACTTTTGAGTTTGGCGACATCAGCTCGATGGATTAAACGTGGAATCAAACATATATTTTCACGGTTGTGAATTTTATCAGAACACATCAAATTATAAAAACCTAGAGTGTACGGCCCAAGAGAGCAGCCGGTAGAGGGTACCGATTTTTACCCCCGGATTTTTACCCCTGGATTTTTACCCCCGGATTTTTACCCCCTGAATTTTACCCCCGGATGTTTACCCCCCGGATTTTTACCCCCGGAATTTTACCCCCTGGCCAGATATATAAATTAGTGAGATTGTATAATTATGTTCATTCTGTTTTAATTTAATAGTAAACATTTTATTATTAAGTAGCCGATCTTAATTTATTCGTAACATCAACTAATCGAACAGGTTTTTGATTTTAATTTTGAGATTCGAGTATCAGGATTCGATCTTTGAAGCTAACTGTTGATTAATATGACGTATAAACAAACATCAGAATGGTAATTGATTCGAAGATTTCTTTAACGATTTATTATACATCCGTGGTAAAATAATGTTTTTCGTTTGTATTGTAACAATAACAAAATATGCCTTTGTTTCATCACGAAGTAATGTTCACCTAATTATCATTTAAATGAGCTATTCAGTTTATTTTACATACTTATTAACCAACATAGTTGGCCCCAAACGCAAATCCCAAACATCAAAATTAAACAGAGAATTCTGTTTACTTAGTTGAGGTTACAAAATAAATAAATAAAGATAGGCTACTAAATAATAATGAAATGTTTACAATTAGGCCTACTTAAAAACAGAAATAAGAAAATCAATCATTCAATTTCTAAAATCGGCCAGGGGGTAAAATTCCGGGGGTAAAATTCCGGGGGGTGAAAATCCGGGGGTAAAAATCCGGCCCGTACATCTTCAGTTGTCTAAACGCTAGTTATATGGACAGGGGGTAAAATTCCGGTTTTTATCGCTAATCTAATTAATCACGCTCTGGCTATTTTCATTAGCCTTCCAAATTCGCGGGGGTAAAATTCCGGCCGCGAACAAACTTTTGGCCACTCAGGTTACTAGGTCATAGTGACGTCAGCTTTGCCCAGGGGGTAAAATTCCAGGGGGATAAAATTCCGGCGACCCAAATATTCTAATTTTTATGTGTAGTGTACAGTAGTGTGGATTGTGCCAGGATTAACCTATCCTATTCAACTACGCCTACTTTCCTAAAAAAATCTTTTAAATGAGAAAATAAATTTTGACTCACCATCCCCCCAACTGTACACGTTGCCATCCTCAGACAAAGCCAATGTGTGTCCGTCGCTGCCCTTGGACGATGAAAGCTTCTTCATCTTCTCGCTCACCTCTAGTTTCTTAGGTTTTGGCTGGTTGTTGGAGTCCCCCAGGCCCAGTCTGCCATAGCTGCCTTTGCCACACGCACTCACCTCTCCATTAGTGTGTATCACAAACGTACAGTATTGTCCTGCTTCCACCTGAAATTACATGGAGGATAACAACTATTTATTTTCTTGTTGTTAAATCATTTTGTTGTGTAAAACTAACTTTTGGCAAAATAACTGTTTGAATTTAAGTAAATAAATAAATACCTGTTGAACATTCTGGAAAGCCCTTGCCAGCTTGGGCACCAAGATCTTCTCCTGGTTCTTCTTGGCCAGTTGATGTGAAGTGTTGCTGCCCCAAACATACACTTCACACTTCTCCTGTGGCAAGGCAGACTCTGAGTTGCACACTTCACCTTCACAATGTGTGTAGTCGCAGGCCAGCCTCACCAGCTGCAACAACATCATCCTTGTATAGACTGCAAGAGTGTAGACAACTGATAATCACATACAAACAGGGGCGAATATAAGCCCCCCCCCCCCTCTAAATAATGCATATGAAGAAAAAATAGGTACCATAATATGAATTATTTATCATGAATCATGCGCGAAGTCATCGCCGTGGCAGACAGTGATAGTTTGTGCGAGTTCGGGTTGATTCAGACCGACTTGAGCTCCCGCCCGCCGCCCGGCTATTTTTGCTTGCAGCATTGACCGCTAGAGACCAGCATATCTACCGGCCACAGGGGAGGGGAGTAATGAAGAGTTCAGTCAGTTCAGTGGTCTAGCCATTTTTATTGTTTGTTATTGAATGAATGAATGAATTAAAGCTTTATTCCAACAAAGTATTTACATAATTTGTACACAAATATTTAAAGGAAAAAAAACATAAATGAATTTAAAAGAAAAGAATAAAATTAACATTTGCATTAGCGTACATGTTTATAAGGAATAAGCCGACATGGGCAGCGAGCCTGTGCGTCGACTGTAGTTGCGTCCAAACATAACCGTATTTACATCTGTATACATCTTTTTTGTATATTTACCGTCTTGTGAATAACAGTATAAGCGTAAATATAATATGTTTTAAGTGTTATAAGACATATCCTTTATTTACTTTCCGTGAATAATAATAACGATAACACCAAATAACTTGGATAACACCCAGGATAATTTGACCATTCTAATTTACTTGTACCCTTGCTCTTGATTGAAATTTAAATATCCATAGAAAACCCCAGAACTAAACAAATATGACATTTTTACACAGAAAAATACACTACCTCGTCCATCAACATAAGTGCAGCCTTGTACAGTGGCATGGTGGAGCTCTGGGTTGACACAGTGGCAACATTGAGCTCTCTCTGTGCCCCGCTGGCAGTTATTGTCCTCATCTGACGAAGAATGGTGAGAAACTCTTGTGTTGCGATGTTGCCACCACTGTCTAAAGCCATCTCAACCCACTCAAGCAAGTAGCGGAGAGAGCCACGCTGTACTGCCAGTCCCAACAGTAGCTCTGACGCCAGTAGTTGACCTGTCAAACATCAGTGATGATAAAAAGAAACTCATATGTTGCAATTTAAAATGAATTATTCTGTTTTACACATAAAACGTATTTCATTGAAAATTATTTTTTTATCTTAATTTTTAATATTGAAAGGGCAAAGTAAGAGTACAAAATTAACTACAGATCATGTGGACTAATTTACGGATTGTTTTATTGTCAAGAGAGTATCTAATAGGGATTGGATACAGAGTCATATGTCTTCCTATCACATCTTTATTAATCTTCCTTGCATTATGAAAGTCATCTCATATTACTCTTGTATTCATGTCCTGTCACAAAACTAATTTGCAACAGTTTCTGAACCAAACAAGTAGAAATTCTGTCATAATATCCTACACTCAATATTATTCACTGGGACACAGTCATGCAACTAAGGCATAAGTTAATCTCAGCCTTTATTTTAAGACCTGTAGCTCCATACACACCATATTTTATGTTTTACGTTTTGCTTTTTTCCCTGCTTTGTTAATTTTACATATTTTCTCCTCTGCATGTTTTACGGTTTTATCTATTTATTTATTTTGCATGGTGTGCTCATTGGAGTTTTTGTTTGTGAGTGAAGAGGAAATGCATCTCTTTTTTGTTATTTTTAGTTTAGTTTTAGTGACTTTGCCTATTGTAAAAAACCGAACGGCTGAATGAATCTTGAATCACTTCAACAGTTTCATAGTTTTTAAGAACAAATATAAATACTGTTCGACCAACCGATGTATCTCTAGCTCACCTTTGACATCTGCTCCTGAGTTAGGCACAGCCATCTGTTTGAGAAAGCTCCCAACGTGGGTCAGTGTCTCTGCCCCCAGCCCAGAGATGTGGTTCTCGTTGGCGAGTGACAACGGAGGCAGACTTCGGACAACTGTGAGCGCACTTACTAGCATCTCACAGCATATATTTACTGAACCTGCAACAAATTAGGAGGAACACTAAATAACTTCTTAACCTCTTATTGGAACTGATTGGAGTATACGCGTATACAGTTATTTGGCCAGGTTATGTATTTAGGTCATCATTATGTCATACATATTATAAGAAAAGAGAGAGAGAAATGAATTTCATTGGTCACATATCAATGATAACATGAGCCTACATACCAGTGCCAGCAGTTGAGCCCCAGTTCTGTCTGAGAAGAGCAAAGATGAGCGACAGTCCTGAGCGTACAGCAATCTCCAGCAGAGCTTGAGATCCGCTCACAGATTGTTCTGTGATCAGCTGACTGTCCGATGTCTCTCCACGCATCTCACCCTCACTGCCTGAGTATCCTTGTGGTTTACCCTGTGAAGAAATTGAGCAATGACCATTACCATGAATTAGGCCAATAATCATTGGTTGCAGGTAATAAGACTATAGCCGTAACTGTGAGACTTTGAAAGTTAGCATATTGATGAGAGAAATCTAATCATTAGTTAATTTTTAACTGTCAATGAGTAAATTTGTGATTGTGAGAATATTTAATAAGGCTCACTATTTTTCTTATTGTCTGTTTTGTGTCAAGTGTTTTAATTACGTATGTATTTAAAAGTGTAACGTCATTGACTATACACAGAAAAATATAGTCTGTGTATAGTCAATGGTAACGTGCATTTGCCTGATGAATTCCTGAAAATGAAAATGTGATTTCTAATAGTCTGTTTTGTGAAAAGTTTATTAACTATGTGTATTTGCTTAATGAATTCCTGATAATAGCCATTTCTGATCTTTATAGCATCTGATATAAATTACAACTTTTTTTCTGAATCAAAGTTTTTGCCTTAATGTTTGTGGTATCAAATAAAACCAATCACACAGAGCAAATTATTTCCAAATATGAAATTATTTCAAGCAAGAAAATTACCCTTGAATAGTTCAAAACAATCTTGTTTTTCTGTGTCTGCTTCTCAAAAGGCAATGGATGAATGAGCCCATTACAATCTATAACAAACAGCCTCGCAAAATTTAAACTGTGGGTATGCACACCAGTGAAGCGAAAATTATTCTAAACACTAGGACAATATTTACATAGTAATGTTATTAAACAGATTAGTACCTTGTCTTTAACATGATATTTTGCTTGAAAAGCATGTAAAATTCTCTGAAAAATCGTAAGTCTTTGCTTGAGGATTATGGAGTAGGTAGTTTTAGCCCTTGCAGACCTAGCAAGACGCAGTTGGGCCGCTAAGAGTGATGTCACATATTGTTCCAGCTCAGCATCGCTGTCATATGGAACTGCTGGAAATCCTACAGTTTCCACAGCACCACTGCTTGGTGTCGGCACAGGAATCAATTCCTAGAAAATATGTTTTAATTTTTTTTAAGTGGTAATATCAAAAGAAACTAGTTCCTTAATAATGTGATAACCTTTTTTACAGTTTCCAGTTAATAAGCGAATTATCTAATACCCCATCCTCAGCAAACCTGCCGACCAGTGTATACGCTGGGATGAAACTGCAGCAAAAATATTATTCTTTAAGCATTTTCAAGAAATGTGCCAGTAATTTTACATGTTTGAACATTAACATATTCAATTTTATTTGTTGTAGCAAATTAGCTATAGCCTGCAAAAAAAATTTAGGCCTACCTAGCATTTTTCAGTTGTGTATAGCAAAATGCTAAAAATGTTACCACAGCTTTTAAACCCTGCTGCCGACTATGCGAATTTACATTTGCTTGAATTGATTTTTATTAAAATATTTCCTTAAAAATATCAAGTTTAGAAACCTATTATTTAGGGGGGAAATAAGTTATATTGACATTTTCAATTATTATGACATCAATAATTTAAAAGAATATTAATTTCAAGTAGTATGAAAATGTTCTTAGGCCTACTTTTATTGCAATTAATCTATCAAACTTTGCCTAATCCTAACATAGACGTATGCATAACATAGCCTAAGTAGACTGAGTGTTATAAACAAATTAGTAGAACCAATTCTCTCTTATTATTAACAACAAATGCTTGCTATTATTAATGCTTACAAAGATCACAAAATAAATCCTCAAAAAATCCAAAAATCAAAATCCGAAATCCATATATAAATCCCAAAGTACCGAACCTTTGAGAAAACTACAAGTCACACCCCCATAAATCATAAATTTAAAATGTTTTTCATAACGAGAAACCTTGCGCAGATCTATTTATTATTCCATAAATTTCCCTTTAAGGTCATAATTCATTTCTAAAGCTAACATTCCATATAGGCCTATCTAATGTTAAAAATACCTCAGCTGTACTTATTTGTATGTTAATCTTTTAATTGATTACCTAGGCCTACCTTATTAAAATTGTGTGATTAGGTATTTGATTGTATTACTGTATTTTATTTTGTTTATTTCAGCTTAACTTAACCAATCAATAGTTTTATTAATACTTATGAAGTCAAACGGGATGAAGCCCGTGGTTAACAGTTAGTTTAAATAAATCCTTATTGGCACTCGGTCTGCTATAAGTTGGAACGTTACAGGATTTTAAAAAAAAATGTAGTAATTTGTCATTCAAACAAATGAAAATGCAGGACAAATGCTTTTTGGAACAAGTGTTTTACAGATGCATGGAATGGTTGATTCAATAGAGTTGATAATTCACCAGGATGAAATTAAAGTAACCATCGGATGAATCGACCAGCAAAAACCGGAATGAATCGTTTGTTTCTATTAAATAGTTCCCATCACTAAGATTATCTAAACTGCATAGGCTAACCTAGTTAACACGTTCAGTGTGGCATACAATCCAACAGGCGCTCGCCAATGGTGGCCCCCGGCGCGCCTCCGAATGAGCGAACGTGATTGGCATTCAAATATTTCATCTTGATGAGTAAAACAAAGAGCAGCGGTGATTGTGCTGAGTACATCCAGTGTCTTTGTAATGTGGCTCGAAGAGGGATAATCCCCAAAACACAAAAGCATTGCCAGACGGGATTTTTCAGGAAATTTTTGTACCAACCTACACCAAAATAAAGCTCGCTTTCTAAGCTATAAGGCTGGCAACGATTATAACTTTCCCCTGCAATGGCTGAGCTCATACTGAACTAATGTAGTAGGAGTGGCGCTACTACATCTGTAGATGTAGGTTTTTTTTTAAGAGGTTGGCGGCCTCTTTTAACCTTGCATTTGCCCGTCCACATAGGCTAAGCGCCCGTGCGTGGATCGTTTACAGCAAACCAAGGAGTGAGCCGGTACAGTACAAAGGTGAACTGTACTCATAAAAGTTATCGGCAGTGACCAGGATCCGAACCCACGACATCGCTGCCTTGGGCCCGAAGTCCGCGACACTACCGACTGAGCCACCGACTCACTAAAGTATTTTATTATTTTAAGTAGGCTACTAAAAGATTATTAATAAATATTTATTCAATGAGTTCCTCCATTGTATAAGGCGCTTTCCTATAAATATTTTTTAAATTTAGCTTTAAATGATTTATAATCTGATTCCTTTCATTCCTGCCTCCTTTACGGAGGCAGGCAATTTCCTTAGAATTGGTGATCAAGCTAAAGTTGGGTTATTTTTGAAGAATTCCAGTTTATAGGTTGAAGTTAAAATATCCTTTTTACGTCTTGTATTGTAACTATGTGGCATAACTGGCTCATATTTTATAATGTCTTGTTTTGCTCTCCGTTCCTTTTTCTGAGTTAATATTGTTTAAACAAAATTATATCTTCGTATAAATTCATATCAATAGGCTACTTCTTTCAGTTACAAAACTCTGTAATAAGTTAGTATTACAATAATAATTTGTAATCACTAAACCAATCCTACTAATATTATAGGCTAAGTGTGAAAGTTTGGATGTATGGATGGATGGATCAGTGGAGGCGATAAGAGCCCGCAGGCCCCCCGCAAGTTTGTTCGCCGGGCCCCCTCTCCCAACAATCTTTAAAAAAACATTATCACATGTATTACCCCCTAAACTTGCACTTTAGCTTGGCACGGCATTTTCCGAGGTAACAAGGCGTCATCATCGTCTTCGTGATCACGGCAAAATCGTGAATACTTCCCATAGTCATGGAAACATTATCATAGTCTACCGTGATTGCAAGCAAACCTAGGACATCATCAGATAACATCATCGTCTCCCGCGTTCACGGCCCAATCCCTAACTTAATATTTTACGCAACCCGTGGTGATGGGGAAATAATTTATTATGCAATTGCGGCAAAATCATAGATATATCTCTTGTGTACAAGTAGAAACTAATCTAATTTCTAATGATATATTTAAATTAGGCCTACTATGGAACTCTTGGTCACCCTCATCGCAATAATTTCCCTTCTTTTGAGAATCCATTCACAATTAAAACTGCTTTTATGTTTCCTAACTTTAGGTCCGATAATATCTGGTAGGCCTATCGATACTTTTGATTTGATACTGTATCGATACCAAATATCGGCTGCAAACCAGTAACGGAACGTCCCTACCAGGTAGACTTTCATATCGGTTGTCAAAAATAATCTACGGTAAGTTACCTGACCAAACTAACCAAACAATATATCGAATGAAATAATCGAACAAAAAATATGGATTGATAACTTATTTTCATTCGGTTGTTTTTGACAACAGATGAAAGTCTACCCTCCCTAATTTTACCTAGATACAAAGATTATTGATTAGTCTATACTTAAGCCTGGAACAACAAAATATAGGACTTACCTTGTTGGCAATTAGTCTATCAAACAGAGTTTGAACACCATCTCTAGATGCAATATTTTCACTTCTTTCACAAGCCCATAAACTGTTGAAATGTTCTTGCCACCTTGGTTTCATGCTTAAACAATTTAAATTGTTCATTGTATAGAAGCTTTTACACTGTTCAGTACACTACATAAAAATGTATTAAATACTATTTGAGTAGGCCTACAAGTTTTAAATATATTAACCAAAGTTAACCCTAAGGTTAGTTTGTACAGTAGGCCTATCTTTTCAAAGACAATTAATTAATTGTTTATCCTAAATCTATTTAGGGGATCACATGGATTTTACTGAGTAATGGATGATTTTATAAACATATTATATAGAGTATAATATAATAAACACTCTTTAAACGTTAAAGAGTTAAGACATAATAATTTGGTAAAAATAAAATACTTAGGCTTAAGTGCTGCTAAGAGCAAGAGCACTAGCACTTTAGCACTAGCAGACAAAGTTTAGAAGTCTCAATCTCAATCTCAAATCAATCTCGGATGTCCGTCCAGTCTCCAGTCCAGTCCTCTAGAGTCGTCTCTCCGACTCCGTCTGCTCCGTCACTCCCTCTCACCTCTCCCCTCCGATCTCAGTCTGTTCCGTTCCAGTTCCAGTTTTTTTTTTTTTTTTTCCTTTCTGATATAGGCCTATTATAATAAATAGCATCTATGGTAATAGTATAATAGTTAATAGTATCATAATAGTATACTTAGTTCCTGAATCTAAAAATAAGAAACAGAATTTTTATTATCATAGGAAAAAAATGTAAACATAACATTTTACAGACATAACTATGGCCATTGCATAATTAATTATGTTAACAATAGAGCAATGGGGGAATTGCGGCACCATCTTCTAATTGAAAGCTTCACATTTTTCGTCTAGTTCCCCGTAGCCTAAGCGAAACTGCTCGAATGATGGAAAGCTGGCTTTGGATCCTCAACCATCCGATAATTTGGGAGTATGGTTTTCTCCATTTTACAGCCAGGGCTTCGCTTGTTCTCCTCTGAAACGCTTCATATTCTTTGTGGGGGACTCCTTCCGTGGAACATATTAATGGTGTGAAGCTTCCTCTGATGTCTTCGGCTGCTTTGTCATATTGTGTTTCTGAACGGCATGGTTTCGAGATATTGTTCCCCATTCTTGGATGGCGTAAGAGGGAGCGTCAGCATTAACAATGCGATTATAAAAAAACACTACTCTCTCAGCCTCCCAAATACCATTAACTTTAAAATCAGCTTTTAAAGCAGTTTAAATCTTTAAGCTTTTAAATCTAAAAATAAGTGTTTCCCGGACGAGTGAAGTCGTTCCCGTGCGAGACGAAGTCGAGTACGGGATTACCTTACGAGTCCGGTACACACATTTTGGACGGGTTACGTACATCTATATATATAAAATCCAATGTATGTTTGTATGTTTGTATATTTGTATGTTTGTATATTTGTATGTTTGTCCTTTATGGACTCCAAAACCGCTCGACAGATTGTAACGAAACTTTCAGGCATTATTAAGCATTATTCAAGGATGGTTTGTGTGAAGTTTGGTGCAGATCCGTCAATAGGGCTCCGCCCAAGTGGCTCTGGAGTTTCCCATGTTAACCTTATGAGTACTCATATTTAAATGGAATTAAAGAATCTTAACAGCTGGTGCAACTAAACAATTTGATTCTGTGTGATGTTCAATAGCATTAAAAAGTTGATAGGTTTACCAACAGGGTGCAGCACTATATTTATTTTTAATTTATGAGAACAGCTAATTTGCAACCAAAAGGTGAGTGAGCGTAGCGAGCAAACTTCTACCTGGAGGCGATTTAGCGTAGCGAACGAGCTATCCTGAAGGCAAGTGAGCGCAGCGAACGAGCTCCAACCTAAAGGTGAGTGAGCGTAGCGAACGAACTTCAACCAGGACGTGATTGAGCTATGCGAACGAGCTCATCTAGAAAATGAGCGAGCATGTGACATAAAACTACAACAGGACAGGACGACGTCTGTCGGGCCAGCTATTATATATCTATGGTTACGTACGATAGTTTACGCCATACTGTACTACTAAATATGTATAAATCCTTATTACCATAGATAAAACATAGTTTATTTTTTATCTATGATATTACCACCAACTAAAAGGACTAAAAATCACTATACATAACCTCTTTTTGTTTATAACCACTCATTTGCCACCCAAATCCTTATATATAATACGTGAAGGTGATTTCTACGAAACACTACTCCTCCGTTAATAATGGGCGGATTTTTATAAACGGTGTGTCAAAATACAGTATTGTTTGTGTAGATGTCCCCTTTCACCAATTCCTTTAATAAAAGTCCTCGGGCTTTGCCCCACAGAGGCCATCAAATACCCAATGTATTTCTTATGGATAAAAGATTTTGTTTACTTAAACGGACGAATAATTTGTATTAATTACAGCTGTTCATAGTAAACACATGATACATACACACAAGAGCGTTTAGTTTTCAGTTTCGATAACTGGAGTGTAGTGATTGATTACATTATCTTTGAGTTGACTATTTTAAGTCATCGGAAATTATGACTGTTATTCGTTTTGAAATAACGCCCGTAGGCCCTAATACTTTGAAATTGCTCGAATTCGAGCAACAGGGGCCCATTTCATAATAAAGTACAAACTAATATTATTAGTAAATCAGCTGATCGTCCAATGCAAATCTAATGGAAATTACAAGTTACAAGTTGTAGCTTGTAACTTGTAGTTTATTATGAAATGGGCCCCAGGTGTACTAGTACAGTATAATCAGCTGATTGGTGTCCGCATTACAGTACAGTAGTACGCAATAAAACCCCATTTGATAAAGCTGGCGGCAAACAGCTGTTTTCTGGACTAAATCCTTGCGTGGGAAGTTAGTCAAAATATAATATAGTGTGGTGTGTGGCGTAAAGGTTTTTTAGTTAAAATAGACTCGTGTTGTTTGCACATGCCGTGTCTGGGTTTGTATACAACCATAGACTAACCAACACAAGGGAGTATGTTTTATCTATGATATACAACCTATTATTATTTTTTGGGATTGGAAATAAAAGCTATTGCACTAAAAAGCAAGTGAAAAGGCAAAACAAGTAGCAGAACCGTTTTTAAATTCAAGTACCACACAATACGCACCATAGCCTTGAATGGAAAAGGGTTTGTTCTGTTGATGTATGGGCTTAGTAAGTTCTCCAGCTTAAACCAAGCATGGTATTTTAGGATTAACAAAAGATTACATTGTTATCTTTATCCGTTTTGAAGTTATAGCAAATTTTCCAAGAGACTGTACATTTATCTAAAAAGGGGGGTTGAGAGGAAAGCTCAAGGAGAAGGGGGAGGAGTGGGGGCTTTTGGGAAAATACGCCTCTCACTCAACATGGTCTAACAGCATAGAAAAATCCAGCTTTACCAAAATTAGTTCCGACATTTGCCTTATTTTTACCTTTATTGACTGGGCTATTAGTATACACGCTTATATTGAACCGATAGTACACGGCGTTTTTGTACGAAAATATGCTCATTGCTCACCGTGGTTCAGACTTCAGTCAGTTCAGTCCTAGTCCCAGTTTCCTCTTCCCTTCAGTTGCAGTGCAGTTGATCCGGAGTGTAGCGTATTGATTGTTCTGTTCTGTTCTGTCGTCTGTCAGTGTCAGTACTCAGTGGTCAGTGTCAGTCAGCCACACGGAACGGAAAGACATTCTACAATCTACACTGTGTGTAATTGCGATTTGTGCAATATTTTAAAACATCGTTGAAAGTTTTCCTTTGTTCAAACATTTTAGGCATCAAAAGTCAGTAGGCCTACTATTCTTTTTAATAACTCGAATTTACTTTAATTTCTGTGCGACGGACTTAGCCTAGTTCACTTCACCAAAGCTACATGATGAAGCAAGTCTCACTATTTATATTTTCAATTTTCATCTTAGGTAAGTAAATTTTTTACTAAATAAAAAGATAAGTCGAGACAGGCTTACCACACTTTAAACTGTTAACAAATCATGGTTAACTTAATGAATCTCACAAAAAATCAGCCAAGCCTAATAATTCTAGACAGGACTACTTATACATTAGGCCGTCGACACACGGGAAGACTGTTTTCCAACTGAAATCGCCAACTAGTTGGACAAACTAGTCGCCAGCGTCCCGACCAATGTAGTTAGGTGGGACAGTACACACGGTGCGACTGTGATGCGACCAGTTGAGGACCAGTCGGCGATCAGTCGTTAAGCAACTGGACCTGCCGGTTGCTAGGTGATTTCAGTCGCCTGGTTTGAACAACTTTTCGCATATTTGTATTGCGCTTTTCAAGGATCGGGCATACCAACTGCGATAACTCTTCGTAAGCACTTTTTGACATCCTGTTCATAGGCTGAAATTTTGCGTCTGTTTCTTTTAATGCAGCGGCAGCTAACTTACAAAGAGCCTACATTTAATATTTGTTTTAACATAAGGATGTACCCAATACCTTCTACGTTCTTGATTGTCTATAAAACACCAGGGCTTCTTAATCACTACCACTCATTTCAAACACCATACACAGTACACAGTATCGTTATAACAAAATTAGAGCTCATTTACTGTCTCAACTCAACTACAGTCGCGCCCGTGTGCGGATTTAACCAACGCAACTGCAATCGTAATCGCGTCACTAAAAAGTTGGTTCAACTTTAGTTTGGTTTCAGTCTTCCCATGTGTCGACCGCCTTACACTAGAGGCCTGAGTTGATTAGTAATAGGCTTTAACTTCGTCAAAACCATAGACTAACCATCTCAAGTAGACTACTTCTCATCCCATTGTGAATTTTGAAGCTCGTTTTTCTTTTTATTTTGTTTCTATTTAGGGTTAATTTCGTGATTGATGCTTTACTTACTGTTTGGTTACATAACTAAGGGACGAGTTATTTTTATGATTATATCGTTTTATTTGGTTTAAAAAGGTTTTAAAGGTGTAAAATGACAAGAAACTAAAGTTGTAAAGTTGTACACAAAACACGGGCTTTACAGTGCACTGGACAGAACTAACGATAAAACTGGCTTCAGCTGTTTCATAAGGTTAATAAACTTGAATCTACCAAGGGAGTATGTTTTATCGATGTCAAAACATAACTGGAAATTCTCTATGCTCATCTTGGCGCTAGACAGTTCTGCAGAGAACCTGTGATACTTTAGATTAAATATTGACATTACTATCGGGGGAGCGAGCTAGTCTAGTGGTTAGAGCGCAGGACTTCGGTCCCTGAGGTCCAGGGCTCAAATCCCGCCGAATCACCAATGTATTTTATCTAAGTGATAATGCCGCAACCCCTAGGTCTAGCCTGAAGTAATGTGAAAAACATTCCCAGGCATGAGCCCGAGGGCAAAAAAATATTCATCTTGATTCATTCCAATATATTGCTTAAAGTAGGAAATATTTCTTTCCTAAGTTATGTAAACATTGAATTGAGCTATGGTATTTTTATTTACTTTTAATAAATCTAAACATCAAATTGATTAATGATGGGCTACGACTTAAGCCTTTACGTGTTTATTGATGTTAAATGAAACCATCAATATTTAACTAAAAACTAATTACTAACTGTTACTAACTAACTGTTTTTGTGATGTGCATGCAGTATTTAGGGTTAGTAAAAAGTGTGGAGACCCCCTGTTATTTTTTTAACGGCCCATACTAGAAAAACTAAACTCGGCACACCTTTATGACATGTTATGAAGTACTTTTTGGGCATAACCGCCACTTGGTGTTCACCCCCAAAATGGGGGATTTTGGGGGAAACAAAAAAATTTCAAACATAAAGACCCATCGAGTGACCCCTCATTTTGAAGGTCCTGGTAAAAGAAAACCAAAAACGCAAACTAGAGGTCTTTATCTCAATCCAGTTACAAATGGAAGCCAATTAAAATTCTCAGAAGTTGAATTTAACTTACAGCTTTCCAAGTCTGGAGACCCCCTGTTAATTTTGTAGTGGCTCACACTAGGAAAACTAAACTCTACACACCTTTTTGGCATGTTATGAAGTACTTTTTTTTAGCCTAATAGCCACTTGCTTACCAAACCCAAAATGGGGGATTTTGGGGAAAACTAAAAATATTCAAATACAAAGACCCATCGAGTGACCCCTCATTTTGAAGGTCCTGGTAAAAGAAAACTAACAACGCAAACTAGAGGTTTCTATCTCAATCCAGTAAAAAATGGAAGCTGATTAAAATCTTTAGAAATCGGAAATAACTTGCAATTTTATATTCAACTAGCTGTGTACCCGTTCTACGCACGGGGATCTTATAATATTCAGTTGAAACCTTCTTATATAACGAACAGCAGTTGGTTTGCATATTTTAAGATATGCTGGCCAAACTATTATACATAGCTTCATTTTATGTTGTTTTTTGTTGTTCCGGATCGGTATGACAATCAATAAAAGGTTAAATTACCTCTGTGTCTGCCGGTCGATCCTATAACGGTAGGCTTACTTTTATTTTTACTATCTGATCTCGTTTGCATGGCTCAATCACGTCCTGGTTGAAGTTCGTTCGCTACGCTCACTCACCTGTATGTTGGAGCTCGTTCGCTGCGCTCACTTTCCTTCAGGTTAGCTCGTTCGCTACGCTCACTTGCCTTCAGGTTAGCTCGTTCGCTACGCTCACTCGCCTCCAGGTTGCAAATTAGCTGTTGTCATAAATGTAAAAGAAATAATAGTGCTAGTGCTGCACCCTGTTGGTAATCCTTGTAACTTTAATGCTATTGAACATCACAGAACAGAACCAACTTGTTTAATTGAAACAGCTGTTAAGATTCAATAATTTCATTTCTCATAAGGTTAACATGGGCTTCCAGAAATTCCACGTCAAAAATCGACAAAAACTTGATTTTCAAGGGTTTACTGTTAAATATCTAACTGTCTCATATTCGATGAAATACGTCTAAAACCATCTCATATATGTATAGTATTTGGAAAATAAGTTTCAGGCGGGACAGTGCTATAGTTATTGAGGAGTAGTTGTAATAAAGTGCGTATTTTAGCGTTACCAAGAGAATGACAGATAGACAGACAGACAGACAGACAGACAGACAGACAGAAATTGAGATAAGGTTTGATTCGGTTTCTCTGACCTATGAAATGTAAAAATAACCAAAAAGTTCATTATTCTAAGCAATGTACAGACAAAACTCTAATTTTATTTATATAGATTGGCTGCCATATTTTACTGTGTTAAGATAGAGATCTATTGTTTGCGTTGTTAGTTTTCTTTTATCATGACCTTCAAAATGAGGGGTCACTCAATGGGGCTTATCATTTAATATTTTTGAGTTTCCCCAAAATCCCCCATTTTGGGTTTGGGAACTCATGAGAATTTCAGTTGGCTGCCATTTTGTACTGAACTGAGATAGAGACCTCTAGTTTGCGTTGTTGGTTTTCTTTTACCAGGACCTTCAAAATGAGGGGTCACTCGATGGGTCTTTGCATTTGGAATCTTTTTGTTTCCCCCAAAATCCCCCATTTTGGGGATGAACACCAAGTGGCGGTTATGCCCAAAAAGTACTTCATAGCATGTCATAAAGGTGTGCCGAGTTTAGTTTTTTCTAGTATGGGCCGTTAAAAAAATAACAGGGGGTCTCCACACTTTTTACTAACCCTGAATAATAGTTTTGATTTGATTTCTAAACATTAGGTTACAGTAGTTTATTACTGACTTGGTTGGAATGAATTAGCCTAGATTTAATATTTAAATTGGGATTGGCCAAAATATTACAATAGAAAAAAGGGAGAAAGCATGTATAATTTGATATACTAAATAAAAAGAAAACTGAATTAACACTGTGCTGCATTTCTTAAGCAATCATTGAAAGAACTATGGAAACATTGGAAAGTCATAGAATACCACCAAGTAGAAGAAATAGAAATAATGATTTTTTTAGAATTTATAACCCATTATTATGGACAACCTAATGCGGCTATGAGTGGGAAACATTTGTAGAAAACACTAAAAACCAAAATCAGCTTTTGAAAAATTAATATTTACAAGTAATACAGAAGTAGATTATATCGAACTGTTATGTACATCATGAGTATTTTTCATAATCTTGAGTCGAGTTTTTTAAGGTCATCGAAAATTTGACTTTTATTCCTTTTAAAATAACACCTGTAATACTTCGCAATTGCTCTAATTCAAGCAACAGGTACACTAGTATGGATTTATTTTTTCCTACACAATTTTGATAACAATTTTCATCTTCTCTTATTGAACAGTGTATATTATTTGACCCTCCTGAATCAGAAAAATAAACTTGATTGTACTTGACCGTAAGTCCGTGGGTGTTATTCCAATTCTGTAATGAACTTTACTGTTGAATTCATAGCCTACACATTAAGCCCTTCTCTTGTGTTTGGTCTAATATTGCAACTAACACTTACCATAGTAAATGAGTTGTTGAAACTTCTTATTTTTGACTTGAAATGTCTTGATTTTAGGTGGCTTCCAGTCAATAAACGTTGTATAAGTTTCCATGTAAAACTGGCAACGAAACCTTGCCGTTGTGATAGCAAGATGTAAATAATCAATTTGCATTTTTTCTCAATTGAAGTAGAGCGAGTAACAAAAACATTGATAATAAAAACATAAGGTCCGCCAAGGTTTGGTTAAATCTTACTATTTGAGCTTACCATAGCCAAGGCTTTATTATAGTTCTACTAAAGGTTTTGAAACGTCTCGATCAATTCAGCGTTACCTGTAAACATTTCTTGCATGTATTCATTCGATCTGACATTATGAAAGTTTACTTTACCACAATGACAACTTGATGTGTAAATTCTTCATGTATTTTTTCACTTCCAAAATAAGCTGCATAGCAGAACTGGATATATTAGCTTTACTCTGATATGCTATAAATAAAGGTTCTTTTAAATAAAAAAATTAAAAAAAAATATTTA